TGTTGACATTTACGAGTCCATTAAAAAGTATTTTGTTATTATCGTTAATTTTCAACATCAAAATGATTCGTCTGTCGACTTCGCCATTAAATCGTTCGCAAACGGAAATGAAATTCATTGTAAAAAGGTTCATATCTTTCAAACGTAATATATCAAATTATTGAATCTTCTGTCACATTATTGAATATTCCGTCTGCTATTTTAATGCTATTAAGTCCTATTTTAATACAGACAGAGCTATTGGATCATTTTTCATTAAATCTTTCACTTAAAAGATTAAACACTATCATAAAGTTCATTGACTCGCATCTCGATGCAAGATAAAGTACATTTATAAAGATTTTCCATCGGAGAATCTCGTGATTGTTTGTTCGCGTAAAAATAAACTTTATTCAATTATCCACGCAAGAAACGTACACGTAAAGACATCGTTTCTCTCTCCCCTTGGAATTAGATCCAATCGAGAGAGCGAACGGATAAATAGGCTATTTCAATAAATGCACATGCATGCAAACCCCGGTTGTTGGCGAGGAAAAACGGAATATCGGACTCTGCGGAAATAAATTGACAAATAAAAAATCGTTATTACATAAATGAATTGAGAAAAATCGGAAACAAAGGACCTATTTAGAATTTAACTTTTATTTTGGTACGTGGATTAATGTACGAAAATACACTAAGCTTATAAGCTTATAAAAATACGAACGTTACACTGAAAGAAAAGATTGGCTGAATATGGCACAGCACTTTTAATTGGTTGCAGCAGCCAATCTTTTTTTTTGTTTTAGTGTATAAACTAATATAAAATAAAATAATGATATTACAAGAATGACGATGTTACGGTTCAATATTCCGCTTTCAAGCCAGATTTATATGTCCGCGTTTGTCTCAACTATCTTATCGCATATTTAAGTTCTCAGGATGACTTCACGACTGATGTTTGTACTTGAGATATTTTTCGATACCAGATAACACTTCCGTTCGTCCCTCCCGTTCCAATTATTCTTTCATCCAAATTTTTACGACACGCAGCGTACACACGAAATGCGTGTACGCGCCGGTTCTCGCAGTCTAATGTGCGTGTATGTGATTTGCACGCATCCGCGCGTTCCACCACACACGCGTCGCGCACACATTTGGGATCCGCTGGTCAATTTGCGGCAATTACCGAGCTGTTGCGACCGGTTAAAGTCACTTAGTGCTTGCGTAGATACGTGCACACGACGAATCATCCGCGACGAAATCTCGCCGGCGGCGACGCAACGAATCCGGCGAAATTCGTCGAAAGGCACACCGAGAATTCGCGTAAAATCACGTACACGTGCTCGCGTCGCATCAATGGAGCACGTGCGAATCAATGGAGTCTCGAAGATTTCCTCGCCTCGTCGAAAATAAAAATCAGATGTACGGATAAAAGTGAATGTAAAGGGTTGCTTTCGGTGCGACGCAGCTTTGGAGGTTCTCTTGTAATTTGAATATTTTAATAAGATTAGAGAGAGCGAGCGAGAGAGAGAGAGAGAGAGAAGAACGTGTGTGACATAAGTAATTTAATTAGCAATTTGAGAATAATTTGAATTCCTTATGTTAAACATATTTATTTAATTATTTAATATTATAGCATATGAAAAGCGCGAATTTCATACTTTAAGAGTCATGTGAAGTTCTTCAATTTTCTAGTTATATAACTTTATATTTAAAGACTCCCTTGAGGAACTTAAAATTAGAAGATGGTAGGCGGATATGCTTCTTTCTATTAACTATGCTGAAAAAAAATATTAAATTTTAATAAATATTTGCTTGAGTAATTCTAAGTAAACATTTACTAAATGTAAACATATATTTATTTGATACAAGAATCATTAATTTGTTGTAACTAGCATTTTTTATATTGAGCAAATATTATATTTCCTGTAAGTAAATGTGTTTCCTTACTATTCCAAGATATACAAGTAAAAATTTAATTTTTTTCAGTATATTTCATTTCTTATCTCAGCTCTATTAAGCATAAATATTAACCGATAAAATGTGCATATATAATTCTGTTTAATTGCGTAAAGTAATGTGTGAAATATAATTATAGCTGTTGCATATTGTCAGAAAAAAAATCGTTCGTTCAAGCTGAAAATATTCGAAGCTTGCGATGGTCGAAAGGGTTAAATCGTATACGATATTAGACAAAACATATTGTGCGTTTGTGTGTTTAGCTGAGATATATATATATATATATATATATATATATAATTAAGATCGGGTTAACTTTAACTGTGCTTCGTGTGATCGAAGAAAAATACAAACATAATCGTGTCTACGTAAACAAGCTTAGGAGATCTATTATACCGAACACGCGGCATTGAACGATTAACTGTCTATTCTTTTACTTTTTCGTCTGAAAAAAATCGAATATTTAAAGAGTGAGAATTGAAGTCCATTGCATTTCATTTTCTGTGAACTCTATAATTTTTCAACATCGTATACAAGTGTTAAAATTTTTAATCGATTCTTAATTAAAATTTTAAGTATAAATTTTTTTAAAGTTAATTAGATCAATTCTTAATTTAATTCCTTAAGTAAATTTTTATTTTACTTATTTTTATTTTACTTGATTTCTCGCTACTGTTTTCTTACACGAAAAAGTTTTCTTTTATTAAAACTTGCCAAGATCGTCAGTTTTTTTTTATTTTATTCCATATTTCACCGTCGTATTCTCTTTCTACTTTAATTCCGTTTTGAAAAGTTAAGAATAGCGATACTTTATAAAAAGATCGTGTAGTTAGTGAATCAACAATGTTAACAACAATATTCACAGACATGGAACGGCATGTAACGCTACTGTGACGTAAGAGATAGCTTATAATTGATAATGCTTTATGGTTTAAGAATTAGCACCGGTTTCTTTATACGTTTCACGAGACGACGTATCTTGTCAGTTGTTGAGCAAAAAGATACTCGTCAACAGGAAAATTTTGAAATTCGCGAAATTTCGGAAATTCCAAAACAATCAAGATCGTTGTCTTTCAAAATATTCTGTTGATCGCGATTTTTTCGTTCAAGATATTTCTGATGGATCTATCAAGGCGAGGTAACGCATTTCCATGCGTTCGTTCTAAAAGCGTGAAAAATCATCGCGGCAAAGTGCGACGCGCGGAAAAAGACGTCGATTGGCAGTCACGAGCCACCGGTTACATAAGCACGTTCTCGTGATTACAGCGAGCCTTCTGCCTCGTGCTGAAGGAAAGAGAGAGAGAGAGAGAGAGAGAGAGAGAGAGATGTGATCATTTCGCGACAGTCGAATGGATGGAAGGAGAGAGAGAAAGAGAGATAGAGTGCACGAGGGCAACGACGCGCCGTCGTCAGAGAACACGAAAGTCCGAATGGATGCTGAATGATCCGGGACGGCGAGAGTGGTGAGATAGTAATGTGCGTGCAGCGCATGGTGCGTGTTGCGCGATCGGTTTACGCGTGCATCTGCAACTGAGAGGCAGGAAGAAGGTAAAAATTATTTCGAAATTATTTGAAAGTGATAGATATCGATTTTAAATATACATATATATTATATTTAAGTTTAGAAAAATTTAGAAAAATGATATAAATCGAATGGAAAATTCCAAATACTCTTCGAAGTTCTGTAATGTAATAATCCATATTTAAAAAAAAATTACTGTAATTTTGCGACAATTTGTAGACTTCTACTTATTTAAAATTTATTTTGGAAAATGAACATGATTTTTTTCAAACATTCCGAATAGAATTCTTGTTTTTTAATTTCTGTTTTATACATTCTGTTATATATCCGTTTTTCTCTTGAGCATAGATATATTTGTAAACTTCACATAAACCGAAATATTTTAAATAGAGAATTAGGTTAGTGTTAAACAAAGTATAATAAATGCAGTATATTTTTATTGATAATAGAAAAGATATCTTTGAATAACTTCTTGAATAAATTTCTGAAAGAAATCAAAATTATTCGTTATTTTAAATTACAGCTATAACTAATGTTCTAGTTGTAATTTGAAATAATAAATATTATCATGGCTCATGTATTGATATTGTTAAAATCATTTAAAAGTCATTATTACACTTATTATTAAGTGGTATGGAAATCTTTAGTTTTTATTTATTAAGATAAAAAAAAACAATTATTAAACAAGAATTATATTATTAAATTCTCGGAAATTCATTGAAATGAACACATTGCTGCTATTACGTCTGTTTATATATTATCATTAGGGAAACAATAATCGTTAAATTATAATGAGTATTTGACGTTGTGGGGATTTTTTTCATCGCCTCCAAAAGATTTTTCGCAGGCTAATCGCTGTGCCCGTTTTAAACTTCCGGAGTTATGTTTGCCTAATTGACAGCTGCCTGTACATTCCCAGATGTCGGACAGTAGCGAATGATTTCGTGAATGTATGTACACGTGCTTACATATGGAACATTTCGTGATAGACTATATAACAGCAAATTTCGTGCATGCGTGATTTCACGATTGATAAATATCGAGTACGTCTGCGCGGTCTGCGTATCGCGTGCTATGTGTCGTAATACGGTATCGTACGACTGTCACTCGTTTGATAAGAACATTAACCACGCGTTGATCGTTGAAGGGAATTCTTGTAAGAGAATTTAATGGATTACGTACATTTTCATGTATCGAATAACAACGATATAGAAATAATGAGATGAATATTCCTCAACCTGTATCTATCTTGTCGTTAGACATCTTAACTTCCACGAAGAAGAAAAAAAAACTTATTTTCTAATTCATCGTATCATTATTTAGAAAAATTTAATAAGTAAATTATCAGGGAATTCAAAAATCCGATTAAAATTAGATGAAAATCCTCAAGTTAAGCTTCGCGATATCGGTAATATCTTATTATTTCTTCTTGGCGTCCGTTGATCCTTTTCGATCTTCCTAGCCAAGTTTTGGATTAACGAGTCCCAGGATACATGGACACGTTATCCACGTCGCCGGTTCGTGATTTTGCTTACAGTGGGATCGAGCACGAGGATGAGGTATACAGCGTGCGCCAGCTGGCCGCGCGTGACAACGACGCCAATTTGGTGAAGATAGAGAAATCGTTGCCGGTTTTGGTGCCGACCGGTAGTAGTGCTGTATCGACGACGAATTCGAGTCAGGTATCGCTGAACGACGAGGAGAAGATTCCCGTGGAGGAATCGATCGTCGACGACGAGTCCAGGAGCGACGATCGACCGTTCGCCGTCACCGCGTCGATCTTCCGTTCAATCGACGAAAAGGGCGACTGCAAAGAAGATTCGCAGAAGGACGGTGCCTTGCCGAAACACGCCCAGAAAGAAAAGGCGTTCGTTCTCCTCGAAAAGGCTCTCAAAGAGTCTCTGGAGGAGTCGATTAAGGAAAACGATGTACCGGCAACGGTGAACCGACAATCCTTGGCCAAGAAAACGCCCTTTATATTACAGGTACGGTTGATCTTTCTGATGTACGAGCGGTTTGATGTTGGAATTTTGAAGATTTCTGCTAAGAGACGTGAAATTAGAAAAATTACTAGGGATTTCCGGTTGCAAGTTTAATCAGTGTAACTGTTATTATTCTATTATATAATAATTGTTATTTTTAATAAGATATTTGAAATAATATGAATAATTTTCAAATCTTTCTCATCTCTAATTATTGTTTATTGAAAATGTTTGTCGGGTCAGTATCGCTTATCACAATACGTTAATCGCATTGCTTACACATTTCGTTATCATCTTAGGATGATAAAGTAAAAATAAATTGTATTTTTATTTTATTTTATCTCTCTTTCTCCTTTAAAGGAAATATTTCATATTTTGAAAATGATTAATGTTAAACGATTAGCGTAATGGAAATGTCTTATACTTGTATGAGTCTTTACAGAAAAATTACAAATTCAAATAAGGATTAAATTTCTGAAAGTCTTAATTAAGTCTTAATTAAATCTTGTACGCCTTTCTTGTACACTCATCTTGAAATAAATTTCATAAATTTTATATAAGAAGTACAAAAGTTTTTAGTAGTATGAAAATAATTAAAGTAAATATTAATAAGAGATAATATTTAATCAAAATTTTTCAAAAGCGGATATTTTTATGTAAGAATTTAGATTGTAATTTCCATGTTATCTGTCAATTATTATAATCCAAATCTCCGTTGAAAGTACTACTTGATTTTTATAGTGCCGAGTGTAGCAAGCTCTAGGCTGCTTTTTTATATCGAGCCATAATCTTTGGCCTCTTCCCCTCTAGATCGGTCATGCGATCTTTGTTTCAGGGTAAACCGACGGTGGTGAACGATTCATCAGACAGTGTTGAACACCGTGACCGTCCGCAGTCAGTCACGAGACATTTGTTCGTACCGCTCGCGACCTCCGTGCAACAACAAGAACAACAGCAACAACAAGAACAGGAACAGTCACAATTATCCTGTCGTCCGCAAACGGCTACAGCGAGCATTTTCGCGCCTCGTACCGAGGATATGAATAAAGGCTTTTTAACTTTCAGCGAGGATCAGCCGGGTCTCACCAGTGCGTATTTCCTTCTGCGAAAAAAAAAAGTCGAGTCTTTTCCAAAGCGGAGGCTAGAAAAGAGTCGTTGACCCTCATCCGTATTGTCGACTTTTCGCGAGAAAAAAAGAGACTCGAGGAAAAAAGATAAGAAAAGATATTATGACATACGAGTTAAGAATTATTTATCTTTCTGTAACAGAGTATATTTTCGTGACCCGCAGAAATTTTGTATGAAGAAAGATATATGTAAGAAATATGTAATAATTATCACATGATTTTCTAGTTTTTCATTTTCAATCCAATCATATCAGATTTAATTAGGTTACTTAGAATAAAAGTTAAGACTCAAATGATTTTCTTAATGGAACTAGTGATTTAAGATCCTTTTTTTGTATCGAGGTTCAATTTTTCTCGCGATTTATGTGAAAATTTCATTTTTATCCTCCTCTCTGGTCGATGTTTAATCATCTGAAGTCATAAATAATCAATTAGAAAGAAGATCATCATGATAAATCATGTTTTCTCCATTTCTTAGTGTTGAAAGACGAGCCGGAGGATTTGACACATCTCGCACCTACTGCCGGTGACGTGTGTGTACCTTTGGAGGACACTCCCTTCTTATCAGATATGCTGGATGAGTTTATCTTCGGCAATGATAACTATGGCTGTCCTCTATTGAGTCCGGGAGACACTCTGACACCGGAGTTACGTTCCGCAGATCTCTCAGGATCCCTCAAAGATGCAGATCTCGTGGACACTACTACTAGAACCAAGAATGCGGTCGATCGTTTAGCCGATAGTGATCCCTTCATGTACGGCGATTCGCCTGGAAGTCCCTGTGGCATCGATCCGAGCACTGTGTCGCCGTCCCTCTCGAAGTATCGACAAGTGAGCGACAAAAAATTATTTACATTTCAAAATTTTCTTCTCTCAAAAATATAATATTAACGCACATGTATTAATATAATTATCATTTTAGAGTCCTGAGCGCAGCGTGGACTCATTAGGTAGTCCTACAGGAGGTAGTGGCGGCGATGGACTCTCCGAGGACGAGATGCTTATGTTAGGTATCAGCGATAGTATAGGGGATGAAGAATTAGCGCTCAGAGCACCCTATATTCCGATGTCGGACCAAGACGAGGCGTTAGAGTTCCTCATTAATGATAACATGGTAATGTGGAGCTCGTCGCAATCTGCTGACAAAGGATCCTCGAAATGGTGAGTGTCACATTGGATCTAATCAATTGATGATATGAAAATTTGCGCTATAATAATAATTACAAACCATGACTGTAAAATAAATAATTATACAAAATTAAAATATAGTAAAAGCGTGAAAAATAAAAATATAGTAATATTTTTTTTCTGTGTATTTCTTTGTCTTCTGTTTTTATTTTACTATTTATTTTCTGGTAGGTTACTCGACGATCGAGAACGTAATTCCGAATCCAGTCTGGCACAATTACTGCGAACTGATCAAGCAGTATCGCGACGATACAATGATCACGGCGGAGGTTTGCTAAATTCGACGATATTGGGACAAACACCTAGAAAAAGTAAGCATGTGTTTTTTTTCTCGTCCGTTATTTTATTTACTATATTAATTTTATTTTTTTTTTATATTTGCAGATATTAAATTATGTTGATAATGTATTATTAACTTCAACAATTGACTGTAAATATTGTACAATAGTAAATTTACGTGATATAATTAACACACATCTTATTTTGATCTTGCAGACATGCTTTTCGAATCCGATCGATGGTCCTCTAATCAGGAACGTCCTAATAAACGCATTCACTCCGGACTTAATACGGACTCTGAAAACGAATATAAGCGTCTTAAGTGCGAGGACTCGTCATTTGAGCGTATAAATCTTGAAGATACTTTGGTGACGAAGCAACAGCGGCAGTCGATAGCGCTTCACAAGAAGTCGCCGCCGACTTTCGGTAACACCTGTGGCAGCCAGCTTCTGCGTCGCCTCGTCTCGTCACAGATGCCAAATATCGTGTCACAGGTGGCAACTTTGCCTGATAGTAACGGCCATATTCGCAGTGACAACGAACGTCATCGCGAGGACTTTTCGAAGCAGCGTGATAGCGACCTCGATGATATCATCGATTTTGTTGAATCGGAAGGCGACCGCGGTGGGGGAGGAGGCGGAGGCGAAAATCACGGTGGTATCGGTGGCCTAGACAAGATCGATGCAACAAGTCGGAGAAGGAATCCTTCCTGCGGCAGCAGTGTGCTAATGAATCTCCTGGTTTCCGGCTGCGACGTGAGTGCGGGATATGTTTGCTTCGTGAAACCAACGACGAAGAGCATCGGGAACTCGTGAGGACGCTTCCGGGAGGAAGCAAGCGTCCGAAGACCTGCCTCCTTTTGGCCGCCGTCTTGTCGTTGTTGATTTTTCTAAAGCAGAAATTTGCATGCAACATGAAATGAAAAGGTCATCGATTATCACGCGGTTGATTTTCGCCAGATTGAGATTATAGATGGAGAGGATGAGCTAAAGGAGGCGGTGTAAATGCTAGTTTCTGTGGTATTCGATCGCGATTTCAAGCCGATAAAAGGTCTTCCTACTTTTTATACGTCCGCTTGTTCCTCGAGTTTGCATCCGCAAACTCGAAGATCGCGTCTGAGGTTTCAAAATAGAAAAAGGGAAAGTGTAAAGTTGCGTCTTCATAGAAAGAGATGCAAAATGAGTTCGTTGCGAATTGCGAATCGAAGAGAAGGAGTCATAGATAAGCGAGGTAGTTTCGCTTAGTCGTTTAATCCTGAAATGCACTGCGTGTAATGTTTATTTTACTATATAAAAGATATAGTATAGTTTATAGATGACTAATGCTTTTGCTCATATTGAATATAATGAGGAAGGAAAAAAGAAATCTACGAGTTTTATTATAACATTTCTAGAATTGTATGCGTGGTTAGATAATTATGTAAGCAGCATTGCTTTGGAGTGCATCCTAGGATTAAACGAGCTATACTTTAGAGTCATGTTATGTACACAAATTGCAAAGTATATGGAATTGTTGATTGAATGTTATGGAAATACATGGAACATCGAATCACCTGATCAGCTGCGTTTCGTTTCCTCCCACTTTCGTCCTTTTCCGTCCTACTATTCTACGATTTTATCATCAAATCTGTTGCCAAAACTCATCTTCGGACGTTCAATATAATAATTAAATAATATAACAATTAAAATGATTTTATTTTATCAAACTATCATTAGCAATTGAAAGTTTAAAATTCGAATTTCTTTTATAAAAAATTAATATGTTAAATACAAAAATGGTATAAATTATTGTATATATTTTCATTATTTTTGGAAATTTACTTAAGTTTTAGATAGTAATTTTAATAATCTTTAATTTGTGTATATATTTATTATTTGGTTTCAAATTACAAAGTAATATTAAAATAAATTTAAAAAATATAAATTAGACAGATGTCAATTATTGGATAATAATGGGTTATCGGATACATGATCGGTCATCAAATTCTTTAGTTATCTGATAAGAATTATGATCATGAGATGGTTATCGTCTTTATGATCTGCATAAGGCTTACCTTCGTCTAGATCACGCAACACGATAGTCACAGTCGCTTTGCTTAGTAATCGTTCATTTACATTTATGAAACGTCTCTGGAGTCACGCAACCACGAGGAATGGGGCTCTTGAAGAATATTGAGGGCGCTAAAAAGCGGTTTATCGCTTAACGTGTCACTATCAGTATAATCTTCTCTTTATTCTATCCTTTTGTCTTTTCTGTGAAACGCAGCAACGTTTTATTTGTTTTAAGTTTTTCAAGCCAATAAAAACAAACTCATTTATCAGATAGTTAAGCTCTTACTTAATATTAAATTCTAGTTATGAATAATTGGAAAATATAAATTGTAAATATTTATATATGATGATAAAAACCAATAGAAAAGTAATGAATTTTTATTTTAAATACAATTATATATCATTGCAACAATTCTATGTACTTTGACATTTTAAATACTTAAAACGAGAAATCTTGTAATAATCAAATTTTAAATTAGATATCTCTTCAAATAAATTGAAAATTTAATTTGTGCTTAATTGCCAAATTCGTCGACTCGTTCTCATATTTTTTTAAACGTAACTCACGTAAAAGTAGTAGAATCAAATGACAGTAATTTTATTTTTTAGGATCCTTTGATGAGTTCTTGTGATATGTCAACTGTGTTATCGAGTAACCTGACTCCGTTATCCATCAATGTGGACAATCAAATAGTTCCACACTGTGCGAACACAGATGTCATATCTTTGCCCGATCATCTCAGCCCGGACACCAGGAAGCATTTAATCGGGCCCTTTACCGGTGGTGGGGACGAAGGTACTCCTATAGTCTCACCCACGACATCTTTCGACAGCTTTGACTGGATTCGCGATGGATCCACGGGCTTGCTTCAAGTGGGATCAGATCTACTTGGGGGACTGCTGGATCGAAATCTAGTGTGATCCAGCGCGATGCCATTTATGCAGACCTGCCAAAAAATCGATCAGGGAAATTAGAAGCCGGATTTGTTCAATATTCGCTTTTTCGTAACAAGTCTCAGAAATTTTTTTTTTCACTCTTTTGTAACACCATCCGAGTTGTTACTTATTGTAAAAATCAAATTATAATTAAACTATTAATTTTAATTTGTTCTTTCAACGTTACTCGATTTCAGAGTTTGTGCAATATATTAAATAAAGAGCGGAAAAAGGAATTACAGTGCAATCGAAACGTTACGCATAAAGAGATTTTATATGAATCTTGCTTCTAATTTCTGCGTGTAAATAGTCGGTTAATTCCCGGTGCTTTTTAATAATTCGCTAAGCATTCGAAAATCTCAGAAATGCGATAAATGCAGTTTATATTAAATGTTCAAAAGAACGTTCGATTAATATAAAAGTGATGCGACTCGAGAAGACTTAAATCCAGATTAATTGATATTTTTAATTGATATTTGATTTTTTTACACGATGATTTCTTTAAATACTTTAAAGTAACAATCGATTCACGCCACTTCAACGTTCAATCGATACTTTTTTACACAGTTATTTAAAATTTGCAAATATGAACATTTGTGACAATCAAGTGTGTCAACACGTTTCCACGAATTAACAAAAGAGAATTATAATCTGTACAATGACGAGCTGCGTAGCGAATTAAGTTTGACAGGATGATGCCGTGTTGTAAAAATGCGAGTGATATTTTTCAATCAAATCGATCAAAGGCTATAACCGTTTTTATAATGAAAAGAAGACATTTTTTTAATTCTTAAAAATTTTGTTCATCAATATACAGATTTTATTAAAAAAATTTTTTTTGTAAATCAGATTTAATATTTTAGAAAATTATTTTCTGCTATGTGAAATTTAATTTTAGTTCGATCACTTTTATTTGCTTTTAAAAAATAATTTTAATTCGATGCGATAGAATTTAGAATGTAAGCATAATAAAACGTGCATAATTATCAAGGAAAATGGGATATTAGATAAGATGTTATTTAATAATAATAATAATAATAATAAGCATCGAACTTTATGTACTCAAAAATTTTTAGGCATCCAAAACAGTTTCGACTTGAAAAGAAAAACTGAATTATTTGAATATTTTTATTGGAAACTAAAATGTTAGTCTTTTGACAGCTCGATCTACTTTTCTTAAAAGTTGTATATAAACGAGTGCATTTATAAAAGTGGTGAAATCGAATTTGAGAAAGTAATGAATAAACTATTTCATCATTTTGAAATTCAAGAAGGTTAAACGTAATTAAAACATAAAAGAGTAGAGAACTTCTTTCTCACTTTAAAAATGAACATTAATTTTATTTTTAAAAATATAATGTGTGTCAACAGCAAAGAACAAAGTATTTCTGCGACGTCTCTTTTTATACTTCACGTAATTTAATTCTAACATTCCTCCAAACTATGTTTTGCATATCTTCGTAATGAAACAAGCGGAACAATAAGAATGTCGATTATCCGATTTCTCATTCTGATTGTTAAAATTAATAAAACGTGACAAGTTGCTGCGTTTATTATTGCATATCAAATTAGGAAATCGTAACGCCGACTTTTTTTTATGTGGCTGATTATCATCGTTTTTACTAATTGTTGTTATTACTAAGTTTCAATCATAATTCATTTGTTGTTGCTGCACCATGATTATTCGTTGTATACGAATAATTTCTTATGATTAGCATTATGTTTGGCGGTACAATTATTACTGCAGTTACTATCGTCATATAAATTGAGACATATATGTTTTTATATTATAATTTTATTATTTTAATACATTATATTATTACAGGTCTAATTATATTATAATATAGAGTTAATAGATAATTAATTAATAGATAATTGACGGTATGATGTGCATATGATATAAATATAAAAAAAAAGATAATTAATATTTAGAAATAAATATTTCCAAAAAAAGAGTAACATATTTTTTCATTTTTTACTAATTATAATACCATAAATTTTAAGATGAGAGTTCTGTGTTTAAATTAATTTAAATAAAGCTTTCTTAGAATTTTTGGACTGCATCTTTACGAAACTTTATTACTATTCTCTTGATATCTTACTGATTTTTTAAATTTGAAATTAATATTTTCATTTAGTGACAAGTCAATATAAATAACACGAACATCATTCCATCTTTCTTGGCATTCAGAATTTATTATTCAATTAGCGACTCCCTGAAAGTACTGGAGATAATACGGCTTTCATTCAGAGAGTAATAAGAAGATAGGGATGTTTTCCAACAAGAAACACATATACGATGTGACATGGTGTATCATTACATTCTTGTTGTTCGCCAGTGTTAAATGAGGATGAGATGATCACTGTGTTGTACTGAGTCATTTATTGGAAGGTACTCTAATATCAATTGCGCACAAGTCAATCACAGCACGCTAGAAAAAAAACTCGCTGTGATTGGCAGTGGGCAGTGGGCAGTGGGCACACAAAAAATTTAAGGCAGTAAGAATAGCTAAAGGTATAGATGAAGTGATATAATTTTAAGGGAATTAAAATAATAATGCATATACTTTTCAAAATTTTAAAAACCTTAATAAAACTTTAATAAAACCCACATTTGATACTTGTCTTGTGAATGTAAGTGAATATATATTCTTCCATATTTCTCTTTATCACTTATTTATTAAATAAAAACTTTAAGAATTTTGTCTTCCAAGCTTATTACATATACAGATATCTCGGTTTTCTGAGGACATAGCCACTTCAATTTTGGCAAACTGTGAATGACTTATCCTGATGAACCGACAAAATTATTAACATTAATATATTTAAGTTTCGTTTATGTTGACTCAAAAAGAGTCGAAAAAATGTCATTGATGTACAGTTTACTGAATAAATGGTAAAAATTCGTTAATATTTTGTACATTGTAAACCGCACTGTACTCTCATATTAGCCCATTTCTTTAATTATTAGTTATACTTTAAGAATCTTTATAATTTTAAATTTAATAAGATAAACCTACTGCTAGTACCAGAGAGAATATAACAACTCAAAACCTGTAAACGGCAAATGCTGCCGCGCACAAATCGCGCCACTTCTGAAGAAATGGATATTAACTACACAACAACCTTTTCGTGGTGTTCCTGATGGGAAATAGATAGTTGAAATCTCCAAAATTTATCAAATCAATAGAGATTTCAACGATTTATTTCTCCTCAGGAATATATCTCGCAAAAAGATGGATATTGTGTAGTTAACATTCACTTCTTCAGAAAGCGGTAATATGCGATAACGTTTTGCGGTTACAGGTTTTGGGTCATCATGTTTCTCTCTGCTAGGCTGCGTTCCGTTTCACACATGATGCGCATGCTGCATTATTTATTCTTGTTATTCATTGTATATTAAACAAGGATAGATGATGTATCATTATATTTCAAATTTAATAATAACAAAAGAATTATTTAGTTGCAAATACACTGCGCTGCAACATTACGTAATTTATTTGTAACATTACAATGAGATATATCTGCAATCATTTTGCAATCTTTCTGTGCTGTATGGGATCTTCAGTTGCTTTATACATGTTTATGTTTCTTTGATTAACATAAATGATGTCTTAAATTAAAATTAAATAACGATATATTATGCATTTAAATTAAGATACCAAAAACGAATAGCGCAATTTAATCGAATGCGAAGATTTTTTGGCACTGGAACAGAGAGCCTATTTTTTTTGGCTGAACTTTTGCACCAGTTCATTTTTCTTCCTCTTCTTTCCTCCTAGAGAGAAAAGGAAGAAAAATGAACTGCAAAAGTTCAACCAAAAGGAACAGACTTATGTAGTGACAAACTGATAAATTCGTTATGAATAAGTGACTTTATATTAATTACTAAATATCATAAAGTAATTATATTAAATTAGTTACCATAATTACTAAAGAAATGTAATTATTATAAGTTAAATTAACAGATGAGTTATAAACGAAAAAGAGGAACGAAGTTAATACTGAAAAAAGTCACTCGCTAACTTGTAACTAATTTGTTATAAGTAACGAGCATAGTTACTTCCCAATCGTACATGATAGATAACTATATACATATATATATATATATATATATATATATATATATATATATATATATATATATATATATATATATATATATATATATATATATATATATACATTTTTATGTCTTACAATATTTCGCTTATTATTTCTTAACAATAATATATCATATATTTAACGTTAATTAAATTGCTTCCGTATGTTAATTTTCTTAATTTTTTACAAAACGTATGAATTAGCTATTTTTAATGTGTCAGAATAATCTGATGCAACATGATACACAACAAAGCCAATAATGTGGCTTTACGAAAGCACTCAAATCAGACATATCATCTAAAGAAAAATGCGTGAACCATACACTGTACAGTCATTTGAAATATAAAGATTCTCAAAATCGAGGACTGCGCATGCAGTATTGCATATACAATATTGCTAATTCAAACAATCAACAATCCGTATCTTATCTTATCTTTCCCAAAAGCGCTTCTGCTCTTATTAACAAAATATTCGATTTTTGTTGGTCTTACAAATAAAAACGATAATTCGTTTCTTTTAAATCGAATCCCGCGAGAGAACGCATAGAAAAAGATTCGTGATTTGAGAATCCCGGAGACGCGGAGTGACGCACGAAGTTAGCCGCATCGAGCGGCGAACAGACCGGCGATGATTGGCCAGAAGATCCTCGCGCTCGGCCAATCGTGGCGCGACACGTGCTTGAATGGAAATGGTGACAACTGAGAGTCAGCCAGTTGCGTCAGTTTATTCGCGTCAGTCGTATCGTATAGTGATGAAGCTTGTAATGTTTTGCTCAGACTGATATCGAAATCCAAGCTGGATCCATCATCGAAGGAACGACGCGATCGAAGACACGGAGAATTGTCGTTGTAGCGCGAGAGGTCGGAAGTTAAAGAATATACTGAGAAAGTAGGACGCGTCGCGTCACATCGTATGGCGGATTATGAGCTCCGTGAAGAGTGTCATCATCACCCTGCCTAAGGGAGTGCCCAAGGCGATCCCGAGGACCGAATCGTCGCGCAACACGCTACCTAAGCTGAACTTTACGTCGATCCTGATGGACAAGGCAAGGATGGACAGCAGGAAGGTCGTCTCTGATCAGCAAGAGGAGACGCGCGATGACGACGTCGCGACGCTCCTCGAACCCGTGGACATCCGCGTACGTGGAAAGAAACGCCGGCTGGATCATTTAACGTGGGAGGAGAAATTGCAACGAAAGTAAGCGAGAGAATCCAGTTATCAGGATCATTTTTGTCAACCTTTAAAGATTCAAAGTTTTGGAAGAATTCGAATTTTCGAAAGTTCGGAGTTAAGCTTTGAAAGAAGCTTCGAAAATTCGGGATGACTATACACTTTTTTCTACAATTTCTGTAATTCTACGTATTTCTAGGAAACATGCCGTCCACTTGACGCTCAATCGCGAGTATTGTTTTTGTTTAGTATTTAAACAATAAGATAAACAAGGCTGAAATGATTCTAAATGTGTTGCGAGTGCCAAGTGGAAGTGTTGCAGCCTATAATTCTGCTGACATTTGTTCACATTTATTTAAATACGATTATTGATGTTACACTTTTTACATTTAGAATTATTATTCTCATCATTTTTTGCTTTTCTTCAACGCCTTAGATTAATTCTATAATTTTCTTTTTATTTCCTGTTTCTTGCTATTTGTCTCTTGTCTTATTGATCAAAAAGGCAAGAGATAAACAGAAACAAACAGCAAAAGACAGGAAACAAAGAACACATTGTAGAACAGACCTGTTGTTAAAATAGGACGCATTCCATAAGCACAATTCATATAAATTAATTTATAATTAATTGAATTCGTCGAATCTATAAAGTATAAATATTCTGGTTTCAAAAATTTTTCCTATATAGAATTACATCAGTCAAGGACTTGTATCAGCATTACTCATGGCAATGGTTGACACTTATCAATGTTTAGCTTATCCACAGATTGTTTTTTGCTTTGATAAAAGTGGCAATCCTATAATGTTTAGTGTTCAGTAGGCGTATCTTTTTTACTTAACTCCCAAATAAATCTTATCAGCTTATCAACGAGCAGATATGTCCAAACGATATTTCTCAGTGAATTTTTCAAAATTAAGACTGGAACACAGATCTTTGCATAATACATAAAGTATAATGGGCTTTTAAAGTCTTCACTTAAACTTTAAATTTTAAACCACAAAAAATTGATTTATCATAATCGGATGTGAGAAGAATAATCGACTACGATCATTCTTAATCAATTTCTTAGGTCTTAAAACTTAAAGCTCTAAGCTTAAATGGCTTATTGTAAAAGCTCATAAGAGAATTGATCGATCAGTCTTTTCTTCCTGACAATGAAATGAAGAACTGACTGATTCTCTTATACTTTATACAATATACATTATAAAGATGCTCTGACCTTTAAAATTATGAATATTTACATGAGATTTAAGGATGTACAAAATGCCCATTTCAGAATAATTTTGTTGCGAAATATTTTCCATGTAATAAACGGCGATCACCTGCTTATTATGCGTCACTTTGATGATTCATTTCTATTGACGTAAATGCGATTACGCGATATCGCTATATGCGAATTAATTTTTTCCGGATCTGGAAAAAATGAATTGGCAGAATAATCCACTGATAGCAGTTGTTTCAACATTTCTCTAACTTTATTTAGAAATAAATTATTAATTAGAAATATTAATTAGAAATAAATTGTCTGTAAAAAAAAATTATGAAACGAGAAACAATGTTGAATCATACATTGGGAAACGAAATAGATTTTAATACAAAGAAATTTTTTTTCGATCATACTAATATAATATGTAGCTTTATTAAAATTTTATTAAAATAAAAAAAAACAAATTTTTAATTCTTAAAATTTTTAGTTAGAAAGTTTTAATTTTTTAATTTTTTATAAATTTGTAGAAATAATTGATTTTATTCTTTTCATTCTTTGCCGTGAGAGAGAATTTGTGATCATCTTGGCTATTTATTCATTTATTTATTGCTCTATTTAACATCGACGTTTTCTTTATCCGGCTTTATTAGAAAACTGAAGAATCGAGTGGCCGCTCAAACCTCGCGAGATCGCAAAAAAGCCAGATTGGACGAGCTTGAGGAAACAGTGAGGACACAGAAGGAAAGGAATGAGTTACTTAAACAGGAATGTGCGATGCTCAGGTCGCAGAACGAACTGCTGACGTCGCAGAACGAATGGCTGTTGAACGAAAATAAGAGGCTTAGAAACGAGAGAGACGCAGTAAGGAACACGCTCACAGATCAACAACAACCGATCTGCTCCGCCTGTCGGACTCGTGTCGATGGTGCTGTATCTTCGCTGGGATCTGCAGTATCCCCCAATGACCCTCTGCCGCAGGGTGGGACAGCACAGTCGGCATTGCGCCCGATTCGGACACCAGGAGCAACCGCGCTGCTGAAATTTCTGACTCTATACTTCCTTTTGAAGAATTGTTCAGCGTATTCCAAAGCGCCGACGCCGAACGATTCGAAGAGTTGGCGGAAAGCCTCTTACGAGAAGTCAGTCCAGAGGTTGAAGCAAATCCTCATAGATCAAATGAACAAGTGAGTCTTGGGAGTTGCAATCGATATATATACAATTGCATCTTTTGTATTGCATTTTCATCATATCTTGTTGTATTTTTCACTCAGAGCAAATCGCGAAAAAATAGCTATTATCGCTCCACTTCTAATTACAAGAGCTGGTATAATTTTTTTTTCTTTAAAAAATAGTGCACATTAAGTTTTTTTTTAACACTATAATTAAGTCTTATTATTTTTTCTTAATTATATTTCTTTTTTTTTTTAAATCGCACGCTTAGTGTAGTAACTTAGATGTAAGATGCAGAGATGGATGAAATATTCCGAAGTAGAATGGAATTCTAATCTCATCAGAGAATGCAAGTTTTAATCTCCGGAGAAAATCCGAACATTTCATTCATTTCCTGTACAATCACGCGTCCTCATGATTTAGTCGTTCTCTCTTAATGACCTGTCGATCGCTCTTCATTCCACAGGTGTCCGTCAACGAAGCTCCCGTTGAAAAATCTGACGATCCAGAGGCATTGGTGGGGCAGACATCAAAAAATGTGGAAGCCAGTAGAACTGGTGGAAGCATAGACAGCGTATCCTCTTATCTACGAGATACGTCCAATTGGTTTCTCGAGGACTGCGACACAACGAAAACCACGTCTATCAAGACCGAGACTGAAATCAAACAGGAGTCTGAGACGGTATCGGATCTCGATACTGTCTATGGTACATACGACGAGACCACCAACTCCATCACGATTATGTATCCGGGTGAAGAGAATGACGGCTGTGTGGGTATCCAGGAATGTGTGCAAGAGGTGGTCAGTAGTAACGAGAGCGGTGCCATCAGCCATGCCACAGACGATGCTGTACATCTCACTGTTCCTTCATCGGGCATTCAATTGCGCTATCCGACGGCGCAATTCTCACCGGCATACACCAATTCTATGTCACCTGCTATGAGCGATGTAGACAGCTACGGTATTTCCTCGACAAAGCAGATGGATTGCGCCAGTTTATCGGACGGTGGATACGAATCTCACGATTCCCCGCAGTCACACATGTCGGAATTATTCGATCTCGAAAGTTTCAGCGAGCTGTTTCCCACGTTGGGCTGACAATTCCGGATAAGGCGTGCTGCCGAGGCGAACGCCAGATCGATGTCGAACCGTTACAAATGTGACACGGGAAATTTCAGCGAAAATAGTCTACAAAAGAAAAATGAAAGAGAAATTCGGAAAATATCGTTATAATATGCCGAATAAATCGTTTAACATTAGATAGAAACTTGGAAACTTCGACTAGACTCTCGCACATTTTTTATCAATATCGAGGAGTTTAACTTCAACGTTTTGAACGAAAAATATAACTCTTGAAGACTTGATTTAATGCAAGTTATGTAAATATGTAATAAAACTGTGTCCTACGTTCTCGTACTTAATATGTACGTTAATTATACTTGTATACTCATTTAAATGATTATAAAAAGACATAATATATAACTATTTAAAGAGGCTCTTTATATAAAAGTTATTTTAATTAGCAGAGAGCTTCTATGGAGAGATAAATTTGTTTCTTCTATTCTTTCTTTTTGTTACAAATTAGCTTTGAATAGTAGCTTTATCCAGCACAATTAGTAACACGACATATTGCTACATATTGTCTAACTATTAATTGACATTAATAGTACCAAATTTTTTTTACAATAAAATTAAAACTAATGATATATTAACTATAAGAATATATTTTTGTATATATTTAGATCATAAATTTTTTTTAATTTATTCGATATAAGAGAATATATCTAAATAGTTTTCTATAGACATGAACGGTGAATTTTTTTTACACACACACCTACACATGCCTATTTAAGAAATTTATTATTAATGTATACATGTTTAAACATATTATATATATATTGATTTTGTCGCTGTGTAACAAATAAATCTCAAACTAATAACATAGTTTTTATTTTCCAACTCTGCGCTAAATTGCGTCGTTTGTACCTGATGACACGAATTCGTTCTATTTATTTTTCGTAATTTTCTCGATTGTTTTATATGACAATATACAATTCGATATAAGTAGACATATGTATGTAGCGCTGTTCACGCGGTAATATTAACTGATTATTATATTAATGCTATTTAAATACTTTATAAATATACGAAATATTTTTAATGCGTACGGGAAGAGCTTTCATCAGGGAGATATTTGGTGGCAAAGATACGGTTGTACAAATATTACTAGATATTATCGACAAATTATTAATAATGATAAACTATTATATATATATATAGCACCCTTTTCGTTAATCCTTAAACGGCATGACAAACTCGAAATAAACAGTTTGAGAAACGCGTGTGATTTACACAAAATTAGATGAAATTAAAAAAAAGAACATTGCATGAAAATCAGAATATTCTGACGCATCTATCAATTTTCGAAAAATTTTCTTTAGTGGAAATTTAATAGAGAGAGATCTATTACAACTTTTTAGCATTAAATATTTTGACAGTATATTTCGTAACTTTTTATTGAAATTTTCTCGGTATTAATCGAGATTGGAATTGTATATATTGTTCATTCATATATAATGACTTTATCTCTTATAATCTCATTTAATTTCCCTAAAAAAAAAATTGTATAAAATTGATCTCAATTTCATGAATCAGCGATCAAGATGAAATAACAGATCATTTAATCTCTTAATCCAAATTCTATTCATGTCCTTTTGCATACACCATTCGTTAGTCAATATTTATTTAAGAAAATGGAAATTTTTTTTTTCTATAAGGCTACTTTAGGCAATGTGAGTTCTCGCATATAGACAATCAAAGCAAGTAAATATTTATACTATGTACGTATTTCGTCAAGAGTAATAAAATGTTGTCGAGAGAAATAGTCTCTCGTTTCGTTACGTTACAAAAAATTTCGAAAAAGATTATTTATCCAAAGAGTTTCTCAAAGCAGCCATGGCAGTAAGGTTTGTCGTTTTGCTCCTTGAATGTGCCCTTGTTTAATTGTTTCAAACAAAATGCACATACAAAGTGCTCGGGATGGAATTTGCGGAACATCGCCGTTATGCAACGACCTGCAAAAAAGCAAAATACAAATGATATTAGTTCACAGTATTTTTAAAATCTTATTTTTAAAAAATTTAGCGTACTCACCGGTAATGGGCTTGTGGCATCCTGCACATAAGGATCCTCTCTTGGCATGATAATGTGTCTCGCAATATGGCAATCCTTCATGATCGAAGAAGGATCCGCCCTGAAACTTCTGTCTGCAATCCTGCAAAATAAAAAAATAGGCGCGTTTGAATATTATATAAAAAAAGTTTAATATACGAGAAAAATATCACGCTACTAAATTCTGTAAACTTTAAAAAAATATGTATCATTATTTCAGTTAAAAGATGAATATTTCCATGAAAAAAACAATGGAAAAGTATGCAAAATTTTATGTTAATTAATGTTTAAATGTTTTAATGAAATGTATCATTAATATTATGACATGAGAACATCAATAATGATAGTTTCTAAGAAAAAAATGTTTGCGATTATTTAAAAATTATAAGAAATGGATAGTAACTTGGAAACATTCTGTATATGTTATATTCCACTACTATTTCTCATTTTGAATAAAAATGAGATTCATATAAAATTAAACGACATTAAAAAAAAATCGATTAAAAATCGACATGCGATTTATATTTTATATTTATCAGTAAACTGTGATAAAAAAAATGTATATGTATATATCAGAATTGAATTTTTAATTAATATGTATTTTCTTGACTCGCTTCAATTCCTTCGCAGAAACATTTATATCTATATATATTTCATATATAATAATTTAACCATAAAAAAAATATTTTGATCGAGAGAAATTAATCGTTCTACTTTTCTCGAGATGAATTTTTTATGTCAATTTGATTCATCTGCTGTTACTATACAATCTAAAGAATGAAAACATCCATTTGTGATAATGGCATTGCTGTTCACAGCGTTCAGCTGCTAGTTCTTCCCTGCATCTTTTGCCAAGACGCGCATCTCCGAGTCGCTGGGTGTGTAGGTGAGCCAGTCGACTCTCAGTGTCGCGTGTGTTTTTGTTTTAGGGGTTTTCTTTTTTTTGGAAGGAAGTGGGATGAGGGAGGGAAGGTTTTTATCTCTTTACTTTTCATAAATAGTACTAATAGTATCCGCGCGACTCTACAGAATTCCTCTTTATTGTCAAGAACTCGGCACAATGTCAAGGTGCGAGCTTGAAAACAAAAGCAGCTAGCTCGTACTTGTGCTTGCCGAGAGTATGCCCTGCGATGTAAGAGTGTTGTGTCCGAGTGTGGAAAGTGTGTTTTTCTTTTTCGATGCGGAAATTAAAGCGACGGCGACTTGTAATCGGTGTTTCTCCGTGCACTCGGTCTTCCTTAGCGCCAAGCTAAATCACCTGTTAGAGAATCAGGGGAATGGCTCCGCATTCATAGAGCCGGAGGGCATACAAGGGGCAACATATCATGCGGGGGTAATTGGGCGATAGTGATAAAGAAATTCGGCGTGAGGAATTGGTACGACGACGTGAGGCGGCGGGATCGAGCGGCGTCCTTACGCCTCTTGCTCTTCCTCTTCCTCGTCGTCGTCGTCTACCCCGACGCACTTCGGACACACCGGCTGTCCCTCCATCGCATAGAAGGACTTTCCGGAGACCGGCTTCTTGCAATCCTGTAATTGTCAGAATTTAATGTACTTGATCTATGGTTTTTGTGACGATTTCTCCGCGAATTTTCGGGATTTTTAAGATGAAGGAAATCTTTCCTTCGTTTCCTTCACGCATGAAGAAAACGAAGATGTTGATGATCGTAAGGTTTGCGCTGAAAATGAAATTTAGTAATAAGATACACAAATATCACAAGTATGATACCTACCCTGCAAACGAAGCAGTCCGGATGCCACTGACTATTAAGCGCAGATATATAATTTTCCATGATAGCACGATTGCAACCACCGCACTTGGGTGCGAACATGTCGAAATAGTCCTCGCGGCAATAGGGCTTGCCATCCCGCTCGTGGAAACCCTCCTCTCCGAACTGCTTGCCGCACTGAGCGCAAAAGAAGTGCTCGGTATGCCAAGTCTTCTCCAGGGCGGTCACACATTTCTGGAAAAAAAACATTTCTTTCAAATCCACCAGCGCGACTTTGCATGATGAAACATTTAGAGGCATCCAGGAAAAGAGTATGGATTAACATTTTCAGTGATGATTAATTTTTTTTCTGTATTGTAACTAGCATTATGATCCGGAGAAAGAATTCTATAAATTAAAATTTATCATGTCATTCAGGCATTTCATGAATGCCAAGGGATGAAAAGTTTAAGGGAAAATTGAAGATTTGTGTCTTTTATTTTGTTTTTGTTCCTCTTAATCGCACTTATAAAATCCGATCACGACTTATACTCTAATGGGCCCGTTGCAGTAAGCGCAACGAGGAGAGAACAAGTTATGATAGTCCGTTTCGCAGTAAGGATGACCCTCCCTCTCGAAGAAGTTCCGTGTACCCAACTCCTGGTTGCAGTGAGTACATGTGAAATGTTCTGGATGCCACGTCTTGCCCAATGCCGTTATCACCTGCGCAGCAAGAACATTATTAAGTCAAGGAAAATATCCAATCGCTGAACATCGCATTAACTCTCAAGGATCATGATGAAGTTGACGGCTACCTGGCCCACGATAGGCTTTTCGCAGGCGCTGCAGCATCCTTTCTGGGTTGTGTTGACACCTTGGCGGCTCATGTCGGCCTGAAGATTGCCGAGCATAGAATCCAACTGATTCTGCTTCAAAGGTTGGCTCTCTCCTGGATGGTAGAGGTGAGTCGTGTGAGTCTCGGTAATGTGAACGCGGGTCTGCGTGCCCTCGTTGGGCAAAGGGCTCTGTGAACTCTTGGTAGCTTTGTTTGGCTTCGCGTATGGAGAGTCGGTCACCGTCTGATGTTGATGAGTACCGCTATTGATCTGCAAAGATACGCGTATCGTAGGATCGAACGCGTAAAAATCCAAGTGACAACTCTCTATCCGAGAAATTAAGATTAAATTCGAAATGCGGACGCTGTGATCTCGATCTTGAGGTTGAGAAAATCAGGCAATAAAAAATTTAAAAAAGATGCAATTTTAAAGTATAAAAAAATGTCCTCAACCTGGAGATCAATAATCTTAATTTCTCGAAAAGTTGAAATGAGTTGCACTCGTTGCACTAAATCCTCGAAAAAAAAAAAAAAGATATATAATTCCCCGCGTAATTCTATGAATATTGGTATCAATCGTGCACGTGTCTGTATGTGTATGTATTGTCAGGTGTCGAGTGAGAGGTGTCGGGATGCGAAGGTTGTTCAAGGTTGAGTATCGCTAATTTGACGGGCAAGGTGAGAGAAAAGGGTCGGGATGTCAAGGATGGCAAGTCCGAGATGTCGAGTGAAGAAAAATGAAGACCCACGGGCGAGATGGTAAGGTAAAGTAGGAGATGTCGATCACCACGGGCGAGCTTGCAGACTGGCCGAAAGCTCCGGGTGTTCCGGTGGGTCACACCGACGCGCGGGTGCCCCACCTCTTCGTGGCTTCATCTTCTTAGTCCCCCTTCTTTCGCAGCCGCGGGAAATGAAGGAGGTCGTCGGGGAGGAATATCTAGTGCGGCTCCGGTAGGTAGTCCCCGGCTCCACGATGGTGGCGAGATGGTTATTTTCGTAACGTGGGGAGCCAAGAATGGGCAGGAGTAGATTTAACGTCCCGGTGTTTTCCGATTCCGCGGTAAATCAAAGCGGCGAACGATTAGGGATAGTCGGACAGCGGCCTGTATACCTATTTCGTCAACAGCTACATGCGGATCCATGCACGGAGAACTTACACGGGAAAGATAATGATCACTGAGCTTAATGATACAGCATGGAACAGTAGACATATCTTCTAAATGCTTGAATGTTACCTTTAAAAATGTTACCTGGTTATGTACACAATGCAAACGAGAAGCAACATCTCTTTCGGTACGAGATTAAACATAAAAATGCGTAAGTCCATTCGGCTTCCAGCCAGCAACAAAACTTCGGCAAGCAAGTCTTGTCCGTTTATTTAGTTTATTTGGCGATCTCATGCTCATTGGCAACATTGAAGGTTGAAAGCCGATGTGGATACCGAAAGAGCTATTTAACCCTTTAAGAACGGCATTGTCTTCAATTTATAATGTCTTTATATATAATGATAATTTTCTACCAACTTTTCAATATTATTGATACACTTGCTGTATTTTAATCATTTATTGACTTCTTTATTAAAAAATTATAGCTACGTTTAATCTCTCTGGAAAATGAAATATTACGATATCAGCCGCTTCGCAAGGGTCAATTAGCGTTATGTATCGCAATTACGTGATTACATTATTATGGATGAATGGGTACCTTAAATTCGGAAAGCGAAGCCATTAGGTCGTCCAGCTCCTTGGTAGCGTTACTCGCGGTATGACCGTTAGGGTAACTCCTGTGAACCTCGGTTCGATTCAACGAGCCATGCTGACTGGAGGGATAGCCGTCGTAGACCGGCTGTATCTCCGTGGACGTTTCTTGTATGGTGACTCTCACCTTTCCATCGGCGGGATAGTCTCTGCTCGAAGGGAGGGAGAGACAATATTTCGTTTTACCAAACGCGAATTATCTCAGGGACTGAAATCCCTGGTTCACCGATGAGTTCGATCTTCTACGATCGCACGAATAATTGGGCGATAACCGTCGAAGTCTGAACTCGCCGGAACTATATAATTATTTCAATCTCAAAATTATTAATTGCAAGAGCTAAATGTTTGAAAGCAGCCAGTTTTCACATTGTTTTAGGATTAATTTGCGCGCACACACAGAAAGCTCACCCGTTAGGCACTGCGGTGCTTAGTTCCTCAAGCAACGAGTCGACGGTGGGTCGAGAGGCTGACATGCTACTTGGAGAACGAAGCATGGGGCTAGTCGCACCCCCGTTCACTCCTGCAGACGCGCGGCTGTCTATAATCATCGAACTCTGTGCGTAATATATGAAGAAAATGGAAGAGATATTATCGTAATTATCGTGTTCTCTTTGATTTCTCGCAAATAAAACTAATTTCTATTCGGCAAACGTTTCATCTATTGCTTTCTTAGCAATCAACATTTAATTTTCTCAACTAAAATTGCGAATTGAATCTTTGTTTAAGTTATATCAAATATAAAGATTGATTAAAGAATATGATGAGATAGACTGTTAGTTCTATTTGAGTCTACGAGTCTCTACGAGTCCAAGTTATGAAAAAGCTTCTATATTTAATACCGCTCATGATTTTTTAAAGAGATTCAGAGAGTTATAGATTGGAGTCACAAAGAATGTATGTTGAAAAAAATTGACAGACCGTTCGGGAAAGAATTAAGAGTCTAAATAGTCAACCTCTTTCTTGATAGTGGGTATTATAGTGCGCGTTGCTCAAGTCTTGCAGGAGGGTGTCCAACTCGGAAAGATTGTTATTGAGGGAAGGCATCTTGCTCCCGGTACTGGTTTGGGTGTAAGATGTACTTCCGGTTTTACCCATGGTTTCTTCTATCGCCTCGCGATTCTGATAAGTCGGCTACAACATTCGGGAAAGGTCGCGATGAATCGAACGATTCAAAATTCCTTCATATCATACGTGTATCTGTCAAAGACAGAAATTATCTTACGTAACAACACTTTTATAGTTTTACATAAAAAAATTGACTTGAAAAAAATTAATGCAATAACTCATTGATATTTTTTTATAAGAAGTTTGTCGTATCTTGAAATATTCGTTCTCATTAATTTATTCTTTATAATTGACGTGCGATTTCAAGTGTAAAATTTAGTCTCATTGTATTAGTTGACAATTTTATTGTTAATTCCATGCTTGTGACGAAATTCCAGCTTAATGGTTTTTAATAGGTTTTTTCAATGAATATAGAGAGAATATAGAATAGAATATAGAGAGTCCTAACATAAAGAATCCTAATAATTTAAATTAAGTCTTTAAATTTCACTGAAATAAGGAAAATTAGAAAAATTGCAACTACTTCTTCGGATGAATGGACAGTACAAAGATGACTTGAACGGCAGCTGTGTGACATTTTGCGTTCACCCAGGTGTTCTTGGCTTGTTAATCGACAAAAAGCAATGTCCTGCCAAGTTTCCGCAAAGTACAGTTATTATTATTTAAAACTATGATGTCACTAGAATCATTATGCAGCGCGTGTGGAACGTTGTCGTTTAGGACGATGTGCATTTTTAGTCTCGACAAAGTCAATTTTAGATCGCTTTTAGCCGCAAGAGAAAATGTCCTAAAAATATGGATTGCCATCACGCATCTCTTCTGCTTAAAAAGATAAATATTCAATAATAATATTAAATAAAATTTAATTGAATAAGATTACTAAATAAAATTACGAAACGTAATAAAATTTTTGGCGCGTCATATAATTTAATTAATACAAATATAATTTACAATGATTGTATAAAATAAATTCGTATTCACACAATAATATGAATTATAGTTTTATAATATAGGTTTTTTAAACAATAACATTTTTTAAAGATTATTAGATAATTGAACGTGTCGTTCTATGTGTAATGTCCGTCCATCTATTCTAAGTTAAAGATATCGTTTTAATAAGTAAATCAAAGATGTTCCAATTTCCAATTACAAAATTGGCGACTCGCGAGAAGTTGCTCAGACTTGTTTACCAAAATTAAATTTGATGCTTGACGTCAGGCTAATCGATGGCCAAATGCGAATTGCAACCATCCGTAACGATAAATTAGAGACTCTTACGAGTCTTTGAAGAGGAAATGATGCGTAATAAAACTAGTACAATTGGGGTCGATCACTAATAATCCCCCCTGCATAAAAATAAATTGCCACTGTAATTTACAATTGTTATTGTCCTCCCTATTTAAATCGCAGGACATTAATAATATCATTGTTAATGTAACGAAAAGTCTATTTATAATAATTTACATCTAAAGTATACAAAGTCTCTTTAGCTTTCTCTCTTTAACATAATTATTATATACATTTATAATTCAATATATTTTTCGCAATTATTGTAAAATCATGTCATTATATTGAAACAAATGATTTTTAAGATTTTCATGATATTGATATTTTATATTAAATAAATTACTTAAATTAATTCTTTCAAATAATTTCCGAAAATAATAGACAAATTGTGTGCAGTCGAATTTCTGAAAAGCAAATAAAGACGACAAGATTTATCACCGAACTCCCGCATGATATTTTTTTTTTGCAATAAAGCAACATTATAGCGCATCCTGCTGGACGGAAACTAGGTTACACGATGAGTTGTCGATCTAAAAATATATCCGCGGTAAGCCAGCAGAAACATGTTAGCAAGACGTATCGGCGCTTGGTGGGCAATTTCGGTGGCGACATCATTATTAACACGAGGCAACATCTGTAAGATCTCTCGTGCAATCTTCGCATTATCGCACGATGCGTTGCAACTGTCAAATTATTGCATGATAGAAGATTCTTTAATAAATTTAGGTTTTTTTTTCATAAGAATTAAAAAAATTATCGTACATTCGCCTCCCATAGATTTTGAACAATTTCACCTAACATGGATATCTACACTGAGAAAGATTTCTGATTAAAAAATAACAAACCAGAATATCCTGATCATATCAATCTGATTATTTCAACCAGAAAATTCTGATTCATTTATTTTCAACCACAATTTCAATTAATACAACCAGACACTTTTTCCAATAACTAATATATAACTATAATCAAGAATGATCAATCTAAGAAGAACCAATTTATTATAAGCCTATTATTTTCGGCATTTTTACCAATCTTATTATAAGCCTATTTATTTTCTTCATTTTTACCAAGTCTATTATTTTATTATCTTAATTAAAAATTTGATTTTCTCAAATTTGCCGTTGGTTCCTCCCGGGAGTAAAACAGCATTTGAAAGACACTTTGTACATTTCACCCATCTGAGATAACATTATGCGTCCAGCATGTATGTGGCCACGTGCTCGCGTTGTTACCGCATTCAATGTTTATGCAACGGGCTGTGTGCAGGGCTGCAGCAGATGCAGCCACAACGCAAATCGCATTCTGGAGCCATGCTGGCGCGGGCTAAATTCGCGCTTCAAAGGGAAAGCTTAAACAACTCGCGACCTTCAGCACGACGACGGCAGGATTTGGCACCCGGCACGGTAATTCAGGAAAATGGTTATTGCCATCATCGACGTGTCTTGTAACCCGAGCCGTTGTTTAGCGTCGTGCACAATTGCGTGTTGGACAATATCGCGAAGGACAATGTTGAAATAGCAAAGCTTCGAGAGGTATCTCAAATCGATAAGAAATTTATCGTTAAGAATATTTTTATTTTATTAGAGATTATATCTGCGACAAAGACTTGATGATTAAAAAAAATTTACGATACTATAAATCAATTAAATTAAATTAATTAATTATTAACTGTATTAAAAATGAAAAATTGACAACAGATGTATAATTTGTTATTTGTAATAATTAATGAGATTTGTAATAATTAATAATTAATGAGATTTAATTTCTCTGCAGTGATGTGATTTTTAAATCAAAGATTGTGACATATCCGCATTAAAATGCTTTACGAAAACAAGTTCGCTGACAATTTCGCCTAGTTGGCCATCGCAAAAATAGGTCTCGGACTATATCGAAACTGGATTACATCCGAGTATGACGACTGCAAAGCAAACTTGATGACAGATCGATGCTATAACGACACGTTTCAAGAAGAGTAATGTCTAGTGCGATTTATGTGAGAGCGATTTATAACATGCTGTCGGAAATTTCTTAGCTGTCCTAATTCATTAAACAATCGATTAAACAATCGGTTAAACACGCGAATTTCTTTCCTTTTCAAGTTTAAACAGTTTCATATTGTGAACAAAACATCGAAAAATTATTACTTCAAAAGTATATATTATTTGTTATAATAATATATAATAATGCTATACTGTACTATAAATAAATAAATGTTACAAAAATGTAATTACCTAACACAATATTTAAATATAAATTAAAAATATATTATAATTGAATAATAAATATGATCATAAAACTAATATTTATACAAATGTATTGTATAATTTTTATAATAATTAATTTAAAAATGTTACTGTCAATGTTGCAATCGAATTAATCTAAGTTATTATTTAAATAATTTGAATATAGTGTTACAACTGCAGTACAACTACCTGGACTTTCAAAAGTCATTGACCTAACGTCGCTCTCCTCCATTGTTTCTATACAAACAATACTAATTGAAGTAGAATAAGTGAATGATCAGCCAAGAAATAATAAATAAATTTATCATTTTTTAATCATTCTGATCTTGCTTAAATCATTTATTATTTTCTCAAGTAAATACTTGCAGAATCAAACAATGAATGTATCCAGTTTCTCTTAAGTGTTAAAGAGAAATTATGTTTTTAAATTCTTTTTAAATTCTTTTTCCGATAAAAAATGATAAGACGGTAAGCTTTTCTTTCGATTAAAAATAAAGTATCCCGTAAGAAAAGTTAAAAGCAGAACTATGAATACTTCCACTAATCGTACGATTTCCACTGCAAAATGCATCGAAATCGATTCTGTGCTTGTCTGTATCTCAATTCTACTTTCAATATGTAAGTTCTCGCTATACGGAAAATGTCGAGGTGTGCAAAAGTCAGCGAAAAGATACATAATATTTGCACACTCCTGAATGCGTAAATACATAATTCGCGACTTGACGTCACGAGCTGTTGAACTGCAGATGGACAGAGATGGTTTTATTTTTTTTTTTGTATTGCAATAAAGCATTCAATAAGAACTGGCGCTGTCAGCGAATATACGGTAGCTTAGTCGCGTTTGACCGCAAATTTTGCAACCGGAGCGCGACATGAGTCGAGAATCATGAATAATAGAGACCTTGCTGCCCTAGGCCGAGCAAGAATCGATAAAATCGGCAGGGAATGTAACAGGTGGGGATTTCTTTGTCGCGGGAAAACTCGCGGAAATACATACGACTGGTCTTCTATGTACAGAATAATACTGTACGTAATATTATTGTACGTAATATTACTGTACGATTTTATTTGTGTATCATATTATTCCTCGATCTCAAATATTATATTTAATGACATTGAGAATAATATTTAATGACATTGCTAATATTTTTCTTATAATGTCGCAATTTTAAATCATAAAAAAAGCAAGAAAAATATCTCGGTATAGTACAATTTACTTCTTCATATTTAATATTCCTTTAAAATCATTTTTAACTAGAATTAGATTAATTAGAAGATTTCTGAAATTTTTTGTGTGATATATTAACAATCCAAAATCGAATTTTCTTCATTCACAATTTCGTCCGCGAATACTTAATTAAATTAAGCTCAGTTTATGTGCGTAACCTTCGTATCTTCAGCCCCCCAATTCTTCCCAGTTAAAATGAAGATTAACGAGAGTAACTTGAGAATCTCTCTCCGGGTTGATACGCGATTCCGTTTGCCGCGCAAACAGAATCGCGTTTCAACGTTGTTGCCTGTAGATGCTTCAGACAGTCAATTTTAGACACGATATTGATTCTAATTTTACATTCCCCCGTTACATCACAGTTATTTCCGACCGTGTTTTATGTCTCTACAAGTTTCTCTTTTTTTCCTTTCTCAAAACAACTGATGGTTAACGCGAGAGATACCAGAATTTTGTCACGCGCGAGAGTTCGGTCTCTTCAACTTCTTCAGCGGTCTATTTTCATGATTATAACACGGACGATTCCATGTCTAAACAAATTTAAGTGGTTACGCTCTGAAAATATTTCAAAACATTCGCCGATCAAATTGTTACGCAAGATCGCAATATTATCCGCCCGTAAAATAACAGAATTGTTATGTTATGCAGAGGGTAAATAAACAAATTAAAACTTACATATTAATATTAAATACTTTCTGCACTTTGCACTTCGATAAGAGTTCACGTTAGAAAGGTGAGATAGGCTCTAAAAAGATTTAAACATTTTCATTTAGAAGCATCCATATTTGAGAGTAAAATCCCTCGACGAGAGATTCTAACTGGATCCCGTTTACTCGTGAATGTCCGTATATTAATGATATTTGTGGCCCTGAAAGCTAGCGAACGATCGACATTGACAAGACCACGCTGTATCTCGCCGAGACATCGTATCGACAGTTATTAACCGTCGACGAAGAAGTTTATTTATGGATTCCCTCTGTGTCACGCTTTCGCGACCATGACGACGGATTGCTCTATTTCGAGACGTTTTGTAGACTGGAATCGCAAAATGACATTAGTGCCAAAGAGTTAATTTTGTATAACATCTGAAGAGTGTCCCGCATAGAAAAAAAGATACTAAATATTTGTTTGAATAATATTCCATGCAAATATTTAAAAATAAATGTAAACATATATTTATTTGATACAAAAACAATTAATTTAATCACTTTTATCACTTTAATTTTATCACTTTTTTAGTAAATATTTATTTATTATAAGTAAATATTTGTTTAGTACTTCAAAGAAATGTTATATGCATTAAGATTTAAAGAATAAATTTTTTCAATGCACGTATATATACTAGAATTTACATTACATTGAAATTAAATTATATTAAATTTACGAATCGAAAGAATAAAAACGTGATAAATAATAAAAGTACAATGAATATATCTGATATTTTAATATTTCAATAAAGAGAGATGACAGGAAAAATAGGATTTACATTAGTATAGTAAATAAAGGATTTCTATTACACAATTCTGTCAAAAATAGTCGAGTTTTCTTTATCTTTTACGATTGAGCGCGTGAATTGAAATATGTCAAACGCGTTTGGCACCAAAGTCGCTTTGCGTTGGCAGTTTATATGCTTTGTGGGAAAACCGCGACTGTTGGACAGTTGAAGTCGCCGTCGAACCACTTGGCTCCATCTGGCGAACCACGTCCACGACTTCAGCAACGTCTCTTCCACGACAGGTTGAGCTTCCCTGGTTCATCGATAAACCACCACGATGTTCTTGCATCTTATCATCGGGACCGTTCTTGTAATTCCGGCGTACCAGAAAAAATAGAATCCTATCCTTATAAAATTCTCTTTGCAAATCTAGCTTAATCAGCTGGTACACTGCAAAGATATAGACTCATACTTATAGTCGATTCTTATTTTAAGACCATCTTAAATAAGATCATAAGATACTAATGCAGTTCTCTGATTGTTCACAACATCTTAAGACTGTACTTAAGACAGTTTTAAACATAAGAATCGACAGAATACCAGTCATAGATTTGATTATGCCGTATAATCAACATAGGAGATAGCTGAACACGCAGGGTCTAAAACTTTTCGACGTAAACCTCCATAATTAGGCAAACACACGCAAAAGGCGCGTCCTCGTCGATCTTTTAATGATCTAATTGAGACTAGTGCGTAAAGGATTGACGTACCGATTGCGATGGCAGTGGTGATGTGCGATTGTCATAAGATCTGTACGCAGTGGTCGTGTGAACGCGCGCACCATTCAGCGATCCATAACCGGGTGTCGCATTACCTCCGCCGACGTGATTTCCTTCCGATGACACGGTATTCTGTAGGTCCGCCAGCAACGCATCTAGAAACACAATAAATCGATAGATTAATTTTAATCTACCTCGCAATTTTGATCCACATAAAACAAGTAACAGTGGTTCCTCACGTTATCTCATTTAGATTAAAATTGGAAATTTTTAATGTGGATATTTTTAAATCGAAGCACATTTAGTTTTTTTATTTAAAAGTCTCTATCCTTATTTCTTGTTTATTATTCCATAGATAAATTAATAACAATTGAAGAATTAATTATTGTAAACAATCTATCAGATCTTTAATTATATCGCTGTAATGTATCTTTATTCAAAGCATAGTATGAATGAACAGGAAGCAAAATAATAATTGTCCTACTTCTATTTTTATCAAATAATTTGTTCTTAATTGGTGCAATATATACGTTAACTTTTTAAAAATAATAGTTTGGCAAGTACCTTTATGAAGCAGAAAATCATATCCTATAAATTGATATCGTATCATTAGATCAATTGGACTCATTCATTTAATTTCGAGCTACCATATGTAAAAAAAGAAAAATATTGCGACATTGTTTCATGATGACGCCATGCCGACCGCTTCGCTGTCGTCCTTGGCAAGCGTATGAATGCTATGGCACGTTTAATTTTTTTAATTTAAAATATCAGGTAACATCATCTATCCGTTTACTAGTTAAATACTATAATATCATGTAATTTATCCGAATACGTAATCCATGTGAACAATGAACAATAAATTTAATGTAGAAACAAAATATAAATGCCAAAAATTATATAAAATTATACGTTACAATTATACATATTTTAATTATGGTTAATCACACGTTTAATATTGAATACGAGAAGAAAAATATGGGGGAGTTGATTGGTATCATGGAAAAGCTGTAATGAGGTATAAACATTTTACTGTCGTAACAGTGTGAGAAACTCCTTACAATATTGGTCGAGGAAAGCTATGTGAATTCCTATTGTTGTAAATTCATTCATTTTCTGACCTACGTTACAATAGATTTCTCGTACGTAAAATGTCGACGATAAAAGATTGATTTCTTGTCTGAACTTTCTCTTGTTTATAAGAGAATTCCTTAAAGACTAGAAACTTCAGAATTTCTTCCAGAAATTTACTCGTCTTATTCGTTGTTTGTTCCCTTAAACTTGTTAAATTTGTTCCTTGTAAGTTTAATCCTTAAGTACACATGATGATTTTCCTACCTTTTACTACACATAATAGGTTGTTTGTGTTTAAGTAAATTTTCATTTTAACAAATATACAAAAATTATTAAGTGATTTTTACATATACTTTGGAAAATATCTGTAAGAGGTTAAATATTTTTAAAAAATTGTATATAAATGTTATAATTAAAAGGGTTGCCACAAAAAAAATGAATTTTAAAATTCCCTAACTTTTCCAAATTTTCCAGATGAAAATGGAAAATTTTCTATGATTAATAAAAAATATGTAAATTTTAATATTTAGATTCAAGGATTGTAGGAAAAAATTTTGGGTGCAAATTCAAGTTAATAAAAAATAATTTAGATTTGGAAAAAAGAATGCAGTTATGACAAAAAAGAGCGCTCAAATAAAAATACTGAATAAAATATAAGTTTTAATTGTTTTATTAAAGTTTAAAGTGCGCGAGTTTTGAATGTATTTTTTTACTATAAAAACGTCAGATATAATATTTAAAAAATTATAACAATTATTTGGAATAGGAGCAGTTTAAGAAAATTGTGAACAAATTTCAAAATTCCAAACTTTTTTTCGTTTTCCCCTGACTTTTTCCGGTTTTTCATGATCAATTTCAATTTCCCTGACTTTTCCTGGTTTTCCAAGTCCATGGCAACCCTGATTAATTGCTTGATGTTTCCAGTTTTTTGAAAAAAAGAAATACGCAGGACACGAAATCGTGTAAGGATTAATTATTAGAGAAATATGCGTTTACCAAGAGTAACGAGGTTACTAGTCGCTCTCTCATGATTATACACCTGGTACATGTTCTCTTCTTCGGGCACGTGCGTCGTCTCCATCGTGAGAGAGATCCGACACACCCACTATTTCAGGAACGTTGAACCCCGTGAACGGTGGACGCGAATTTCAGGTCGACTTTGGCGAGTCCGTCGTAAAAATGCGGAGAAAGCGCGAAACCGAGGGCACAAATCCGCGAGCGAAAAAATCACGAAACTGAGGATCTCGACGCGACTCTTCTCGCAAACAAAACGTCAGCGGTTTTGCCTCCTGTATACCAAATAACAATATAAAAAAAAGTAAAAATGTAAGAGATAAAAAAATAATTATTAAAAATATTAAAAATTCCCGGAGAACTCGATAAATAGTTTAACAAAAAATTTGAGTTAAGAAAGAATGCATATATAATTCTGAGATGCTATACAGTGAGAAATACAGCGGCGAATTAGTTCACCGAAGCGAAATATGAGAAAAGTGAAGCGAACTGAGACATCGTGACGCTCTATCGCGTTAAAGACTTGGCGCTGATAAGAAAAATATATGTTTATCGAGCGTTTTAATCTGCAAATTTATCGCACCAATTGAGTACATATCCTGAGATTATTATTGTCGTTATTGTTATTATCTCGTCATCTACAAGAAAAAAACAATTTTATTGAAATATCAAAAAATTTAGGTAGATATAGATCTAATAATTTTAAACTATGTAAAAAACTCAAGCATGATAGCTTGAATGCTGCAAAAAGTTTTGACGTTCTAGCAACTAACTGAGTATCCTACATAATTCTTTTAAGTCCAACAAAATTATTTTTAGATCTATAACTACATTTTTGAATACTTCAACAAAACCGTTTTTTCCGTGTACATATAGAAAAATATTCTGTCGCTAAAAAAGTAATTGCTCAATTTCTTCCTTTTAATAATTAACATAAAATATTTTCTTGATAATATATCTTAAAATATACTTATTACAAATTTTAGAAAAATTCATTATTACTTATGTACTCAAAATAAAAATTCATTTTCTTTTAAAGATTTTCTTTTAAAGAAATTATAAAATTGATCGAAGAAGCAATCAATTTTATATAACAAGCAAATCGAATTTGTTTTAATTTAACAATCTTGATTGAAGTATTAAACTCAAATTAGGATTTAGAATATATTTCGAACAAATTTCATGCTTATAATGAACTTTTGAAATACTTGGAACAAGTAATTATTACTTGCACACAATATATATTTTTCTGTATATTCGCTGCAGAAATGAATTCATACGAGACAAATGCGAGAAACGTCAGTTAACTGAGTGTCGATACCAAGATCCAACAGTAATTTCTGCACAAAAAAATTCTCGAAGATGATGAAGTCAAAGTCCAAGTGCTATATATCGTTCACACGGCTCTTTTCGCTTTCACCCCGAACAACTCGCGCTCGTCTCCGTTTTCGAGAGGTTCCAAAGGGTTTCACTCCGATTTTTCCACTCCTGAGGGACAACACGTGTTTAAATGGATGCACGCGTGCGAACGACACGGTGTACACGGGAACGTCGGTGGGACTGATTGTCATTGAAGTGCGCAGGAAGGCGATACAGAAGACGCGCTGGAGGAAGGAGCGAAGCTGGAGAGGAGGAAGGACATTAAGCAGGCATTAAGACGATCGGTAGTGGGGCATTCCCATATGTTGAACGGAAGCTGTGGTATTCAGAAGAAATGGATGCCTAGGCGGCTGGTTGCTCCGCGACATGTCTCCCCGCCTGATTACGGGGAACCCGATTGCACCGCGTATAAACATGCCGTAGCTTCGAGGAAATATTCAGCTGTTCAGGGAGTTCTAGGAGAGCAGACATACAGGGTGTCCTATTTCGCCTTCTTAGAGCAATTTGAAAACTTGACTTCGCCAGAGTTCAACTTAAATATTCATCTCAAATGTACTTAAATAAAATTCCTCAAGTTTTGGATCGCGGAAATTGAATTTTTTAATTTCTGAATTTTAGAGCAAAGTTGAAGAAATTATGGGAAGCGATCCAGGAGTTTGATTATTTCGAAACGAATTCAAATATGCAGTACGATTTTCTGTTTTTTTTTTCTCTGCTAAAAAATTTTTACCTCAATTTTTAGACTATTTTGAAGCTTGATTAATTTAACTTTGCTTCGTCAATTTTTTAATTTTTAATTATTTAGTAATAGTTAACGATGAATATTGCAAGTTTAAAATAGCTTTGAGGAAACTCAAAGACGAACAATTCTTTGCAAGTAGTTAAAGTGGATCTTTTAAAGCACTTTAATGTGCTATAAAACGAACAATCGTGCAGTATTCTGTTGACGTAAATACAACGTAGATGGCAAGAGAAGGCTAAATGTCTCAAGCTTTGACATAAAATATTACGATAAAATTATAGTTTCACGATTAAACATATGTATTAAATCAATCGATCATTTTAGAAACACCATAAGCCAATATTTTCAAAATTAATTTTTTAAAACAAATTTTAAGAGTATTGTGTTCCACAATGTATAAGATAATGAGACATCTTTTACACATTTTTAATTATTTTTAGTATATTATAGTTGTCAAAATTAAAACGTTGTTTTCAATTCTCCAAAAATTAGACTTTTATGAGATTTCTGAAATGACCGATTTTCAAATATCGCCGTTAAAAATATAACATCGGAATAAATATTTTATAGTAAAACGAGTTATTGTCACATGAGAGCCACATCAAATCAAAAAAAATCTTGATAAGGTTTTGATAATGCATATTTAGAATAGTAGTAAAATTTTCAAAAATATTCGCGGAATTATTTAGATCGACTTTCGCGTTCAGACGCATTCGTGCGTACTTCCCTGCGTGCTGCACGCGTTTGCGTTTTTGCGCTTCGCTAACGCGATCTTTTTTTGCGCGCCTCGCGTGCGCCCGCAAGAGCGGGCATTGGATAATCGTCTGAATGGGACTTCAGCACTGGCATTCGTGCCAGCGGAGCTTATCGAGGTCTATTTTGTACGGCTGATTCATACCGCGAGCCGGACATCAATATTGCGCGTATCGCGGGTGCGTAACGCACGCACGTATCTTGCGTAAAGCACTGCGAAGAGGACGGAGAACTCTACTACATCACTAGCGACTATCTTCCTCCTTATTGTCGCGATATAAATTCTTATCAATCTGAATTATTACTCGCGAGTCTAATCGCAGTCAAATGCGAAGCATTTATGCATGCTAATACAAAACTTGGCGAAACGAAGAAGAGACCAACTTAAATTTATATGTTTATTTGAAGAGACCAACTTAAAATTATACATCAAGATGTATAAACATTAAGAAAAGATGATATAATAATGAAGTTTCTGAAATTCATTTTCTGGAAAAAATATTGTCAAATAAAAGATAATGATGAAAAAGTAAATTTGTGTTAAATTTATCTTTTATAACATCATAATAATTAATTTGTCTTCTATTTAACAATATTTTTATCTCTATTTAACAAATATGTAATTTTTTATTTACCTTTTTACAAATCATAAAATATTTCTGTACTATTAAAAAATAAGGATGAATCATAAGAGGCATAAATCGCAAGGCGCGTGTTGCCACATATATATTGTCGGAATTAGGATTTAATTAGAGGCGATTTCTCAATACTTACTGACGTATTGCTCCCACCGTGCATGACGTCGAATCGTCGCCAAGCGAACCGGTGAAATCGGCGAGACAGGCCTCATCACATCCGCCATTCTTACGCGTTTTCAAAGAACTCACAGCAGCTTTCTCTACGCGAGGAACAACGAGATGTTACGTTGTTATAGGCTCTGGCCAAGAAGTCATTACTTCAAAAATAAATTCATAGACAACCTATTAAATCTCATTGTGTGTTTTTATACACATCAACATGTACAAAAACCTACAGAAATTGCAATCAATACATAAATTTTTTATGCTTAAATCGACATTAACTCTCATATTATAATATTTGTGATATTAAACTTCTTATATTAGTATAATAAATTATTCCTCGTAGTAGTGATTTCTGAGCCATCCTGCGTTCTTATCGATGACAATCAGATATTGAAATATTATTATTAAAGAGAGGAAACTACGAGAAATGTACGACAGACAGCTGAAACGACAGATGGCAGCTCGAGGATGTAAACAGACGTAAAGATTAAGCCAAAAATATCTACCGTTCGTTATCGATAACGATAACCGTTCCCGTCCGGATTCTCTGTAAATCACGCGAGAACTGAATTCACCACACGACGTCTGTGTTGTGCTCTAACTTGCTGGCAGTGAGATAAAAATAAACCTCAAATTAGAGCAGAACTAGCTAGACCCGTTCTCTAGCTGGACACTTTAATCCTACTCCAGAAACGCAGCCACATTTTCGTGAATTGCATAATGTGTGTGTGTGTGTGTGTGTGTGTGTGTTGTGTGTTTCTTGATCGATCATGACCGTGATTGCGTGTCGGAAATGTCGCGTGTCTCAGATAAGGTGTGGACATCCGATTTGATGAATCAGCATTTATAAACAACGACCTTCTTGATAAGTCGAAAAAAATATTAGTCTAGATTTAATCCTCTATCTGCAATCTGAGTTTTTTTTAAGCGAAATTTTACTTCTTAATAAAGAAGAGACGGAGGAAGTAAAAATATGATTGCATTTATTCTGATTTTAGAATTGAATCCACAAAGTTCTCAAAGAAGCAAAAAGAAACTACTAGATCTTCGACTGCTACACATAATGAAACAATGACGCTGATTGAGTAATTGTGCCCTAAATATACGTGATTGTCGTCACGAGGTCAAGAAGTCACGGTCGCGAAGACGAAATCGATAAGCATTGAACTTTATCAAATCGTTATCAATGTTGATCGTACACAAAAAGACGTTCTACTAAAATATCTAAAAATTTAACTAGATACACATCTGAAAATAATTTTGTTGGACAATCAAAATAGTTACAAAGAAATCTCAAGTACGATGAGCAATGCTGCAAAAAGTTTTGATCTAGCAAGCTTGAGTGATCTACATAATTATTTCGGTAGTTCAACAAAAATTGTTATAAGAGACTTACTGAATTCTTTCCACGCATATCCAATACATTAAATTATTAGGTGTTGGAATTAATTCGTAGCGTTTTACAAGTGATGGGAAGTACTTTCATTAATGTATTTTTTAATGCTCATGTGAAATAAATAACATTCTTTCATTAAAAAACGCTACGAATTAATTCCAACACCTAATAGAAAAACACCTTGTTAAATACTCTTTAATGAGATCTCTTGAATAATATTTATTGGGAGTTAAAAAAAAAACAAAGTTTTCAGACTTGTATCTAGCTTTTTAAATATTTCAGCAAAACCGTATATCGACTCGTACTATCAAAACTGGACAAACGAGCACGTGTGTGGAGCTACGACGAGATAATTCGCGGAGAGATGATCGTCCGGATGTCTGGCAGGACCAGAAGATACTGGCACCACGTGTTGTTGTTGCGGCTGTCACGCTTACGAAATCTCTGTTACGTGAGATCGCTCTCTCCCGTGCGTCACCCTCTCGCCAACAACGATTTTAATACAGACCGCGAACCAGGGACAAGAAAATATCCCTGTGGAAGATCCCGACATTTGGAAGACTTCAATCAAATAAATCGAAATAATGATCGATGAAGGAAGAAAAAAATATCACACTCTAAAACACACTGCAACTCCCAAACCACCGTAAACATGATTCTCACACACGATCACTGTAATTAACGTCAGAATCGCTTAACCCATCTATTTTATGTTCGACAATATTCCATATAATTGCAAAAAAAGACAATATTAACTACGTAATACTTCAACACGAAGTGTCTTCACGCTCTTCTCGAAAAGTTCTTCTCGTCTCCTCCGTTGATCAATCTCGTTTGCAAAGGACGTTAATTGCGAAGTAATTACAAAAGACACGGACGCGGCTCCTCCTCGGACGGAATATTTTTTTTACCGATTACTCGGTCAATCGATCGACTAGTATCTAAACCGAGTATGCGCGATTCCTTTATCGTGCCTTCCTACATATTTGTGCCGCGAGCGGGCGAGCGTAGGAGGTGGAAACTACGTGAGGCTGACCTCATATGGAGGTGTGGATCCCCTTGAGGAACGATCGAGGAAGAGGAGATACCTACGCACCGGTGTTCACCTTGAATTTACGGTGATTGTACGAGCGATCGTCAAAGAACATGCCGGCAATGCTGCGATAATCTCGAAGGCGTTGCGTGCTTAATTGCATGCGGGTGTAACCGGAACGCCGATCGATCGAGAGAACCGCCAATGGATATTCTGATGGATGTCTGATTGCATCATGTCTGAGATAAGCAGCGGACGTAATCTATCCATAAATGCAGATAAACCCTCGGACATGTTCTTGTAATACATTCAGAAATTAATTCCGTTCTTTCACATTGTGTCATTTGCATCGGCATATCTCAGTTACTGCGAAGACTTCAAAATAGATTTAAATTATGGCTGACCGCAATTCCTTTCACTGATAATCCTGAAGATACTTTTCATACATCGCTCATTGCTTGAGGAAAATTTCTGGTTGGACGAACCAGTTAAATTCTGATCATATCAATCGGATTTTTAGTTATCATGATTAGAGATATCTAATTATCTTGATTAGAATTCTAATTGATATCATCAGAATCTGATAGTTCATTCATTTTCAACCAGAAATTTTCTCAGTGTAGTAATAAAAAGGTTAATGTGATCGAATTATTAGTCACGTGATCTTTTTATTCTAGAAAAAAGTGATGAGTGATGCATGAAAAGATATCCAAGTTCACAAAGTCTTTTAAGGATCAATAATGCAGAATAATTTAATTTATGCAAATCAAATAGTACTTCTATCATATACTTATGAGAATCATATACTGTATTAGAAACTGACGTATCATTTCATGTACTATTTGATTTGAATAAATAAATTATTCTTCTTTGCGAAAATTACTTTAATATCTAATTAATCGATCAATCGGGGGACGCATCGCGGATTAATAAGAATAAGTAATAATATATAATTATAAAAGTGTCAATTAATTCTCGCAAAGAGGAATAATTTATTTATTCAAATCAAATATCGCAGTAGCATTAGGAATTCTCTGAATCGAACAATTCCCAACATAATACAAAAGCTTCGTCTGTTTTCGATGGAGCAACCTATGACTAACTCCAAGAACACCGATAATTTTTAGTAACTGCTCTAATTACAAATATGAATCGTCAAAACGTCTTTCAATAGACTAAATCACTATTAACAATCGAAACAACTTCAAATTACATCTTACAGTAGCAAAACATAAATCTTAGAGTCTTATCTATAAATCCATTAAAATCCTTCGCTTCACTGAGAAAAATGGTCTGGTTGAATTAAATAGTAATTCTGATGAAAAATCGATGAATTGTCTGATTAAGTACACTAGAATTCTAGTAGAGATAAAATTCTGATTGATATAATTATTCTAATAAAAATAAAAATTCTAGTAGATTTTACCAGAAATATTGTATCAACCAGAATTCCAGTTTATCTCAACTAGAATTCTAATAATTTAATAATTATATAATAATTTCAAAAAATTCTGATTCGTCCATTTTCAACCAGAAATTTTTTTTCATCTCGATGCTGACATTATTGCTGATAAAAGAATCTTTAATATATAATATCTAATTAATCGATCAATGGGAAATGCATCGCGAATTAATAAGAATGAGCAATAATATATTAGGTGTTGGAATTAATTCGTAGCGTTTTACAAGTGATGGGAAGTACTTTCATTAATGTATTTTTTAATGCTCATGTGAAATAAATAACATTCTTTCATTAAAAACGCTACGAATTAATTCCAACACCTAATACAATTATAAAAGCGTCAATTAATTCTCGCAAAGAGGATCCACCATTTGCGTTACTGTCGCGTTTATGCGGGAGACACACCCCGTTTGATAAACTTACATCCAGGAGGCGAGCCCTTCTTCATGGTGATCCTGTAGGGCTGATAAGTATCGCCCGGCTCCACCTTGCCGTACATCGTCCGATCCATCGCCATCCTCGTGCGCACACGCATACACTTGCGTAGGAGGAATTGGATGCGCGTGCGTACGCGTGCACGTGTTCACTCACGTGGTGATCGTCGCGTAAACAGTGACATAAGTCTCTTTCCTCCACCCCGGGGAAGTAATTACGATATTCGTTGACGCATGACAGCGAATTGATGCTAATTTAACGGGTTAGCGTGATGGAAGATCAGCTTTCCCAAATGTCCAAGTTACAAGTTAACAATGAGAGATTTTATTTTTTATCGAAATTTCTATTCACATATAAAAAATAATTATATTTTATGATAATAATATAAATTGTGGCTGTTTAAAACAGAAAAAAATTGCGATATAATAATTAAAAAATATAATAGATGGAAAAAAAAGAAATGTGTAACAAGGAAAGAGAGATTTTGTTGAAATATATAAAAATTTAGATACAAAATTTAAAAATAATTTTGTTGGATCCTCAAAATAACTAAGGAATCTCAAATATGATGAGCAATATTGCAAAAAGTTTGAACATTCTAGCATTACAGTTTGAGAGATGTCCTACATAATTATTTTCGAATTTGTATCTAGCTGAATTTTTTAATACTTCAGTAAAATCGTTCTTTCCATAAATTAATATAATTCAAATTGTATTTCTTTTTCCAAGATCTCTCAATATATAGTGATCAATCCCGCAGATATTTCGTGAGAATAAATGTCTGTTTTCCTATCGGTCTTTACAATCAAGAGGGGCAACGAACTCTAGATTTAGAAGAGTATAAGGAAGAAATGAAGCGTCTCGAAGCACTATGTTGAGTGAAATGATTTACACGACGGTTCCAACAGAAGAAGTTGGTCCTTAACTGTGTTAGTAAAGTTCAAGTGGACCATAGGCTAATTTTAACACTGTGTAAATTTCACTCGGGCAATCTCATAAAGCTCTCTTCAAGTAAATCAATAGATCGTAATAATGCATGTCAGTAACATGATTTACTCAAACTATAATTATTGCACATTTCGTAGAGGTGACTTTAACCCTTTCACACTTCACTAGAACGGTTGAAGAATAACCATGGCTTTCGTTTCAAAAACATGTGATCCTCAGAAAATACATAGACGTTTCTTAATCTTCTGCGAAAAATGCATTTTCCAATTAACAACGTAGTTGAATGACATTCAAGACTAGAAACTAAAACGAGAATCGTTCTCGGATGGGGAGCTTTAGAAGGGAACATCCGACCGTGTAATTACGCGATCATACAACGGAATTTGCACTGGAGCATCTCCGTGATGGATTATCCGCTGAAATGAACGAACGATTCGGCGCAGCGACGCGATTTCCCTTCGGAACCGAGTAACGAGGCCGACACGCTGACACGCAGCGGAGAACGCGCGTCGGGACGACGGGAAATTTGTCGCGACTGCCACGAGCAACACGGACGACGTGCGGCTCTTTGGTGAACCGACGGTGCCGGCTTGGTGAACGCCGGCGAACAACAGCAAGACGAGATGCCACACGCGGGTATTTCCGGCGCTCACCCGCGCCCAGTGTCATAGAGAGCTCTCTTTCGACCTCTTTCGTCTTGGCCACTGTCTCTCCACTTTCGTAGAAAGTGAGACGGACGAAAAGGAAAGAAAATCGTTGCGGAAAAGACAGGTGCAGCAGAATGAGAAAGAGAAGAGAGAGACGGACAAGAAAGGACAGGTAAATAAATAGATGAAGAAGGAGAGAGGGAAATGAATAGTGAAGGGAAGACAAATGTAGATATAGAAAGATGACGCCACGAAAGAGAAAGAAAGAGAGACACTAGTGGAACATAATATCTAGTGGCTTCTACACAGAAATATATATGTATCCTACATAATTATTTTGATGCTCCAAATAAAATTATTTTCAGATCTGCATTTAGTTTCTTTGGATATTTCAGCAAAACCGAGGATGTTACAGATCCAACGTCAGTAGCTATATACAGATTTTGACGTCAACTTCGGAGGAGATTAACTAAATTCAAAAATATAAGAAAAAAAATAAAAATATAAGAAATAAAAATCTCGGCGATCAGATACGGCATATCGAGCTGCCGTATGCTGATATTGCCATCGTTATCAGGGTTACCGTGTTATCAATGCGAATACCCATCGACCCCTAAAGATTAGCGCATTTTGTGAATTACACGACATTAGTCTCTCACAAGAAAGAATCATGCCACATACATGGACATTTTATTGAAGGAGTCGTTTTTAATTAAAAAAGTTTTATCATTTATAATGAACAGTTCAATATTAGGATAATATTAGGTCTGTTTTTTTTCCTATACTAGAATTTTTTTCTCGCTTTCGCCAAATATCAAACATATAGCTATCTCACTTTAAGTTTCAAAAGTGTACACTAGAAAAGAGATATACTTTACAAAGTATAGATATGAATTTAGTATCAGTGTTAAATAATATATAAATAAAAATAGAGTAATGAGAATCAATGCGACTAAATGGCGCAAATTATTATGGAATAATTTTAATACTCTATAGTTAGAACAATATCTTCTTTACATCAGTGTTAAATATATGATAATTTTTCCTATAGGAAATAGTAATTAAATTCTTGCACATCGATGACGGATTTTAGGGTTACACGCGTTTAAATGGCAAAGTACATGCAATATAGTAGAATTTTTTTATCGTATCGCTAGTATGTTAACAACCACAACCATTAGACATCGATCAGAAAAGCAAAACGATGCAGAAATATTATTCACATTCAGATATTCTCATGGAAATGCGCAATGTAATTCTTTTGCACTTAACTCGAAACACAATACATTTCATCCCTAATTTATATAAATCACATGACTCTAAGTTCGTATCGTACACAAAGGATTTCTCTCTGTTTGACCGAAATTATCCTTTCAGCGCCTGACGTCTCATATTTCCGATCAGCGCGTGTAAAGTGAAATGTCCCGTCTCACGTCACGAATGTACCGAGTTGCGGTACCATAACGAGTGACAAACTAATGTACAGCTGGCATAACACTGATGCAATGAGGCCTTCTCGCTATATAGGAGTACAAGATAATAGTCACGATCACGAACATGCCCCTCCTCAGTTTCTCATAGCTTTCCTCCCCCATTCTCGTGGATATTCAACATGCTTTATCTACGGATCTCTATGCGGATTCGTGATGATGTTAGCAAACAGTTTGGAAACAGGTCGACAGAACTGCTGACAAAACGCATAAGAAAGTCGTTCAAAGAGTACACGAATACATTGAGAAAAAAATATATTGTATATTCTAAATTTCAATAAATATTTATTTGAATGGTATCAATTAAATATATATTTATAAAATATGAAAATATATTTATTTGGTACAAAAAACTAATTGTTTGGTGTAAAAATTAATGTCAAATTAATTTTTACACCAAACAATCAAATTCTTCTTTTTATTAAGTAAATATTTATTTATTGTAAATAAATGTTTAGTTTGGCAGTATTCAAATAAATATTTATTTAAATTTAGGTTATTTTTTTCTCAATATAGGATTAATCTCCCCCGGTATCATTATATTCAAAAATGTTGATAATATTGATATATAGTACATATAATTTAAAATAAATTATATAAATATATGTAATTGTAATTTATTATTTCTAATTATATACGGAAAAAATAGTTTTTGTTGAAGTATATAAAAGTTTAGCTAAATATAGATCTAAAAATAATTTTGCTGGACCATCAAAATAATCATGTAGGATATTTAAATTGATTATTAGAATGTCTAAATTTATTGTATCACTCATTATATTTGAGCGTCCTATATAATTATTTTAATAATTTAACAAAATTATTTTTTAATCATATCTGTCTTACATAATTATTTTAATGGTTTAATAAAATTACTTTCACACACAAATCTATATCTACTTCAGCAAAATAATTCTTTCCTGTATTAATTTAAAACAATTTCTTGCATTTTTTGCGACTAAATATTATGTAGTAAAAAATACAACGATATTCATTACTAGACGACAATATAAGTCTTCTAATCTCAAAGACACACGTTTCAAAGCAATGATATCTTCACTAAACACTTAAGGAAGTCTTCGTATCAATAAATTCTAACATTCCTGAAAGATGTAAAAAGAAATGCATCTCGAACTGTCAATGTTTTTGATGACAGCGTAACGGTACCAAATGTGCTCCAGAATGCTGACAGGTATCAACGTGCCTGGCGAACGCAAACAAATATCTACCTCAGAGTACCGAGATCTTCGATAAAAAAAAAAAAAGAAGAAAACGTAACCTCGATTCCAGTAATCGCCTTTGACAGGCCCGAATGAAAACATCTTTTAAGTGTCACTTGACAAAAGAGATCCGGTTTCATCGATACTCAGCGAGTCATGCGTCTGTTAATGATTCTCTCACGGATCGACGAGTAGCAACATCCCCGCGTCGTCCTAATGACAGGCTAGGAGCTTGTGGGAGGTTAACTCAGCGTCTGGCCGGAATTTTCCAACTTTTCAGAGTTTTACTCACCTAGATCGTCCATGATGCGAGCCGGGATCTCCGTCCCACGAAATTCCGGAGTACCGCAGCCACCTCCACCCACCCGAACAGGTCGTGCCGATTACCGAGAGAACGCGATCCTTGTCACAGTCGTGCGCTGGACAACTCGCTCCACTCCGACTCGCACGCCCGCGCGCCGCAAACGTCAAACATGGAGGCTCCGGTCCTCGACCGGACCAGTAGCCGCTCTAGGCATCGCGGAACCCCTAAACATATCTGATCATAAATTTTTGCTCAGAAATATAAAAAAGTACGAATTATGCAACATAAATTAACCGTAATCTCGATTAAATTTATAAATCTACATTGATATATAATATATAGAAATGAGATGTATGTTCGTTTTTATCAATATAAATGAACTTTAATCTTAGTTTTACTTTTCGCTTCGAGTTCTAAGAATTATGTTCTAAAAATTATGTTCTTTTATCGTTTTTAGCTCTTTTATCCTTTTTTTAGTTTTAAGGAGCTTGTAAGGCAATATGTTAAGCAAATGCAATATGTTAAGAATTACTTGAAAAAATTATAGATTACATTATTCTATAGATTGCATTATTCTAAATTGCATTTAAAAGTAATACAAAAAATTAGAGTTGACCATCTGGATGAATAAAAAATTATTTCAATAAAAAGTAATATTTTAAAAATTGTTTATTTTTTATTGTAAAATAATGATAAAAATTTTAATTTTTTAATATAAGTATTTTATGAATTCAAAAATATTTATATAAAATTACATTGAGATGCATACATTAATTGTTCAATAAATAAACAAAATATATTTATTTGTTATATAAACTAATTGAATCTCAATGAAACTTTGCATAAGTCATTTTTAGTACTTAAAATATTTATATTTAAAAAAGATTTAGATTTTTATTATTATTAAAATTTTTGTTTATAATAATAAAACTAATATCAAATAAAATAAATAATCTATAAAAATGTGTTGCTCATAAAAACAGAATGTTAACTTTTACATATGCAATATTAAAGCATAAATATTAACATATGTATTTTATGGCCTTACTTCCTTAAATGAAAAGCTAAAGAGTAAATTAAACCAAAATTAAAATTAATTTATAAAAAGCATTAAATACTTTAATCGAGTAATCCAACATGGAACATTTTAATTAAATTCAATGCAAATCTAAATCAAAATTCAACTCGAAATTAAAATATATGCGCATTTTTCCAATAAGGAATGAGTGTTTTTAATTAATATATATTCTTTATTCAATCTCTCAGTGATAAAAATTTGCAATTTTATTTTTAAGGGTTGTATTTTTAACAATTGAGGGAATCGCATATTTATATATGTAACATAATATTCAAAGCTCCTTACCATTTTCCATCAGCAACTATGTTTAATTTCCGTATTTTGGTTCTTCAAAAGATAACAACTTGAATATGCCAGAGGCTTTATAGCAAATTGCCAGAAAAATTATATGTATAATAAACTAGATTATGTACATGTGCTATATACATTTGATATTCTAATTATTCCAATGAATTTATTAGAAGTTGAAGGAGGAGAAATCTCCATATGATTGCGACGAGACCTTCTTCTTCTTTGTCAAAGGTTCTGCGTTCCCGTCCCATTTGTCCAATCTGAAAATCGGATTAAACGCCGCATAAATAAAATTTAAAAATCTCGGTTCATGACAGAGATCTTACTTCTCCTGCTCCAATTTCACATATTTTCCTATGCCCGATCGGTAGACCTTTTGAGTGTCATTCTTGTCCTTTTTGTCGGCCGATTTGTTCTGACTCGCTTCTTGAGCCAATCGTTCCGCCTCGACAACTCGTTCCACGGCGAGCTGATCATCCGCTTCCTGAAAGGGATCCACGAAAACCTGGACACTCTGTATAACTATATCCTCTATCGGTCGGTCCTTATTGTCCACCTCTACCTTCTCCATCGCATTTAACGTGTCCAGACCTCCTACGATCTTCCCAAAGACTGTGTGTTTGCGATCGAGGTGTCTGCACGATCGAAATGTGATGAAACTGAAACGACAATAATAGTACATTAATAAAATAACAGGATTGCAAAATGCAAGTTCTTTGTTTTTTATCTTCCTGTTTGAACTTACAATTGGGATCCATTGGTGTTTGGTCCTGAGTTTGCCATGGATAAAATACCTCTGCCTTGATGAATCAGATTAGACTTGAACTCGTCCTCGAACGGTTTGCTCCAAATAGATTTGCCGCCATTACCTGTATTGGTTGGATCACCGCCCTGAATCTGTGGAAAAACGAAATATCTGCATGAAATAAAGAAGTTAAAATTGAAAAATAAAAAAACATGCAAAATACAATTTTCAAAATGCATTCAAGTTAAGAGACTCATCGTCGCACTCAATATACTTACCATAAAATTTCGTATCGACCTATGAAACTTTGTGCCGTCGTAATAACCATTCTGGCAGTGTTTCATGAAGTTTTCACAGGTTTTCGGAACCATATCACAGTAAAGTTCTAGATTCAAAGCCCCAAAGTTCGTGAAAAATCTTATATATCCTGAACAAAAAGCAGATAAGTAAGAATAAGAATTATATACGAGTTTGAGTAAAGATCAACTCAATTGTGATAATATACCTTTCTTTTTGACTCTCTCGTATCGCACTAAATCTTCCGCAATCACAGCTGCTTGATGGGTAGTCTCTGCCGGCATTATCGTTGAAGTAAATCCTGCAGCAACCGCACCAGTGGAATAATGCGCCTACATACAAATAAATAATAAAATAACTTCTCCAATATTCGATATAATGACTGCATTCATAATTACACACATAATAATTACAAAACAGGAAAAGCAGCTTTGTAATTATTATAAAATTCTTTAATATGATTATGAATCTTGCTCTAAGTTCCTCACTAGATCTAAATGTATTAGGTGTATCTCGTCTACGCATGATACAGATTACTAAAGCCACCTATTGGAAAAATAATGGATTTCTTTTTACTACACCTAATATAAACAATCATATTAAAGAATTTGACAACAGTTGCAATGCTGTTTTTTCTGCTAAGCGCAGCCAATATAACTTTCTTGCAAATGATGTACTAACAGCGTTAAATTTGTCAGCCTTCTGCATAGAGAGTTCATCTTTCTCGTTACTCTTTGCCGGCTTGTATTCTCTCTCCAATTCAATTAGGATCTCCTTGGTTTCTGCCGATACAGTTTTTAATTTTGCGTTTGGATTATTCCTCTCTCTCACTGTCTCTGAAAAATATCATTCATACATATATAACTTACAAAAATAGAACATATGTTAACTGTAAAACTCATTCTATTGAACTGAATCTGTTGAATGAGAAGCCTACCTTCGTCTTCCACTCTTATGTTATTTTTAATATGATGGAAAGTCGACAAATTGAATTTCATTGCATTATTTGGATCCTGAATTGTGATAATATCCTTGCGAGTAAATGGCTGATCGTTTATCAAATCTTTCCAATTTCCAGTTTTTATGTTCAACTGTTCAACAGCCTGAAAGGATAATTCTTTTATATACAAATAGATTAGATTAAAAAAAAAAAACAAAATAGTCTCTAAAGTAAAATAAAAAAATAGAAATATTATAATTTATATACTCACCTCATAGGAAAATACGTTTCCTGTAGTTTTAATAGCAACAATATGCGAATGTTTTGTAAACAATTTGAAAAGAACAGGACACTGATATTCATTTTGGGAATTCTTATAAAAGTTCAATTTGACTAAGCTCTTGGCATCCAGTGGTTTTCCTGTTATGGGATTGTGCTTGTACTGTTTTATGTATTGCAAAATAGCCTCTAGCTCAAACACGTTGCCATGCAGGTCGCAATAAGGGTGCTCGAAGGGCTGAAGAGATAAGCAACAATGATCGTATGGCAACCGCCTGAACGTCTTCTCCTCGCTTGTTTCCAGATTCGTTCCCGATTTTCTTCCACCGTACAACGTCGACCACTCCGTGTACGTTAAGTACCTGAAGGAATTTAGAAGTTTGTCAAATGATTGGAAGCAAAAGCGAGATACCTTGTTATAGTTAGACTGTAAGGTTATAAAAAGAACAATAATGCAACTCACATTTTATCCTTCTGATGTTGGCGTTTTCCCATTTTGAAGTATCTTTACAGCTGTCTTATTTAAGAAAATATCGCAGTAATTGACAGTAATATGAAACGAATTACGATCAATTACGAATAAAGTGAACAAACGTCTCGCAAACTTGAATTCAGGATACTTGTTGTCTATTCTGTTCGTCCATTGAATAGTTGGCATATACAGATAGACAAGTCTCACGAGATTTTAAACCCTTAATGAATTGGTCAAATTGAAAGAACATGGCGAAATCGACCGCGACATTTAAAGATACAAAAGATTTATTTGATCGCTTATGACGGTTTCTATCGTATTGGTGTATTAAAATATTTCACTTAAAAAAAAATGTAAATGAATGCTCGTTTTGAAAAAATATCTTTCTAAGTCAATTCATTATATTGTTAATTTAATATTATCTATATTTTTAATAACAAATTTCACAACATTAAATCCTATTGAAACTATTAAAGACGTGTATAAAATAAAAAAATGCTGTCGTAATTTTTCTTTAACACAAAAATCAATACATTTATATTTTAATATTACATATCACAATATTATATATCATAATATTAGGGTACTTAAAATTTTTTTTTAATTCTTTGGAAATTCTAGGTTTTTCCAGGTTTTTCTTTATTCAAGAGAAAATCAGAGAATTCTTTAATACAATTTTGAAGTAAATTAGAGTACAAATAATGCAAATAAATTATATATTTTAGAATTAAACATAGATTTCTATTGATATTAATAAATTGAAAATCAAGATAATGAAGTTAATTTGCAAATTTTCGAGATATAGGATTGCAATAAAAAATAATATAATGTCAATATTACATTAAAGTCAACTATAAATGTTTAGATAATTTTTTAATAAAATATAAAATTTTTAATCGCTTTATTTCTTTAAATAAAATAAAGCAAAAAAAATTAGACAGAAAACTGTATTTATATTTTCTAAAATATAAATACAGTAGTTACTAAAAATTAAGCCATTACTCTGTATGCTTCATGAAAAATAAAAAAAAAACAGCCAGAGATATTATAAAATAAGAAAATAAATGTAACAATCTTCAAAATTCTTATAAACTAATATTTTCAGTTTCTGCAACAACTGTATGATGTAAATTTTTTGTAATAATATATCTAAGCATTTAATACTCAAAGAAAAATATACTTATCAAGATTTATAAAAAATAAAATAAATTTGTGTTATAAAATAAATTCCTTTATAATTGACTAGCTATCATGAAAACACATTGTAATAATAAACTCTATTATCAAGTAAAACATTTTAAATACTTTAGAATATTTTTTAAACAAAATAATTTTTTTAGATTTACTAATGTATTTATTTAATGTATTTAATTAGATCTTTGAAACTGAAATAAAGGCCTAGATATGAAGAACTAAAACTTCGATCGCAAATTGTTATCAAAAAGTATTAAGAGCAATAATAAAAAATATTATTAAGATTTCCTCGTTGAATTAACAAGTACTGTTTTAATATCTCTACTCTTTCTTTTTGTATTATGTTATTTTTTTCTATAGCTTCTCTTATCTTTCTTAATTCCTTAATTCGTTCTTCTTCTATTTCCATATATCTTTTTCTATAATTATCTATAGAGTTATTTCTTTTTCTAAATTTTTTATTTCGTACATTTTTTTTTAAAATACTTGATATACTGATAGTTGAACTAGTAGATGCGACCGATAAAACATTTTCGATTTCTCGATCACTTAAATTCTTAGAAAGAATAGAATTTTCAAATCTAGCAATCTTTTCAATTTCATTCTGAGTATTGTCATTATCGTTATCATTATTAAAAAATACAGCTGATGCCATTGCTAAGTTTGGATTTACTGTCCTATCAGCAAAAACAATTTCGGACATAATATCAAAATAAATCCAAGACATTCTACCAGACCTTGACGTTTTCTTTTTATCACTATTCTTTATAATTAGATATCTCATCTTCAAATTTCTAAACTTTTTGTTTATTGCATCTGCCTCAACTTTATACCCATATTTTGTCATCTCGTCAGATATTTCTTGCCAAAGTTGCTTTTTCTTGTTTTCAGGATTTCTAAAGCGTTCAGCCCTTTTTTTGTACTCTTCCAGCATTAAAAAGACAGCTTTTTCATTCCAGGAAAAATGATCTAGAAAAATCGTTTTGGAGTATATATTTTTTAGATATTATAGAAAGAGATAAATAGAATTAGAACGAAAATTATAAATAACAATATATATACATATATATATTATTACTTTTATCATTTATTTCATTGGAAGCATGTTTATTCATAGCGTTTCCCATTTCTCCTAATGCATTATATGGTTGCATTATTTTCTGATTCTCAATTGGAACATGTATACATCCATCATCTGTAGAATTTAAATAGAAAAAAATACAGAAATATACGCTTTCCACACATTATACACCACCATCATTAGAAATAATAAGTAATACTTGATATTAATATAAAATTATTGTAAATAATGTATCAATTTCTATCTTCTAAAATAACATTTGATATTTTTGAAATTTTCATTTTAATAAAATCTAATAAAATATTAACAATGAGTGCGATCAAGTTGATAAAAGCTATATTATATGCTGAATAGTTAAACACGATTGTTCTTACTTGTAGATTAATCAACCGCTCTGTGAACAATCGGTTGATTGTGTATTTTGAAACGAAATGAAAACTAGTGAAAATTACAAGTCAAATTTACAAGTCAAATGTATTAAGTATGTTAATCAATGAAATAATAAATATTCGAATGAATTTGCTCGCTTTTGTAATTTTAATCTTATTTCAAGATACACGATCGACCTGGATAGTTGCTTTGTCTACTTTGTTTGTTCTTAGTTTCTAAATGGATCTAAATATAGGAATTAATCATACTAAAAAATTTTAAGCCTGTATCAGATTAGAAATTGAGATTAAATTTGACTAATTAAAGCAAATTTTACTATACTTAATATTTATTTTTCTTTTTTCTAAATGGTTAAATTTCAATCCAATCTCAATTTCAATTTATAGTTTGATACAGACTTAAAATCCTTTATTTCTATTTAAATATTCATTTAGAAATTTAAGTTGTTCAAGTTATTTTCTATGCTGAATACCAGTTATAATCTAAATGAGACCCGCTAAATCTGAGACCCATTACCAAACATGTAATTAATGTAATTAAATTAATTTAACTTATCTAAATTAATGTAACTAATTTTATCTGATTAATAAACGCAAAATTAATTTCAAGAAACTAAAATGGCAACTCATGTAAGAGAAAATGAACTAAATTTAGTTATCTATTAACAATATAATTGTATAGATCAATCAGATACATTTCAGAGATTAACTGGAGATTAACTGGACTGGAAATTGAATCCAGCTTAGTTTTTAAAAGGTTAAAAACAAATACATATAACCCAACAATGTTAAATAACTAAGAAAGAGACAAAGCAGCTAACAATTTGTACCATTCAATACAATTCCTCCTTGTTATCAAACAAGTTAATTGGTTCTTCGGTTGTAATATGTTCAGTTGTAATATATTCGGTTGTAATATGTTCAGTGTCTTTATCTAATTCAACATTATGTATTTTCCTTCGAAGCGTTCGTTCACAGGGAAAAGGAATATGTTGCTCTAGAATCTGTTGGTATCCAACACTGCCACATGCACGTCTTAACTGAATAGCTCGTTTAACTGTCTCGTCAGACCATTCTCGGCAATTCATTTTTGGATTGGTGAGAACCCTAATCTGATCTTCATTGAAGACTTCTCCTAATCTACCTCTTAACTTGTTGTAAGTTTGATTTTCTTGCCTCAATTTCTTCAAACGTTTCTCTGATCTTATCTTGTATAAATAACTCTTTCTTATTATCTTGTTAAACAACTCTTCGCGTTTTTTCATAGCATCTTGAAGTTGCTCACACTTACTTTTGCTCTTTGCCAATAGCTGCTTCAGTTCCTGGCATCGTTTTTTCCAGTCTATCTCTTCCTGAACGTTCGTAAACATACTTAAAAGATCTTCCGGTTGTTTGTCGTTTAATTGCTTCATATTGTCTGAGTGTAATTGATACTGATAATTTATTTTTACATTTCCTTCATTTGTCATGCTTGCAATAAGCATGTTTATGACATTGTTGTTCTTGTTATAATTTTCTGATAAAACAGGAACATCTTGTGGCACAGAAATATCTTGTGGCACAGAAATATCTTGTGGTACAAAAACATCTTGCAGCACAGGAATATCTTGTGGCACAGATATAATGTGCGGCACAGAAGGAGAAGAAATCACAGGTACAGCATTATACTTTAGTTTGCGTTTGCCATCACAACGATCTTTCTCCCACATGTCTTTGGTGAAATGTATCTGTTTATAAATAGACAGACTCGTTAATCATTCTACAAACAGTAACAATAAAAATTCAAATAAATCATACCTCACATATTCGACTGTGCATACTAGGTGTCCAATTCGGTCTACCAATACTAGCGATCCACTGTTTTTTCCGATCAGGATTTGAAGGAAAGTTTCTCATCAAAAATCCCTTTCTGTTCGAATTGTTGCAACCGGGGACGCAACAACCCGTCATTCCGCGCGAAATCAATCCAGAAAACAATGATAATTTTTCGCGATAACGAGACCTTTGATATTGTCAATTATTTGTCGACTTTTTCGAGATTTGATATCAATCAGACTTAGTTATGTTGTAACTATCCGCTACTTTTATATTATAGCATGATGCAAGTAGACAAGTGTGCTATGCTTCAATCTACTCGTAACTAAAGCAAGAAGTTTGCGCATAGCAACGTACTGACCTTATTTTCCGCCATTTTAAAACAACATTTAAAATATATGGCTCGCGCGCTTAACATAAAATTTGAAATGATCAAGTTCTAATATAAATAAAGTGAATAAGTAATAAATAATATAAACGAATAATGATAATAAGTAATTACGAATAGAGTATTGATTATTTAATATGCATAAAACTAAGTTTTACTGTCACAGTAAGTGTATTGAAACCAATTTGCCTGAAAATGGTGGTCTAAAAGGTCAAGCTCTGATTGGCTGCAGCAATTAACATACGCAAGAACATGAGTAGTCAAATAGCAATCGGTGATTGGTTGGATCAAAAGATAAAGACCAATCATCTTTGATTAGATCTGTTCGCGTTGCTTGCACTTTTTACACTCGGCTTCTTCACTTTCTACACAGGTCTGTTCGTTTTGCTAAACTTGCTCATGCAAGAAGTTGAACTAAAAAGAATAGACTTTTAGGTTATAGGTGATCTAGGTTATAGGAATGTAAACATATTTTCTTTGGCAGTGCATATATTAAAATTGGAAAATGTCGAAAATATTAGGAAAATTGAAAAAAATAGGGAAGACGAGCAAGAAGCTGGTCGAGAAAATCGATCACTCGTCAAAACTGCGCGTGAATATTCCTGCAGGATTGGCGTCGGCCGCACCGCCACTTGGTTCCCAGCTCGGTCAGGTTAGGATCACGCCGAACTTCAATAGAATGTATTCGATTTACTCTCTCTCTCTCTCTTAATTCCTTTGTTGTAAAAATTTGTTATCATCTCCTAAATTCTATTTCTAGTTTTTTTTTCTGACAGTAATCGTGCTAGATTTGCAAGATTTACTCGTCTTCAATAGCGTTTGATGTGGATGGATGATTTTGTTTTCAGAGGAACATCAACATTGAAAAATTCTGCAAGGATTTCAATAATAGGACAGGCGATATTAAGGAAGGTATTCCTCTACCATGTCGCGTGAAAGTGAAGTCGGACAGATCATATGATCTAATAATTCATAAACCACCAACAACATACTACTTGAAACAGGCTGCTGGAATACAGAAAGGAAAAATAAAGAAGGGTACGAATACTAATCCTTCCTTTTAACTTTCTCAAATTTAAATTCTCAGTCACAGTTGCTACCTTTTTATTTGTGTTCCACTGGAGATCGACTGTCGAAATTGCCAAAACTTCAATTTTCTTGTAGTATTTTCTAAAAATGAAAAAGAGCATTATCAGATTTAATCATGACAAAGATTAATTACTATTATCAAAATTTCTAGTTTTATAATATATTTTCTAAAAAAAAAGGTCAAATTTAACTTTTTTCAGAAAATTTAAAATTTTGAATAATTAACAGATTTGATCAAAAACCCAGTCTTCAGCTAAAAATTAGAGAGGTGACAATCGTGTTGGTCCCTTATTGTTTTGCTCTTGGAGTATAAAATAATTGTAGTTCCTTGATATTTCAATGGAGTGCAAAGATAATTAACATGACTGCATGAGAAGATAATAAAGATTCATGAATTTCTTTTTGTAGGCGAAGTAGCTGGCAAGATAACTCTTAAACATTTATATGAAATCGCCAAAATTAAGCTGGAGGATCCACCCAATGCATTGTTAAATTTAGAACAAATGTGTCAAATGATTGTCGGCATTGCTCGTACATGTGGCATCGAGATCGTACGTGAAATAGATCCAGAAGAATATAGGCAGTTTCTGAAGAATAGAGAAGCGGAAGTCTTGCGGTATCGTGAGCAGCTTGAATTAGCCAAAGAAAGCAAAGTTCTTAGAACAAACTAATCTGTAACTAGAATATCTTTGTTTCTATTGTAATAAATATATGTATATAATAAACAGCGTGATTCTTTCAACAAAGATTTATTTATTACAAAAAAATATTTAAATTTGTTATATCTTTCTCCAACTTTAATGACTAATTAAAAGGCAAATTGATGTGTAAAAGAGAGTGTGTAAAATGTACATTTTTTATAAGTTACTATATACAAAATTCAAATTATTTATATAAAAAAAATAGATATCTCTAGACTTTTCTTGAAAAAAAAAAAACTTTAAATTATAGACATTTACAAAAAAGCGTATTCAATCAATAGACTAAAGACAAGCTTTTGTTAAAAAGGATAAAAGTCCTTTGTCCATAGAGAATTGACAGAGTTGTTTAGGTCGAAGTGTATCAGGCCCAGGTATATATAGTAGAATGATAATTTAAGAAGCGTCCAGCGTTCAGCTAACGACACCCAGCACTTATCCCATGCATTTGAGCATTGCCGAAGCTTCTTGTCATATACAGAACGCACGCAACACTTGGACATTTCCATCATGGCCGTCATCCTGGATTGAGTGTGCAGTGAATACTCGATACAGCGCATGAGATCGTTGGTTTTAAGAATCAGCAGCATTTGCCGATTGACACGGTCCAGCACATTACTGATCTGCGGCAGCAAGTTTGGAACATTCTGCTGAAACATCTCCTTCTCGCTAATGTCGTAGCGAGTTTTACGCACGCCTGATATAATCGTTTCCCAAGTCCTGCCTGATACCATAACTGACAGCAAACCATAGTAATCCTCAACACCGAGACGACCGCAGTATTTCTTCATAGCCACCCGATCACCATCGAGGATTGCCAGCCATAGCTTTGAATAGTCCCAGCGAAATTGATCGGACAGATTAGCATAGAGACCGTGATCCAGCAGAATGATTTCCGCCTGGGAGTCGCGATTGCGCACTAGGATGTTACCGGGATGCGGATCCGAATGAACAAAACCTTCAATGAAGATCATGTGGCTATACAGACGACCGAGTTTACTGGTGATCTCGTACGGATTCAGCTGATGGTCACGCATGTACTCTAGGTCATTCACCTGTCCGCCTTCTAGGAATTCCATTGTGAGCACGCGGGATGTTGACAAGTCCCAGTATATTTTTGGTACTTTTAGCCAATGATAATTCTTGAAAAGCCTCTGTACCTAGAGTAAAGTTCAACTCCTGAGGGATGTTCCTCTTTGTCTCTTTGACTAGCCACTCGAACTTGAAATCCGGAAATATCAGTGATGTAATTTTCACCAAAGTCGACATGGTCTTAATGTCAACATAAGAGTTGCTCTTGACTGCACGATGCTGTACCTTCACGGCCACCACATCGCCGTTTTTCAGCACGGCTCTGTGTACCTGTGCGAGACTAGCAGTACCCAGGGGTTCCGGGTCGATGCTCTGAAATATCTCATACGGAGACCTCTTAAAATCCTCCTTAATAACGGTAAGTACATCATTGAACGAGGACTGAGGTGCCGCACTATGCAGTATACGCATGGTGTGTACATATTCCTGAGGCAACAGATAGTCCAGTGCACCTACATGCTGACCTACCTTGATGTACACCCCTTTATTGGCACAACAAAGCTCTAGGAGCTTCTGCGCTCCATACTTGTGAGCATTTGATTTCAGCTGCAAGTACTCCGGTGATGTTTTATCCAATTTACTGTCATATAATTCTCTCTTATAATAATGGCCTATGTCAAGCACTGTTAGTGCAGCACGGCCTAAGCGTACAATACCAATGGCACTGATATCGTACTCATTTGTTCTAAGAGATGCCAGAGTACCCAGCCCAACTGTTCCAATAACAACGGCTTTGAACAGTCTTCTGGATGTAAACATTGCCATTCAGTTGACAGATCCTTTTAACCGAAAAAAAAAAACAACGAACTGTAAAATATATTTTCTCTTAAGATCCTTTAGAAACATTACATAATCAGTAAAATATACATATAATTAAAAAATTGCACTAACCTACTAACGTGATGATTAAAAATCCTCATAAATTCGCGTGATATAAGAGCGTATTATGACATCGAAACCGACAAACTGAGGAGTAGTGAAGAGTATAAACTTTAGAAAGGGGTTAAACTAACCTCGTTTGTATTTTACATATCTTGTCAACAATTCTGTGCACTTTCTGTCAAGATTATAAATACACGACACTTTTACAAACGGTCGCTAAATAGATCAACTTGGATCTATCGGTTTTCAGTCCAACCATGTGGACAAGCGTGTCACTGCGTGTCACTAGGGCTGTGGTCAAAGTCTCGCCACAAATGATTTGATGGACCAATTAGAAGAAAGAATTTTACAAACTGATCAATTAAAAAACGCTTCAAAGCGTTTGCAATATCATATTGACCATACCCACAAGATGCATTCCGTTTCATGCATGGAGTGCGTTCCAATTTATAATACATATAAAGCGCGTGAAATGCAACACTGATGCGCAACGCTTCGAAATCGTTCCAGTTTTTCAATGCGCGTATAATACTCATGAAGCGTTTGAATTCGAAACGGTTTCCTATACAAGCTGTGGGCTGAGTGGACTGCATTGGTAATGTTAAAAATGGGCGATTGCGATTCATTAATTACTTACAAAGACAGAACGAATAAATATATTTTTTTTAACATTTTTAACTTTTAAGAGTGACTTAAGAATACAAAATATAAATAATGAGGTAGTAAATTGTCTCCAAATTTATCGTATTATTTTTAAATGATTTAGAATAATCTAGTTTTTTTATAATTTTGTTATTATGTTGAAATATCATCCAAACATCATTAATTGCAGATTATAAAAATATTCTATTAAGAATTAAAAATATTTTTGCAAATTATGTTATTATTAGGTGTTGGAATTAATTCGTAGCGTTTTTTAATGAAAGAATGTTATTTATTTCACATGAGCATTAAAAAATACATTAATGAAAGTACTTCCCATCACTTGTAAAACGCTACGAATTAATTCCAACACCTAATATATTACAATATTATACAATAATATAATATATATTATGTATATAATATTATATTATTTTATAACACATTTTTAATTGTTAGTTAAAAGTATGTAATATAATAACGTAACATAATCTTAGAGTTTGAAAAAAAGATTAACTTTTAAATTTAAAAATTCGTTTGATTAATTACGATAAAATAAACTAATTATAATATAAAATAAACAACTTTCAAGGCTTTAAGTTATTTGTTTCGACTTCCTCTTTGCCATAATATAACATTCGTTTTATTTTTCTTTTTATAAGAGTTAGAAAGATTCCCGATCTATTTAAGGATCACAGTATCACGAATATTCGTTCCGAATTACACATGAACGCATCAGACGCATCAACTGTCTCAAGTCAAAAGAGAAGCAGTTAATGCGCTGGGAGTACTAAAAATTCCCCAATCTGGGGAATTAGTAGCACTTTCGAAACACTTTCGAAGCGCGCAATAGCTAATTTGAAACGACTTTCTGTGCGCTTCATGCGAAATTCGGAATGCACTCTAAGTTTTATTGAAAATCTTAAAAACTATATTACAAAATGCCATTTCATATATAAGTACAAGAAGAATATTAAAATAATAACGTATAATTACATATATAATGTACACAATTGTACATAATTACATATAATTTTTTGTAATTTCATTTACTCCAATTATTGGCACAATTTGTCTTCATATTATTATAACAAAACAATTAACTTTTATCAAAGGAATCATAGAGGCAACAACATAGAATGCATGTATAAATATACAGTTTCTTTGGAAGCGTAATTTTCGATTTTTATAAGTAAAATTGGAAATGTAATCGGCTAGAAGAAGAAGAAATATAGTTTTCCAAACAGTTTTCCAAAGAGAGTGTAGAAACCCTGTAATAATTTTTATAAAAATAAAGATGTTGGAAAATTTTGAAATATGTGTTTCGATATTCCAAAAAAGTTACTTTTTAATATGTATGCTTATCACAGATGCGTGAGGACGCGAGAGATGATCGTGGGTAATACCAAGTAATGCTAAATGCATGAAATTTTCACTTTTAACTGTTATTTTGAATTGTTAGTAGAGACTTAAAATTGTCAGCATCTTGATCACCATTAAAAAGTCTTTCAAATAAGCCTCCTAATATCATTTAAAATTTTCATCACCTCTTCCGCCCTCGCGCACCTAGGAAATGTGATTAGCACTCGTGCAAAAGGTAGCTTTTTTTGAAATATTGGAGCACGTGTTTCACCGTTTTCTGGTATTCTCTTTTTTTACAAAAATTATTACAGAATTTCCACGTCCTTTGGAAACCCCATATATGCGTACAAATATGTTAACAGGAAATTTAAATATAAAAAAATACAATACAATACAATACAATAAGAGCATATACACAGCGCGAATTTTTATATAATTTAAAAAAATTTTACATAGAATATAAATGTACAATAATTGTCTATACCATATTATTTGAATTCGTACGTTTGGATTTTTCTTCAAACAATCATCAGCGAATCCGTAAATACAGTCGTGGATGTCTTTACAATGTTCTCATGATAATGTTGTAATTCCTATCTATTGGTTGTCAGACAATTCATTAGTTGTCTGACTCTCGTTGGGATAATACATGTCAAAAAAATTTTTATATTGTGTAATGTGACAAAACTAAATATTATATTTTTTGTTATCGTTCCTCGTACTTGATTTCCTACATTTTGAATAACGAATTGTAATCTGTGAGGTTAGTCACTTGGCTTTTTAACGAAGAGACTTACGACTATTCCCCAACAGAAAGTAGGGTAATGCTCATCCTCAGTCATAGATAGGAATTCCAATCATTATCATTGTAAAGACATCTATGACTGTATCTATGGATTCGCTATATACATTTATATTCTATGTAAATTTTTTTATATAGAAATTCGCGCACCAATTTTCGCGCTATGTATATGCTCTTATTGTCCATGTATTGTATTGTATTTTTTAATTTTGAGAGCCCGATTAATATTCATATTTTAAACTTAAATATGTTTTAGAGGAAAATATGTTTCTTCTAAAGGAAAAAAAGATTGCATGTGGAGAGATTGTCAGAAAATCTAAAATTAAGAAAAATTTAATATAATTATCTTGGAGCGTCCATAAACTAATTACGAACCTGTACCTATGCCTGGTCAAGGACTCGCTATAAATGCTTTGAAGCGTTTGATGGACCAATTAGAAGAAAGAATTTTACAAATTGACCAATTAAAAAATGCTTCAAAGCATTGTAGCATCGCGTTAACCGTACCTTATTTGCCACTTCTGACGATATATATGTATGATACAGAGAATAAATTAACCATCCTTTACACTATTTACATTCTGTACATTCTAGTCTCCAGTATGATCAGCATTTTTTAAATATTATTTCCTGCAGCCTGTTGCATAAAAAGTTTCTAAAAAGAAAAATCGCATTTTGATTAATATCGAACGAAAAATAATACTTCTTTCTTCAAAAAAATGTATGTCAATGCGACATTCTCTTTACCTTGATTGGCGGGAGAGCGTTTACTAATTGCAAACCCAGACTTCTACCAAGAACAATGGGTGCCGCGGTGTGTTGATAGAACCGATGAAGTCCATCGATGGCGAGCATCATTGGTACATTGTGACGTTGCCTCAGCGTCTCGTATGTCCGCAAATAGAACATATCATTGAGATGACTGCCGTTCACGTTAGCCTCGGCGAGGATTTGCGTCAGCTCTGCCACATCGCCGAAACCTAGATTCACACCTTGACCTGCCAAAGGATGGACTCGATGTGCAGCATCCCTTTAAAACGCGTAGAATATTAAAAAAAAATAAGCTATACATAATTAAAATCTCAATATAAAAATTTCAGTTTGGCAAATTAGATAAAATTTTCTTACCCGATCAACACCGCGCCTGACTGAACATACGACGAGGCATGACCAAAACCTAAAGGAAATGCTGCCCGCGATCCCTCGACAATTGCCTTTACGGAGGGTGGCATTTGCCTGGATGTATTGATCTTTAAGGCAAGTCTTGTAAGCAACCAGTGAAATCCTTGCATCCCGCTTTCGACAATGCTGCTCTTCGGATAAATTCGCCACAGCGCCTCATTTATTCGGTCGACAAATTCTTCCTCCGAGATATTCAATAGTTCCTTTGCTTTCTCTTTCGTTACGGACCATATGAGTGAACTGAGAGAATCTGTCAACTATTAGAGAACAGTAATATATAGAAATAATTAATTTAATTAATTTACTTTATTGCAAAGCTCTATAAAAAGACTATGTTAACAGAGTAATAGATATAAAAGATACAATAGACTAATAGCTTGCAAATGGTGTCAGCAAAACTGCTGTTACAAAGCCTACCAACGACTGAAACCCAGAATTAAAATAAAGATGCAATAAGTGGTGAAAACAATAGTTACAATCATATACACACACCCGTTACATCAGTTTTGTTTAAAAACTGTGAATGACCCGATGAAGCGTGAGGCAGCGGAACGGAAGGAGGACAGAGAGGGAGAGGTTTTTATTGATACAGGAAGAGAATTAAAATATTTGACCGAGGTGTAGAAGAAAGCGGAACTTAGTAGAACGATGTATGAGGAAGGATAAGTAATCTTGATATCTAGTGACAAGCGTGTTAATAGAATGGAATGAAGCTCAGAGTTCAATTGAAAGAGGCGTCGCAGATATAGAAAAGTATTGGAGCGAAAGAGAGAGAATACAAGACAGCACAAGTGGTATATAAAACATTGCCACATCCTAAATCAGCCAGATCTCTAATAATATGTGGATATATGGTCATATTTATGGACGCAATACGAGAAGCGGAGGCAAGAATTTTGGATACGCTGTACATGATTTAGCAATTAAATTAAGAGTTGGAATATAGACGACATCGCGTAATTAAATAAAGAAATAATGTTTCGTTAAAGAAGTAGTTTCGCGTAAAGAAATAGAGTTTGAATTGAAAAGTGAGAAGTTTTTGAGAGCAGGAAAGGATGTCGTGAAGGGGATAAAGAAAACGTAAAACAGAACAGGCTGCTTCAGCATCAAGTGTGAAAGGATTTAAAAAGAATTACGTCATCTGCATACATAAAGAGCTCGGAGGACAGAGAAACATTAGATAAATCAGAGACAAAAATACTATTAGGTGTTGGAATTAATTCGTAGCGTTTTTTAATGAAAGAATGTTATTTATTTCATATGAGCATTAAAAAATACATTAATGAAAGTACTTCCCATCACTTGTAAAACGCTACGAATTAATTCCAACACCTAATAAAAAGTAAAGGACCTAGAATGGAATCCTGGGGAATCATCAGAGAGAACAGTACGAGGAGAGGAGAAAAGAGGAAAAGGATTATATATGAGGATATGCTGCGTGAGATTTGTAAGAAACGAGCAGAAGAGTAGATTACCAGAAATAGTAATATAGAATGATATTGAATCGATCTATTAATTTTCTTTTGGTCCTCAAATTTGTTCAATTAAATTAAATTACTTAAAATGTCTGACTTGATGTGTCAAACATTGCGTATATTCATTTTCTAAATCTATTAATTATTCTTGAAATTATTCTTAAATGACGAGCATAACGTTATATTAGAGAATAATGTTACATTTCATTTGACTTGGTTGTATTTCCACGATATTTTCCAGGCATTAGTCTTTAGGAGTATTTTAGACTTTGACGTTGTTCACGCGAAGAAACGAATTAATAGAAATACGAAAACTGAGAAGTTACCGGAAGCAAGGCGATGGGTCCCGTTGGAAGAAATCTTTGCCAAGCCACGATGTTCTCCATGGGCTGAAATCGATTAACGACATGTGTTATAACTCAATAGCTCATAGATATCTTCTTAAACGTGAGAAACAGCTATATCTCTTGTTTGTTTTATGTACGATATTACATATTTTCGAGAGAATTACCTCAGACAGCTTAACAGTCGCAACGATGCCCAATTGATTGTACTGCCAGTTGAGATAAATCACACCCATCGCCTTCCTCACCAGGGAGTTAACGCCATCGGCACCCACCTGGAACGCATCAAAACACTTTATTTATTCTGGCTCCTTGTGCTTGACGATAACAACATTTTAAAAGTAAAATTATAAGCGTTGTTATAAGGGGAATTATTGAATTAAAACGAAGATAGTGCGAATAATTGGCGCGTTGCGACAGTCAAACATATTGAAAATTTACAAGCATGTACGAAAATAACGTCAGTTCTGTTTCAGATTTCAGCGGAGATCATCAGAGATTATCTGCGCAGGATGGTTAACATCTTATATTAACATCGTAAATGCTATTTCGTTTATACACAAATCTGTAGACATGTTCGCAAAAAATATTGTTTATATTCTGATACTTAACAGTACAATATTTCAGAAAGTCACATTCAAAACTTCACAATTATTTAAAATAAATTATAATGTTAGTTTCCATCATAAAAAATAATGTACTTTTTATATTATATATTTATTTTCTTCAATCTGCTTATATTTTCTTTATTTTCTTTGAAAATTGAAATAATTGCAAGCCGGCTGTAATCGTCATTTGTATTAAACTATAATAAAGAAGCTGTTAAAACATACTCTCTCAAATTTTAATTAAAAATTAATTGTAAGAAAAAGAAAGTATGTATCAGGATAATAATTTTGTTAAATAATATTGCTGACACATCGACTGAATTCTGTTAAAAGTATTTACGCGTGAAATGACTGGCGTTAATTGATAATACAATCATTTCCGGCATCGTGCTGAGAAAGAGTGATAGGGAAGGAGTTTGCGGTTGGGAATTTTTTTCTTTTCCTTTTTTGTCACTGAAACATGCCGGATTTACGCAAGGAGTGAGGGAGAACCGTGAGAGATTAATAGAAGCTAAATATATAACACTGTTTTATAAACACATGTGGGTATCCTGAGATATACAAAGATCCGGAATAGTCGAATAAATGTTCAGTATTAGCGAGTGAGAGCTAGAGTTGAGAGACGATGAAGGCGCATTAAGAAAACTATCCATTCTACAATGTTAAAACGACTGCTCATCAAACGACTGATCTAATGAGATTTTTTACTGATATTTATATTAATCATCTTGTTAATACTTGTTTGATTGAGAACATCATCGATCTAATCGTGATAAATGTATTATTGTATGGAAATGTGTGCTGTTATCATTGCGTAGCCACAAGAATGACACTTAGTTAAAGATAAGAAACTTTCCATTCTTTATACGCTACATGATTACACTAACAAAATGTCTATAGTAATCATTCATGTAGAGTTAGACAAATTTCTTTAAGAATCTAAAGAAGGACATGATTATGTCGATTCTTGGTAAGAAGAACTTTTTTGAAAGACTCTCCGGCAGTCATTTGACGCGAGAGGCGCCGAGAATAGAAACTACCAATAACGGAATGCCGTCTGTTGTGATCAGCAATAAGGTCAGTGAATGAAAAATGTGATCAATTATCGATGTTTCCTTAACGTTCGTGTGCCGAATTTAGGAAGAACTCGACGATATTTGGATGAATGAGATTGACAGTGGCAGTATCTCTTCCGAGAACAGCTCGGATTCTGTCACCTGTCACATATCAACGCCGATGACGCAAGAGCAACTCTGGAGCAAAGAGGAAGTCGAAATAGCACTATCAAATCTTCCAGGGGGCGAAGCTGCTCAAAAAAAATCTTTCCCTGATCCCTACTCTTCAAAATGATACTCTGCAAAAGGCTTTAGAGGAATTCCAATGCTTGACTCTCAACGAAATTATGGACTGTAATCATCGAAAGATCACACTGCCTACGTTTGCGAACGGGTAATGGCAATAATAGTTGCACATCTACAGTTCAATCTTACAGGTAAAAGTGAGAAATAAGAATAAGCTTATCTGTGTTTACAGGTTTATGCGAAAGGCTGTATTAGATAGCGAAAATGGAGCAGCGGCTGCCGCGACTCCGGGTCAGTTACTTGCAGGATGGCCAGATACGTGTCTGTTGATTTCTAGCTGGTTGGGTCACGTGGAGATCGCCAAGGCTTTGCTAGACAAAGGTGCGCCAGTTTCTACGAGTGACTGCGATGGAAGGTATATATGTATATAAAACTATAATTTGCGATGGACAGAATTACTATCCAGAATCATGTTATTTATTATGTACCTCGAAAGTTATCTGATTCCATCACAGTGAACCATAAGATATCTCCAATCAATTGAGCTTTATAGTTTCAATTAATTCTCAAAAACTTTATATCCTAGAACACCATTGCATCTGGCAGCTTGTTCCACGTCCGTAAAACTCGTGGAGGAGTTACTGAAGCACGGTGCTGATCCATGCAAATGGGATCTCGGAAAGAAATGCACCCCGTTACATTGTGCTGCAGCGGCAAGTTGCGTCGCTACCGTCAAATCCCTGATCAAATCGGGCGCAAATGTAGACGCCGGATTATCCGGCAAAAGTCCGCTTCATTATGCCGTGTTAAACAACGCTGGAGATTGTGTCGAGGCTCTACTACAAGCAGGTGCTTGTCCCAATAATCCACAGGTGCTCCTTTACCATGACCAACTCAAACATGAATTTGGTGGGGAAGTGATGCTTAAACAGAAATCTTTTAAAAGAAATTTGATCTGATAAGTTGAAATTTGATAATATATACAGAAAGTAACGTCTAAAATCTTTAACGTCGATTATGGATCAGATATTATTTTCCCACCAAATTAACCGCATCTCTTCGAGATTCAAGTGAAGATTTCTTCAGTGAATTAATATGATTTGTTAACAGGTTTACACAGAGACACCTCTGCACGTAGCGACTAGTTTAGGCAATGTGCGTTGCACCAAACTACTATTGAATCATGGAGCGGATGTGAGAGTGCAACTGGGAATCGCGAGATCGACACCTCTGCATCTGGCAGCCGAAGAGGGGAGTGTGGAGTGTACTAAGCTGTTGCTGAATGCCGGTGCGGCCTGGGAAGCAAAGAATTCGCGCGGTCAGACGGCGATGCATCTTGCAGCGCTTGCTCAATCTATAGAAACGTTAGATGTATTAATAAATGCCGGTGCGAAAGTCAACGAGGAGGACGACGATGGGCGAACTCCTCTACATGCTGCAGTTGCAAAAGCCTTGAGGAGTGGTGAACTAGTCAAGACTTTAATACAGGTTCATAGTTCGCTCATATATTATACTTCAGGAATAGTCACCTGGAATGTTTTTATATCCCAGCAACGAAAAAATGTTGTAAAATATTATTTTGTCTAGATATAAATGGACATTGTTTAATATATTTTCTTTCTATAATAATTTCTTTTTATAATAACTGTTCTCTACAAATTTAACACCCTAGGTGACCGTTCACATTCAAAAAAATCAGGTGACTATTTCCAGTTTGAGAAAGATTTTTCTAACAACACAGAGAGATACAATAAGATGTTTTTTTCTTTAAAAGGCAGGTGCTTCAGTCAACAAGGCGGACAAATTCGGCTACACGCCATTGCACATCGCGGCCTTGAACGAGAGCTCGCCTACGGTGATGCTGCTACTGTCGAAGGGCGCCGATATGACGGCACGCACCAAGGGCGGCGTTACAGCTCTTAGCTTTATTATACGTCGCACTCCAGATGTATTACCACTCTTTGTGGCACGCTTCGATCAGGCGATTTCGCTGCACGATCATGAACTGGGCGACGTAGACTGCGAGTTACGACTGGACTTCCGGCCGTTGGTGCCAGGCGGTCGTGGTGAGACGGATCTGATGCTCTGTCTGGTAGAAGTTGGTCAGGGTCACGTGCTAAAGCATCCGTTGTGTGAGAGTTTCCTTTACCTCAAGTGGCTGCGTATCCGCAAGTTCTTCTTGCTCAGCCTGATGTTTCACTCGATCTTCGTTGCTCTCTTCACTGGTTATGTTGGAGCAACGTATCTCTGGCACGTGAAACGGCTCAGCAATGGCCTTCTCTGGCCAGTACTGGGCTTCACCTGTGTGCTTGCAGGCAAGGAATTTTTTCAAGTCGCTCATGGTATCTACTGCTACGCCAAACGCTGGGAGAATTGGCTGCAATGGAGCGTGATCATGGCATCCGGCATTATCCTAATTCCGTCAGCCTATACTTGGCAGCATCACGTTGCCGCTCTGGGTGTCCTACTGGTCTGGATCGAGTTAATGATAGTGGTCGGTCGCTTTCCTATGTTTGGCATCTATGTACAGATGTTCACTCAAGTGTCCATCAACTTCTTCAAGTTTCTCGCAGCCTACATTTGCCTCATAGTCGGCTTCTCTCTTGGCTTTAGCGTGCTACATAAGAACTACAAGTCCTTCGCTGATCCATTGGTCAGTCTACTCAAGACGATGATCATGATGTCGGGCGAGCTCGAGTTCGAGGATGTCTTCTTCGACGAAAAAGCCCCGCTCCAATATCCCGGTACAGCCCATTTGATGCTTCTCAGCTTCGTTATTCTAGTGACAGTGATTCTGACGAATCTGATGGTTGGTCTAGCCGTATCGGATATTCAAGAACTGCGCAGATGCGCTGGCCTTGATAGACTAGTGCGCCGTGCTGAGCTAGTGGCTCATCTCGAGAATATGCTATTCTCCAAACTTCTGGATCGGGCTCCGGCATGGAGCATAATACAGGCATGCAGGAGAGGCGCTCTGCTATTACATCCACCGTATCATTGCGCCTTGCACATTCGACCGAATGATCCACGTGAAAAACGTTTACCGCGAGATCTCATCCGGGCAATATATCGCTTAGTCAGTGAGAGGAAAACGCGGCGGACAACATATAGAGGCAGTGTGCCACCGTTACCACGAAATGCGAATGCTACGGTGGAGTCGAGCCACACAAGGCTCAGTAGGATGTACAGCAACGAGAGCAACCAGCAACAGCTAAATGAACTGGCAGCCGAATTGAAGAGATGCTCGTATAACATCAGCAATAAGCTGGACAGTTTGATCAACAAAGTGGAAAGTATTGTTAAGGACTTGGACATGTCGCCTAATTAGGCTACGTTCGGAAACATCATTCAAGCCCCTATATATTTTATTTTTGTTGTTTACTGAATGTTAAACAAGGATAAAATGATATACGGAACTACTTGCATGGTATTTTGCAAATGTACCTCTATTGTTTCATTGAATTGAAAAATGATTTAAACAATTAAGAAAAAACTATAAGAATTATGAAAATAACTATGAAAAGTCTATAAGAACAAGTGTCTCAAAAAGAAAATATGAACTTAAGACAAAAGAGACATAAATTATGAAAAGCCTAATAATGACAATAAAAATACGAATGTAACAAATCTCATTTTCGATTATGACAATCTACACACACACACACACACACACACACACACACACGCACGCACACGCACGCACGCACACACACACGTATGTATGTATGTATGTGTGTGTGTGTGTGTGTGTGTGTGTGTGTGTGTGTGTGTGTGTGTGTGTGTATATATATATATCCTTCGCAATTTATATACATTTAACATAACTTGGTGCTCACCAGTAACCTAGTCCTGTACTGTTCTCCAGACTGCAGCTGTATAGTAACGAATTCTATTCCCGTCTTCAGAAGTTTTACATCGGCGACTTTAGAATTGTAAATCAAAGTAACATTTTCTTTCTTAGAAAGCTGCTTGTTGATCGCGTGCAGCAACAGGTCATTCTCGATTACATAGGCCAATTCTTTACACGAGAAATCCTCGTTGAATGTTATTACAGCATCGGAACATGCCTCCCATACCTATTAAAAAATTATATATAAATATATCATAGGAATTAATTTTATAAACTAAAAGAATATAAACTAATAAAAATCAAGACTCAAAGATTACGTTTTTAATCATAACGTTTTCAGTGTAATAACTATTAGTTATGCAATTTATCAATTGTTGCAAATAGAAACTGTTTTATATAATGTCACTTACTTGCTTGATAATATAATTAATTCTAAAATAGCAAAACAGAAATTTAAAGGACTAGTTACCTGCATTTTCTGTACTGGAGAATATCGGATTGCCTCTATATGTTTCCATGCTCCTATGCTGGATAATAAAGTACGGGTTTGTTGATTCAATGCAACAACTCGATTGGAGTATTTCTCCTGTGGTGTGTATTCCTGTTTAGCATTATTTTCTAAAAGTAAGATCTTCTTGTCTGCCAATCTCCGATTGTTCGCTGAAATTAAACACATACTTGCAAAACATGCTCCATATATCATAAATGTAAATAGTATAATAACAAAGCTAAAAGAACAGATTATGCATTTTGAGAGAAATATATTCAAAATCTTTTGTCTCAAAATATTGAAAAAAAATTGCAATTCAATTAAACGCTAATTTTGGTATATGTAGTATTTATATCATACATTTTATAATAAATAAATAATTTTATTTTATTATTTAATTTTATTAACCTAAAAAAAACGTTTTTAAGAACAAAGTTAAATCGTCAAAAATTTATCGGTTAAAAATATAATAAAATAATTCTTGAGAAATCTTCAATTAAAATAAAAATAGTTTAAGAAATTTTATGATAAATAATATAATCATTAAATATTTAATTTTATATTTAAATCATCCCCACATCTTACTTTTAAATATTAAAAACGTCTTAAATAATTTTTGTAAGTTTCCAAATAAATTTCCTTTCTCGAACATCTGTTATTATTTATTTACAAATAATAGTGTGGATAAAAAGCTAACCTATGGCGCACGCCAACGTCGTACCGACCATGCCGCCTCCGGCGATGATGATATCATAGGTCTTTTCATTTTCTGCGGTGGTTGAGTAGCTCTTCTTCGAGACGACGGTCGTGCCGGGGATGACACGTTCGCAATTTCGCGACAACGACGCGAGGACAAGCCGGCACGTTGACATACCTACCTTGATAGTCGCCATTTTACACTGACAATAAGTGCGACAGCGCGCGACTCGATCAACAGGAATTAGAAAGGAGGAAATGAAAAGTCTCTGTTTTTGTAAAATATGCGCCAACAGGCCGATTTGTTGTTCAATCATTCTCTTTGATTCTCATTATGTAGCATCATTTAGCCTTATCGCATGGTGATAAGATTAATCGTAGTATTTTTTTCACATTTTGTCCATACGAAGTGTAGAAAGCATAAAAAATGATTTACATGAACTTGTACATATATCGGAATGTATTTTCGAGAGACAAATGCCTATATTCAGGATTAAAAGACTTCAACTCCAAAGAAGATTAATAAACCTTGATCTATAGTTAATTTCTTCTAATTAAAGATAATTAATTTTAAATGAAGAGAATTAAACTTCTCACTTTTAATTTTTAATTAGAAAATCTAAATCACAAAAAAATCCTGATTTATTAAATATGCTGAGTTAAATATAATATTGTATAATTCCAGAATAGGATTGATATGGCAGATATCACATAGTATAATCCAGAAAAAAATAGATTCTAATCATTCTCTTTGAATAAGCATGTTATATAAATAGAGCTTTTCTCTCTACGTAATCGCAAAGATTTGAGCATATATATAAATTTTTATAGGTTATCAAAATTTCATCATTTACTCGAACGAAGTTCATGCTCGGAGGAATCAACGATTTCGCAGACATAATCATTTTCCACGTACGTTCGGCGGTAACATTCACATTCAGACGAATCGATCGGATTGTTTTGCGCGCCATTTAATTCCGTAGAACTGGTTGCAGGGCGTTAGCACTTCCTCGCGAGCTTCACCATGACGACGGCGACGCCAGGTCGGCGACGCCAGGTCGCATTGATCCCCCGTAGCAGGTACAGTAACGGCCATCGAAGTTGCCAGTACATTGTTTGTATCCCAGTGTTGAAATCAGGATTTGGTCACAAACCACCTTCTTAGAATCGACTTGAACTCGTATTTGGCTGATTACTCAGAGAATGAAGGTGATTAGTCACAAGAAATTCCATGAAGAATCTGGTGAAATCTTCTAAGAAAAAGTCGGCAAAATGTCTCAATTTTGATGACGATTAGAATAAAATAAAAGGCACATTTGTAGGTAGAGTTTAAGACCTTAAGATAAATATATGTATATTAATCATGTTATCCTGATTGAAATTTTATGGCTGTTACAAAGTTACAGATGCAATCAATTTAAAAATTTAACTGTTTGGTAATTAGAAAAGTTAGTTTGATTTATTGTATTCTTTATCTTATATTTTAATGTTTGCTGTGTTCAGTTATTAGTAATTTTTCCTGTATATCTGTGTATGTCGTATATATATTATATATAATTAACTTATGCTGCAATTATAGACAGTAGTTGTACGATTCTATTGTGTAATTATCTTTAATTGTGTTATAGTTGTGCCTTTGATAATATCTAAACTTCATATTTTAAATTTAATTTCAATTTATTTAATTAAGAAGTCCTTTTTTCATCATTAAATTGTAAAAAGGACGAATGTGTTAGAAATTATGAAATACTTATTATATTTAATAGAAAAAGTTTTTTTTAATTATCTACAAATATTTACATATCTTGTAACAGTAAATTCATTAATATCTAAAATTTATTTTATCACATTATTTATTTGTTACATTAACTTATACGTGTTACATAATATTTCGTAATAAATCAGTGAACCATGACGGAGCACAGAGGCACCTCCTTTTTCCACTCGTGCGTGAAGATGCCGGTGGATCCTTGTAGCCGGCAACCAACTCCTTCTTACGAACGTCCTCGACTGTCATCCGGCAGCCGAAGATCAGAGAAAGTGAAAAAAATTAACTTTGCCGAGGGTGAACCAACTGCCGTTGAGAACTCAGAGTCGTCGAGTCCGCGCGACACATTGGAAAATCTTCTGGAGTTCCTGAAGAGCATACCGGATTATGGACAAGTACATCATTTGTCGAACGAGCAATTCAAGCAAAAGGTTGAATATCTAAGAAGGAAGCAGCGGCTGCTTCTGCAGAATCTGAGAAACTCGCTGGATGACACAGAGGAGCCGTCATCGCGTCTGTCAATTACGAGAAATGAGAGCTCAAAGTCAAAGGACAACAAATCGAATGTCGTTGTTGATGATCTCAAGTTGAATGGCAAGAAATGCTACCTCGAGGAGTCGAGAACCAGCAGCCCAATACTGTTTCCATCTGGAAATTTTGCTAGTCTCGCCGAAGATCAAGATCTACTGACGTATAGGTGATAATTTATAAAGTTGTTAAGCGATGAGAGAGTGAGAGAGAGAGAGAGAGAGAGAGAGAGAGAGAGGAAGAAAGGCAGCTGAAAGGAAAAATCTTAAATTACGAATGCATTGGAGAAATTATATATATGTAATTATATTTATCTTTTATTGTCTCTATTGCTTTTATTTATAAAACACGTTAATGTTGATTCTAGATGCAGAGACAAGGATAAGGAAATGAAGACAATGCGCAACAAGGAGATACTTGCGGCCAATAAAAGCTGGAGCACGTGGAGCGAATCGAAAAGCGATGACAGCGTGAACAGTGATGGCGAGGATAGCATCGAGACAAAAAGTTTACCACCAAGTAGCTCGAAAGAATGGCACCCCACAGTGCCTAAACCGTTCAGTTTCACGCTGAGGTACGTGAATATCACGCTGAGGATGAGATTCTTAAAACATATTTAAGAGCCTGCTTGCATTTAAAAACCTGCTTAATAGATACATGTTTCAAATGTGTCTCTCTACGTTGTTAGAATATTAACATAAAACTGTATTAGTTTTCATTATTAATCTAATTTTAGTAGACATTCAATCTTTTTTATCGAATTAAAAGCAATTTTTTATATCAATATATCAATAAAAGAAAAAATTATTTTATTAAATTATTATTAATAGATATTTATAAATTATTTTATTTTTTAAGTTTGTAAAATGTCTTGAAATATTTTTAGGTTTTTATACTATTTTATATATATATATATTTATATTAAGTGTATCTGTTTTTCTGTAATTAAATATTTTATACTACTCATTTCCTGTTTATATAATTGAAGAAACATTTGATGTCCTTTTTCAGGGAAGAGGCTGAAAAATATATGACAGAGATAGAGACAGTCGAACGGACGAATGAAGATAACGAGAAGAAAAGTCCTTCGAAAAAACGACGAGTCAGACCAATTCCTATTACATCCAAAATACCACTTTATGACAAATTAATGGCTGAAAAAGAGGAAAGGTCAGTTAGGTAGCATTTTTACAAATGACTGTATAATACTATCTACTTTTTTTTTATTTTCAATCAAATTTAGTATCGTATTTCTTCAATTCTGAAAGTTTCACTATACTTTTATATATTATTTTAGTTTTTTAACTATTTAGAGGTCTGTGAAATTATAATTAATATTAAACCTCGATATAACGTGCGTTTTTGATGTTCAGAAGTCGTATTGTACGCGAAGAGAGCGCACTAAATCTATTGTCGCAAGTGCGACCTTTTAAGCTGGAGTGCGATCGTCGTGCCTGGCGATCCATGGCGAGGTCCAGTCCTGAACTCTACTCGAGCAAGAGCAGTTCTTCGCGTTTCAAGGCTAAGCCAGTACCAAGAAACCTGTTCGGCACCGAGGTTTACGACCGTATGCTTGAGGATGAATATTATAGGTCAGCTTGTCGTTAATTGTCGAGTTCTTTCCATATTTTATCTTAGAAAAATTTAAATGGACATTTTTATGCACGTTTAATATCTATATTTATATATCTTTGCTCTTGTTCTTTTTTTTCTTTCTTAGTGTCGATAAAGTCGCATTACGAATATTGAATGTCCAGAAAATTCTATTATTTTTCTTGATTGAAATATATCGACAGTCTTTAAAAATTGCAAATAGATAAAAATTTTTAGAAATTAAGTCTTAATTTAATTTTAAAGCTTATTCTGTATACAAGTGAAAGTTTATATATAAGCGACTAATTACTTTGCAATTAAAAGAAATGAATTTAATTATTAGAACTCGGCTTTCTAAAGTTGTGTAAGATACTTACACAACAAGATTATTTAAAGAGCTAAAAACTTTTTAAAATCTCTTGAGAATTGAAAACAATTAGATAGAGATTTATTTACGCGATTCCAGACAGCTAAGGAAAAGGTTGAGGGCTGCGGAGATGTTGAAGTCTTCTTCGTTACCGCCATCGATGGCGAGGCGTGAACGTGTCAAGTCCGCATATGCACATTTTCAGGACATGGAGCCCAACAAGGATGATGACGAATCTGTCATTCCGACTACGACGATGTCCGACAGAACTAGGTCCGCGCTGACGTCCGCATTGTCTTCGCGCGGGAATAACCTGGCTGCGATTTTGAGATGTCAAGCTTCACGGTACGACCTTTAATGAGAAAGATTGCGTAACCCAGAATCCCTCTATTTACTTATATTTCTGAAAAGTTGATTTTAAAATAGTAGAAATTCAGTTGAAGAACGAAATGATAGTTGCGAATCATAAAAAGTCGCTCTGGTATAGGATTTAATTTTTTCCTAAATACAAACAAAGGATAATTTTTAATTAGAGAGGAATTCACACGTGTAAATGACGATCGAAAACTCATCACAGAGAGAAACTGGAGCGCGAGATACAGGAGCGGATGGAGGAGAAGCGGCGGGAACAGATACTGAAGTTCAGGGAGACGCTGATCGGCCGAAAACCCGCGTGGAAGGCCCTGAGATCGGCCGCGAGGTACGCACTGGATCTATAGATCTAAGCGTTCATCGATTTTTATGATCAGTTATTGATCTAATGTCGCGAAAACAAGGCACGAGCATGACAGAGACCTAGACATACGGACGTCTCTTCGTCGTGACGAGGCGCGGGAACAGGCCGAACGTCATCGACTGCAAATGGAAATGATGCTGGACCGTGTGACGCAAATACCGACTCTTTTCGAGCGTCATTCTCAGGTAATATGAATTTCTTGTTATTTGCATGCGTCGTTATTAGATAATTGTAATTATGGATAATTTTACTTTCTAAGTAGAAACAAATATTTATCAATAAATGTCTTTTTTATGAAAAAAAAAACAACGTATTTTAATACTTTATATATTTTATGCACCAATATATTTTATATAAAGCAAGATTAAGAAATAATGTAAATTCTTTAGGATACATTCTAATAAAGTATTGTGTAAACTACGCTTTATACACGAATTTTGCAGAGTTTTCAATCGCTCGTAAAGGCGCAACAGAAGGTTCCTTCGAAGAGTGCCTACGTCCGGAAGAAGAAAAGGAAGAAAAAGAAACAACAGCAACAGTCGAAAAGATCTACGTCAAGTAGCTTGGACTCGTATTTAAGCTTTGCCAGCAATTCTAGACCAAATTCCGGATCATTAGTCAGTTCTTCCGGTACTCTGATGTCAAACCAATCATCATCGAAGTCGTCGGGCGATTCCTCCGACAAATCGGCTGCTAAGTCAGAAGCCTCGACACTGAAAAGAAAAGCCGATCGCGGTCCATTGAAGGTTTCGATCAATGAAACGGCGGAATGGATCGAGGATCGCAACGAAAAATTGTTTAGTAGCGATGAGCGATCCCGCAGCGATGATGTCGAAGAGTGAATTGAACCGATAATTCTTATTATTATCGCGAAATTATTCTGAATGTCAGGTTCCTATATTTATATATTAATTATGATTAGAATATATTACGATAAATAGGTAAACCTTGACCAAGCTTTTCAGTTTGAAATTATCTGAAGAAAAAGCTTTTTATTTATTCAGCTTTGTTATAATTGAACTATATTTATAAGAATAATCTACAGCTAAGCTGATATTCCGACATATCAAGAACGGTTCAAAGTTGATTAAAGAATCAATTTGAAATTAAAACGATTATGATAATTTTTCGGCGAATCCAGTTTATCGTGACTAACTATTCTACGAAATACTTTTCGTAGAACTCAGGAAGCAAATAACAACCAACTTTTTTATAGAAAAATGGTTTATTATATCGATATCTTATGAAGCGTAAAAACATGATAAATTAACATATAAATCATAATCACGCATCGGTTTAGCACATATATTCATTAAAGCGAGCAAAAAACTCTCTTCCTCTCTCTTTTTTGTTTTTTTTCTTCTCATCAAAGATATTACACGCTTATCTCATATGCAATAAAATAGTGTAAAATATAATTTAAGTCGCAATCTCGAGAAAACTTCTAATGGAATAAAGTGTATCGATAATAAGACACTTTATTCCATTAAAAAGATAACAAAAGTTTTTAAAATGAACACTAATTATTTATATTAATTAAAAATACGCTAGAACGGTATTTTGCGAATCACCTTCCTAGACACTTAAACCGCCTATTTCCACAGCATTAAAGATATTCCTTCTCTGCCGTGATAATTTTACTCGTTTTGTCAATCTTTTAAAATCAATTTTATTTATCTACATATTTATGGAACGCGCCAAATTTAATTCTCGCTAAATTCTCGTTCTCACCACGATGGGAATTATCGCGTTTGTGTCACCATATTCCGAACACGGAAATTAAAAGTATTCAATATGAAAGACTTCGTTTCGCAATGTTTCAGTCTACCTTTAATCTGTCAGTGTGTTGAGAATCCAGTCCATGTAGTAGGCGACATTAGTGTAAACTCCGGGGAATCCCTCAGTGCCGCACTGCTTCAGTCCGTAGCTGACGACGCCGTATTGAATGATGCGTATTGATCTACTATTGTATATACCAGCTGCCTGAAGAGGTCCACCACTATCACCCAAACAAGAGTCCACGTTCATTTGGCCGCCGGCACATAGTTGCTTGTACCAGATCTGTGTGGTCCGCTTATATATTTCTTTACACTGTTCAATGGCTACTAGTGGTAGCTTCGCTTGCAGAAGATCCTGACTGCGCGGTCCCAACTCTGTCGCGCCCCAACCGGTTACTACAGCCTGCCAGTCAAAAAGAAAATTTCGAAATAGAAATGAAGTAGTCTTTACGAAAATCGAGAAATTCATCCGAGTCGAAATTTTTAGAAGCGGTAGAAAATATTTCTCAAAAAAGTTTGATGGACTGTAGAATCCATTTAAAGAGATACAATTGTGAAATATTTTAATTTATAAGAGAGAGACAGAGAGAGAGAGAGAGAGAGAGAGAGAGAGAGAGAGAGAGAGAGAACATGAAACATGAAAAACGTTATTTAAAAATTCCTTTTTTTATTTATAGTATTAAATCAGTAGTAGATTTAATTAATTTAAAGCAAAATAAATATAACTTATAAATCTTTTTAGCAGCTTCTTTTTTATTATTTCCTAATTATAAATGGAAATATATTGATCATTCTCACCTTGTTATGATTTAGCGCTGTTGCAGTGCCAAAAGGCAGACAAACAGGTCTGACATTCCGAGGTCTGAAATCCACTGTACTATTTAACCTAATAAGCGCGATGTCATTTTGCAGCTTTGTTCTCGTGTATTCCGGATGGAACTGGACGCTTTCCACACTGAAATCCTGATACCTCTCGGCACACACGACCTCAAGTCCTTTGTTATTCGTATCGCAGTCACGTTCCTTGCTTAAGTCGTGATCTCCTACCCTGACGCCTATTAGTCGTAGACCTGGAGAAAAACATAAATTTATGCGTTATAAAAAACGCCAAGAACAACGAATGTTCTTAAGTATCTTTCAAACTTTATTTTTAAATTCAATCTTAAATTTCTTATTAAGTTTAAAACTTAATTCTAATTTTTGCCATACTTATGGCAATATGACTTTATAGTTTTTTCCTTACCCCCTGGAAGGAAGGTAACACAATGAGCAGCGGTGAGGACGTAGCGCGAGGAGATGACCGTGCCGCCACAACGGAATTCCGGATTTGGTCTTCCAGTATCGTATGCGATTAATGCCATCCACGGATATTGGAAAATTCCAGTCTTGTTGCCGCCAACTACCTTCGTCTGAGTGATGGGCCCACACATTGTATGATCCAACAGACGCAGATTCGGGTGGTTCGTCACATCTGGTGGATTTGAAAGGTTTTCTGGATTTGGTGCCTCTGTTGTTGTTGTTGTTGTTGTGGATGCCTATTACCAAAGATTAATATTTAATATAAGCAAAATTGGAAAAACTGAACACTTAATGCATTTTTTTATGAAATCGAAAATTCAACAGTGTTATAATGGCGAACAATATCAAGTTGTAGAGAGATTTATTATGTTCTATAAATATGTGAAATGCGTTTTTGTGTGTGAATGGATAAAGATATTTAAAAATTGAGCATAAGAAATTTTATTGCTTTGTTTGGAAAAATGCATTTTTAATATTACATCTAAAATAAGAGAAGCTATAAAGCAACTTTGATTGTAATAAAATATCTGATAACAATAAAATATCTGATTTTATTGTTATTTGATATAATAGAATATTTTGTAAATTTAATATTTTATGAGTTAAGTTTCAGCCGATATCCTGCTAATACAATGAGATTAGGATAAAACAGGAAGTCGAGGTCACAGAAACCTGTTTCAGTATTATTTCAAAAGACTATTAAACGATTTGCAACAACGATATATCTCTATTACGTACAACAATGATGGCAGTATGTGATGTACAATTTGATATATTTCATGAATACATGGAAAATGATGAACAATCATCCAAAACGCATTAATCTGATGTCCTCGACGAGAACCAATAATCAATCTGCCAATATATAATATTTTAACTTTTTAAATAAATGTATTTAAGTAATTAACAAAGCATAGGAAACAAAATAGCAAAATTGTCAATGCAAGTTGTTATAATATATATTCGCGAAAGATATATATTTATAATTCATAATTCATAATTCTTACTTCTTTGTTTATTTTTTCAACTTTAAATTTTCTTTCTTAAATTAGAGATTATCCATTACATTATATGTTAGTTAACTTTATTAATTTAGATTTTAATAAATTAATACTAAGTTAATATTATTATAAATAAATTAATGCGTTTAGGTCAAATTCAATTACCTGACTGCAACAAACCTTCGGGTCGTTGCCTTCGAAGCCACATTGCAAATTTCTAAGAGTCTGCAATGTCTCTGCTGAAAGTGGTCTTGAACTTGTTAAGAGAGATATGACCTCCGGACATTTGCGAATGTTGACGCAATTACCATTTGAACATTCATTTTCTGTAATGGTAAATTATTGTTTAATTAATTAATTAATGTTTTTTAAACAACAACTTTCAAAACTTAAAATTCATGTCTTATCCGAAGTTTAGTTCAGCATTTTAAACATACTACATATTGTAAATAATTTGAAATAACTTAAATATTCATTTGAGAAAGCACCTTGATGAATGTACAATGAGAATTAAACAGGTGCATTTAATTATAAATATATGTTAATTAACTGTGCTAAATGTGCTCTGACAATTCAAAATAAACGCACGAAAAAAAATTCAGGAAAAGATTTACTGTTAGAACTTTATTAAAGAAAAAACTAAAATTATTTTTCAGGTGAAAGTGCTCAAATGCAATGAATTGACGTCGAATGGAGTACTCACGTGCATCAATTACTATTAAAGCGAGGAAAAAGACGAAGAAGCCAATGGACATCATGTTTATTTGTGATATCAGCATGTAACTCTTGCCAAACAATCTCGTTTTATAGGAATTCTCTTCTTTCTCTCCTTTTCTTTCCCTTACAGATCAGATCGAGCGGGAATTTTCCTGTTTCGCTCCGATGATTCTCGTCGACGTCCTTCAATATATATATAGATAGAAGGCTCGTATTCCGTTGGGAAATGTAATAATTCCACTTGTGGCTGACGTCGGTCTTTTGTGTCGAGTTTGTGTTCAAGTCGAGATGTACCATAAGTCAGATCAAAACCAGTACTGATCGGCTGGTTGCCAATCGACTAAGCTCCTCCACTACTTGCTGGGCCTATTAAATCTGCTGGTTTGGGGGGAGGGGAGGGTGATCATCGGTGATGATCCATTAGTCATTCGCTTCCAATTATAGCTTATCGTGGGACTCGTAAAATGCTAGGAAAATCTGAAATGCGCGAATTTTCCTTTAAAAAAAATTTCATTATCCTTTTACGAAATCCTCACTTATTTGAATTACCAACTTTGAGGATGTTGATGTTATCATATATTCCGTTCATGGAAATAACATTACTGATAAGAATATTACAGTACATTTATAAAACTGTTACAAAATTTTATTTTATACTATTTTATTATCTGTTTACTTTAAAATTTTGATTTTTTAATAAATTAAAGCTTTTAATATTTAATCTCTTACATTTACATTTTTAAAACTATACATATTTTAAAAATCTCTTATTCTATCACTTACGTTTAAGAAATTGTGCAATTAATTTTAGTCACTGTATATACATGTCTTTTTATCAACAATTTCCAAAATGATGTTATTCACAGTTCTAAAATCGTGAAAATCGGATAAATAAATATATATATTTGTTTCTCTCATCAATTGACGGCGTCAGTATAATTTCTCGGAAGGAACGTAAGTTTAATCATTAAAATGAAAACTTAAACGATAAAATCAACGTACTTCTTCTAAGAAAAAAATTAATATCGCTTATAAATAAAATTAAGATAAAGACGAAGTGGCATTGCAGGAATTTTTCCTGAGAGATATACACGAAAGAAGAGATAAGAAATGAGAGGCTAAAATAAAAAGGAAAGAGAGCCGTCGGATATTGAAACTAAAAATTATTTTCGTTCAGAAAATGATAATTATAACAAATTTCGCCAGAAAAAGTAGATCAAAAACGTCGCGACTTTTATAATTATTAGGAGTTTCCCAAGATAATATTGTTGTATCATGCAGTCGGTTGACAGATGAGGAAAGTTACGATGAAATATTAGTACTTTTCTCCAAATTGACTATCAAAAATGTTACTCGCTATGTATTTCTTTATCTCTTATTTGTTATTTCATTCAAATTTTTAAATACATTATCGTGATCTACTATGATCACAACAAAATGCAAAGATTCGTTCACTCGTGATATTGAAGAAGACTCTTTATCTCTGGAAGACTAATACGTCAACAAGTTAATGGCACATGATTAGCTGCAGCAATTAATCAACAACTGCATTCACAAGTATTATTCTCTCGTAATACTTGAGAAGAAAATTTTAGGTTTGTTATTTTTCCTCAATGGAAATTTTTTATATTTATAATTTATTAATATTATTTTAATTAATTAATGAAATATTATAATTAACAAATTTAATTTTTTAGTACAGTGCGATGCCTTTGATTGTGCTTTTCGAAATTGCATAGGATAAACTGTTACAACGTAATAAGTCAGGCGATAGGTCATATTCCATAGTGACCCCGCTCGTTTGATAACTCCGGAAAATAAAGATGTGAATATTGAATGACGTAATCAATCACATAGTTTTGCAATACAACAATTCGCAATTTTATACAACATTTTCCTCAAAAGAAGGTGGAATTATCAGAAAATCGGTTTAGTTTTTTATATATTAGAAAAATGCGGATAAGTAAATAATGTTGCAGTTTATTGATGATTAATTGACGTTTTCCAGAAATATATGTCTTACACAAGATACATCAAGGATATACATATGATAATAAGAGAGATCTCATTATGAAAACATGAGGATAATACGAAGGAAAGTAGCGTAATTAAAAAAAAATAATAACACTGTAAAAACTATTATAATTCAAATGAGAATGAATGATTAAAATGATATTGACAAATTGATGTTGACATAAAAAGAAAAAGAGGAGAATAATTGGCGAGAAAAAAAGGTATAAATTATTAATTCAATATAGTTATGGAAAAATTTTAATTTGTCTTTATTAGTGTTATTAAAAACGTAAAAAATACTTTTTTTATACATTTACGTTCTTATGAGATAAGCTAACTTCTTTATAGATATTATTTTCTTTATCATTTATTGTCAATATCGTGGATTTTATTCACGAGTTACTACACTTTGTGTTTTAATAAAACTCACTAAGAATATTTTATTGCTATAAAACGTGTCAACATAAATATAGGTAAAATAAATGAGCAATTATTAGTGTCACTTAATATCTTAATATTATTAAATATGTTCATGGGACTTTTATATATAGCAAACAAAGAGGAAAGGTAATTAATTATTATAATTAATTATTATAATGACACACAATCATCTTTTACCTTATTAATACAAATAAAATTTATTTACCATAAGTAAAAAATTTTATTCATCAATTTCTTCAGAGAAACTTTGACAAAATGATTAATATATAACATTCTATTCATCCTATTTTAACAACATGTAAATGTAATGAATCTTTACAAAACTAACTAATTCTACAAGATAAAACTTGAACTATAAAAATACATTGTTTCATATATAATATATTTTCACAAATTTTTAAAAAATTTTTCATTAGAGACATAGTTCTGAGACATAGTCAAGAAATAACTTAATTTCTTCGATAGATGTATCTCTGTTTGCGACCTCATGTTGTTAGGAATTCATGAAACGAAATCTGAATACACTTGCGTGTTATCCCTACACCAGGTTATTCCTATATGTTGCAGGGTGATGGTCCAAAGGATTCAACGCCTACAGCAGTTCATTTCCCGGTGATCTCTTCGACAGGTATTCAAGGGACCACCCGAATCACCCTAATACCAGTCTTGGCCTTTCTGACTACAGTCGATAGCCCAGCCGGACTTCAGCGCAGACATAGGTTTGATCACACAGATTATTGTTCATCAAGGGGGCAAGGCCAGGATTATTTGTCAGGTTTGTCTGGAAGTTTTCGATATACAGGGATTTCGAATTCTAGCCGGATGTAGTCCCATAGTTTGTTACGACATCGCTTAGATGGTTGCCGATGCTCACGCTTTTGACACAACACATCAAAAGATTTGAGGCTTCGAAATCGCAATGATTGCATGTCGGGTAAATGATGGTCTGCTCCCACAATTGCTGCAGAATGTTGGACACCAATGTACATTCACGTGCGTTTATGCATGTTTCCGCCTTGCGTTGACCGTACATTGATCTTTAGGACTTCCGTATTTAGCGAAAAATAAGAATGAGATGTCAGAATAAAAGAATATTAATAATAAGAAAAAATTAAAGATAATTTCATTATCTTTAATAGAATCACTGAGATTTTTTTTATATCCAATAAACTAATGTAATAATTAATTTCCTCTCAGTAAAAATGTTGCGATTTTTTGTTCAGTTTTCTGGACAAGAAATTGTCAATATACTTATTATTCGTTTGGTAATCTTTTGAAATCAGTCTTATTTATTTACGTACTGTTTATCGAACGCCTCGCCAAAGTTGTTTTCTCATTCTCATCACAATTGAGATTACCGCGTTTGCGTTAACATTTTCCAAATAGAGATTAAAAATATTCGATATAAAAGACTTCGTTCCGCAATATTTTAGTTTTGTTTTAATCGGTCAGTGTGTTGAGAATCCAGTCCATGTAGTAGGCGACATTGGTATAGACACCAGGAAATCCCTCAGTGCCGCACTGATTCAGTCCGTAGCTGACCACACCGTACTGGATCATGCGTATTGATCTATTATTGTATATACCAGGTGCCTGCAGGAGATCACCGCTATTGGCCAAACAGAAGTTCACGTACTTTCGGCCACTGACACATAGCTGCTTATACCAGATCTGCATGGTCGGCCTGTACATTTCCTTACACTGTTTATTGTCCACTAGTGTCAGCGTCACTTGCAGGAGTTCTTGATTGCGTAGACCCAACTCCGTCGTGCCCCAACCGGTCACTACAACCTGAGAGCAATTAAAAGCAAAATTTCGAAATACAAACGAAGTAATCTTTACGAAAATCAAGAGATAGTTTGAGTGAAAATTTTTTAAAGGTGTAGAAAATATTTCTCGAAAAAATTTAATGGACTGTAGCATTAATTTGAAAAAATACAATTATGAAATATTTCAATTTATGAAAGAGGGGAACAGAGAGAGAGAGAGAGAGAGAGAGAGAGAGAGAGAGAGAGAGAATATGCGATAAACATAATTTAGAAATTTCTTTTTCCAATTATAATGTTAAATCAGTTAGCAGATTTTTTAAATAATTTGAAGTAAAATAAATGTAACTCGTAAATCTTTTTAGCTGCTTTTTTTATTATTATTTCCTAATTATGAATGGAAGTATATTGATCATTCTCACTTTTTTATGACGTAGTGTCGTCGCAGTGCCAAACGGCAGACAAATGGGTTTGACATTCTGAGGTCTGAAATCCACTGTACTATTCAATCTAATAAGCGCGATGTCATTTTGCAGCTTTGTTCTCGTATATTCCGGATGGAAGTGGACACTTTCCACACCGAAATCCTGATACCTCTCGGCACACACGATCTCAAGTCCTTTGATATTCGTATCGCAATCACGTTCCTTGCTTAAGTCGTGATCTCCTACCCTGACGCTTATTAGTCGTAGATCTGGAGAATAACATAAATTTATGCGTTATAAAAAACGCCAAGAACAATGAATGTTCTTAAGTATCTTTCAAACTTTATTTTTAAATTCAATCTTAAATTTCTTATTAAGTTTAAAACTTAATTCTAATTTTTGCCATACTTATGGCAATATGACTTTATAGTTTTTTCCTTACCCCCTGGAAGGAAGGTAACACAATGAGCAGCGGTGAGGACGTAGCGCGAGGAGATGACCGTGCCGCCACAACGGAATTCCGGATTTGGTCTTCCAGTATCGTATGCGATTAACGCCATCCACGGATACTGAAAAATTCCAGTCTTGTTACTGCCGAGTAGCTTCGTCTGAGTGATGGGCCCACACATTGTATGATTCAACAGACGTAGATTCGGGTGGTTCGTCACATCTGGTGGATTCGGTGGATTTTCTAGATTTGAAGCCTCTGTCGTTATTGTTATTAGTGCCTATTATCAAAGATATATAATCAAAAAGATTAATATTTAACATGAGAAAAATTGGAAAAACTGAAAACACTTGAATTTAATGTATTTTTGTATGGAATCGGAAATTCAACAATGACGAACAATATCTAGTTAAAGAGAACTTTATTATATATTGCAAATATATATATATATATATAAACATGAAATGCGCATTTTCAAATAGATATTAAAATATTTTAAAATTGACCATAAAAACGTTTTCATTGCTTCATTTGGAAAAATATATTTCTAATATTTCACCTAAAATAAAAAAAGTCGGACAGTCATAAAGAAATTTTGATTGCAATAAAATCTTGGATAATAATAAAATACTGATTTTATTATCATTGGATATAATAAAGTATTTTATAAATTTTAGATTTTACGAGTAAAGTTTGAGTCAATATCCCGATCAAACAATAAGATCAGCATAAAGTAAAAAATCGAGTTCACAGAAATTTGTTTCAAAATTATTTGAAAACGTTATTAAATGATTCGCAACAACGGTGCATCTTTGTTAGATTATTACATATACCATTGACAGCATGCGATGTATGAATAATTTGATATATTTCATGGAAAATGATGAACAATACTCCGAAATACGCATTAATCTGATGTCCTCGACGAGAACCAATAATCAATCTGCTAATACTCTTTTAACTTTTTATAAATGTATTTAAATAATTAACAAAGACTTGGATACAAATAGAGAAACAAAATTATCAATTCAAAGTTGCTACAATATATTCTCGAAAGATATGTATTTATTTTTAATTATACAATAATTTATAAAACATAAATCATATTTTTTTTACTAATTTGTTTACTTTTTAAATTAGCTTTAAATTATATTAGATTTAATTGTATTTTTTAAATTAGAGATCATCGATTATATTAAATAATTTTAATTTAGATTTATTAATTTAGATTATAGTAAATTAATTTTAACTTAACATTATTGTAGATAAACTAATGCGTTATATTCAATTACCTGATTGCAACAAACTTTCGGATCGCTGCCTTCGAAACCACATTGCAAATTTCTAAGGGTTTGTAATGTTTCTGCAGAAAGCTGGCCTGAACTTGTCAAGATAGATATGATTTCTGGACACTTGCGAATGTTAACGCAATTAACATCACAATTTGAACACTTATTCTCTGCAACGATAAATTATTGTTCAATTTAATCAATTAATGTTTTTTAAGCAAAACCTTTTATACATAAAAGTCTTATCGAAGTTTAGAATAAATTCTGCATTTTCAAACTACATATTATATATAATTTAAAATATCTTAAATAATATTTATTTGAAAAAGCGCCTTGAGAAATATATGATTAGAATCAGATAGATGCATTTAATTATTAATATATTAATTGTACAAAATGTGTCTCTACAATCTAAAATAAGTGCATGATTTTAAAAAAATATCAAGAAAAGATTTACTGTTAGAACTACCTTAAAGAAAGAACTAGATATTCCTTTTTAAGTGAATACCCAAATGCAACGAATTTAATAAAGTACTCACGTGCATCAATTGCTGTTAAAGAGAGAAAAAAGACGAATAAGCTGATGGACATCATGTTTATTTGTGGTATTAGCATGTAACTCTTCTCCAATCAATCTCGCTTTATAGAAATTCTCTTCTTTCTCTCTTTTTCTTTCTCTTATAGATCGAGCGGAGATTTTTCTGGTTCGCTCCGATGATTCTCGTCGCGCATTCAAGATCAAATGTATCACAGTCAGATCAAAACCAGTACTGATCGACTGATCGCCAATCAACTAAGCTCCTCTACTACTTGTTAGGTCTAATAATCTGCTTCGGTGGGGATGTTCATTAGTGATGATTTGTCTTCATTATTCTTTTCTAATTATAGCTTATCGTGGGATTCGTAAAATGCTGAGAAAATCTGAATCGTGCGAGTTTTCCTTTAAAAAAGTTGTCCTTTTATGAAGTCTTTACTTATATGAATTAACACTTTTGGAGATGTTGATGTTAACGTACATTCCATTCATAGAAATAATATTACTGATAGGATTTTTACGATTTATGTTAAAAGAGTTGTCACAAAATATTATCTTATAAATTATTATATATTATTTTATTATGTATTTATTTTGAAATTTAATTTTTATATTTATTTAAAAAACTTCACACACACACAAATATTCAATCTCTTACATTTATATTTTTATAAATATTGTAATTTCTCTTATTCTCTTACGTTTAAAAAATTGTACAATTAATTTTGATCACTAAACATACATATGTTTTTTATCAACAATTTTTAGAATTGTGTTATTCACACTTCTACAATCGTGAAAGTCGGAAATAAACATATATATGTTTCTTTTATCACTAATTAACGGCGTTAGCATAATTTCTCGGAAGGAACATAAGTTTATTCAGTAAAATGAAAACGTAAACGACAAAATCAAAATGCTTCTTTTAGGAAAAAAATTAATGTTGCTTATAAATAAAATTAAGATAAAGGCATCGCTGGAATCTCTTCTGAAAGATATACGTGAAAGAAGATATAAGGAAAAAAAGACTAAAATAAAAGAGAAGGAGAAAGAAAAAGTCAGTTTGAATTATCGAAACACTTATTCTTGTTCGGAAGACGATAATTACAACGAATATTGCCAGAAAAGGTTGATAAAGAATAAACATTGTGATTTTTATAATTACCGGGAGTTTCCCAAGATAATATTGCTGCGTGATCAAACTCTTATAGAGATGTATGTTGTTCTGTTAAAATATGCAACTATTAATCAAAGCTTGATAGATGAAGAAAATTACGACGAAATATCAGTTTCTTCAATCTGGATATCAAAGATGTTGCTCGCTACGTATTAAATTTTTTTACTTATTTGTTATTTAATTCAATAAAATTTTTAAACATATGTCATAATCTATGATCGCAACAAACTACGAAGATTCCTTCGCTAGTGACATTAAAGAAGCATTTCTCTCTAAAAGATTATTACGTTAAAGATTGTCGTTCTTAAAAGCGATATAATGAATTAATGGCACATAATTAACAGCAATTAATCAATCACTGTAATTCTCAAACATTATTCTCTCGTAATGCTCGAGGAGAAAATTTTCTACTTGTCGTTTCTCATGAAAATAATATTTTAAGAAAAATCGACAAACAGAAAGTTTTCTCCTCGAGTTTTGCGAGAGAAATTTTTAATATTTATGATTTATTAACGGTACCCCAAGTAATTAATAAAGTATTTCAATTAATGAATTTTATTTTCTAGTACAATCCTTGATTGTGTTTTTCGAAGTTGCGTAGGATAAACTGTTACAATGTTATATATCAGTCAATAGGTCATATTCCATAGTAACCCCGCTCGTTTTATTAACTCCAAAAAATAAAAATATGAATAGTGAATTACGTAATTATTAATCACATAATTTTGCGATTCGACAATTCGCGATTTTTCACTACTTTTTTTTCAAAAGAAAGTGGAATTACCAGGAAATCGATTTAATTTTTTATATTAATTAGATAAAGTGCAAATAAGTAGATTACAAATAATGTTGTAATTTATTGATGATTAAATGACGTTTCTTAGAAATATAAATTTTATGCGATACTCATCAAGGATTCACATTATGATGATAAGAGTAATCTCTATAAAAATACGAGAATAATACTAAGGAAAATAATTTTAAAAAAAATATCACTATTATGAAAATCATTATAATTCAAAAGCAAACAAATTATTCATCGATGTCAGGACAATAAAAGAGAAAGAAGAGAATAGTACACCGAAAAAAAAGAAAAAGGTAATTATTAATTCAATACAATTAATAAAGAATTTTAATTGGTCTTTATTAAGTGTTATTACAAACTTAAAAAACTTTTTTACACATATATTGTCGTTCTTAAAAGCGATATAACTCCTTTATGAATATTGACTTCTTTATCATTTGTTGTCAATATCGTGAATTTTATTTTAGATTTATTGCTTCGTGTTTAAATAAAACTTGTTACTAATATTTGTAAGTATTATTGCTATTTAACATGTCAATATAAATACAGATAAAACGAATGTTACTTAACTACGTCACATATTTATGTTATTGAGTATTCAGTATGTTATGGATCTTTTATATATATAGAAAAACAAAGGGAGAGAAAGAAAAAAAATTGTTATTTTATAATGACAATCTCATCCTTTATCTTATTAATATACATAATTTATTTATCACAATTAAAATTTTTTTTTCGCATTTTGTTCATCAATATCTTCTTTAAAAAATCATTTCCAAGCAATAGTCAAAAGATATCTTCCTTCGTAAATAATATAGTGTCTCATTTATCGCCTCATATTGTTAAGAATCCAGGGAACGAAGTCTGACACTTTCGTGTATACGCCAGGCCATCCCTGCATGCCGCAAGGCGATGGTCCAAAGGATACAACGCCTACAGCAGTCCATTTGCCGGTACCATCGGCGATCCTTTCGAGGGCCATCAGGGGACCACCCGAATCACCCCGACACGAGTCTTTGCCTTTCTGACCACCCGCACAGATCTGTCCTAGTCCTAGCCGAACTCCAGCGCTGAAGTAGGTTTGATCGCACAGGCTCTTCTCTGCCAAAGGCAAGGCCAATTTCAATTTAATATTCGAAGCCGAGCTGGTTTCCGTCTTGCCCCAACCGGCCACGAAAAGTTTGCCTCCGAGCGACGAATTGGATGGCAGGCAGATGGGCTGAATGTATCTTGTGAATGGCACGTCACGGCTGAGACGTAGTAATGCAATATCATAACGTTGATCCCGTGAAGTGGGCCGGTAATTTTCATGAGCGATTTGTTCTTCCACACCTACGGTTATTGGATCATCGGCACATATCTCACTACTCTCACTATCCGGCACGCAATCTCTCTCGGTGTCAGTGTTGTATTCGCCCAGGCGGACACTGGACAGGCGCCAAGTAGCTGGTAAGTCCTTGCCTTTAACGCAATGAGCGGCAGTAAGGATATAGCGTTTATTTATTAAAACACCACCGCATGCTGTCGTTCTACCATTTGCTGTAATATCAAATAACATCCTATATAAAAATATGTACTTTTAACAATATAATTTACATTGAATTATATTATACATTGTAAGTTAACTGTTCATATGATAAAATGATAACTTATTTAAGACTTTATATATCTATAATTAATTAATAATTTATTTATTTTTATTCACGTTTTTGATATTCGACCAGCGCCATCCAAGGAAACTCGTCCAGATCAGTACGTTCGCCACCTACAATTCTCTGCGACAGGTCGCGACCGCAGTCGTTCGACAGCAATGGATTATTTGCCAGGTCTAGCTGGAGATTTTCGATAGGCGAAGAGGATGATTCCGAGTTCCTACTCGGATCCGATGTAGTCCCAGGATTCGTCACGACACCGCTTGGACGGGTGCTGATGCTCGCACTGTTAACACAGCACACCAAAGGATTTGAGCCTTCGAAACCGCAATGATTGCGTCTCAGGTAGTTGATGGCCTGCTCCCGCGATTGCTGCAGAATGTTGGACACTAATGTACAATCACGTGCGTTTATGCATGTTCCCACCTGGCTATCCACCGTACACTGATCTCTCGGGCTTTGGTATTCTGCGAAAAATAGGAATAAGATATCAAGATAAAAAGAATATTAATAAGAATAAGAAAACATAATATTATCTTTATTAGAATTACTGACAATGATATATGTTTATTTTATACCCAATAAATTAATTTTAAGTTAATTTTCTTTTATAAAAAATATCATGAAAAATAACAAATATTTGTTATTTAGTGATTTATGTCGAAAAATTTTTTTTAATTGAAAGATAACAACTTTGCGTAATCACAGTCTATGTAAATAGAATATAGAGTATTTTCTAAATGAATTATATATATTTGTCATTTTCGTTATTTATAAGACTGAAATCTTGGAATCATGAAATAAAAAAATAAAAAATAAATAAATTTAACTTTTAACTTTTTAATTACTTTTTTTTATTAACTTAATATTTAATTCAATTAAATTCATTATAAATTAACTTGTATTTTAACTAAGTTAAATTTTCAAGGTTGTTAATTTTAACTTAATTTAGTTAAAAAAAAAGTTAACTTACCCCCCACCCTGAATACATATGTTTTTTATTCTCGCTGTTTGTCTAGAATTTAAAATGTCGAAAATTTCTAATTTTCTGAACAGAACTGATCATTTTTTTTCTAGATTATATAAGGATCTCTTTGTAAAACTCTCTTTGTAGAACTTTCTTTGTAGAAGTCTCTTTCTTTCAGAATTTAATACTACAGATGATATCAGTATTATTTATACAAAAATAAATATAATGGATTATTATAATGATACACAATTACATTAATATTACAATATAAATTATTGTATTAGATAATGAAAAATGTCTATAATTCAGAGATCCATCCAAGTATTGCAATGCGCGAAATCAAACAAAGTTGATTCAATCGCATTGACTATGCATATTTCCTCGACGTTAACCATTAATTCGGTGACGTAATGCCGCATATATAATTCGAAAGAATGTGACTGACACCTAATTTTGTTTTTACGGAAGCATGTCATATATTGATAATTAATAATGTCGTGGATCGCGTGATAGTTGTGTCCAACGGTGATTAATTATTACTTCCAGTTATTCTTCCAATTATTACTTCCAATTTTATTACTTCCAGTAATAAAATTAAATTTGAACAATTATCGAAACTTCAGACGCGCATTTGATCTATAGTTATTAATATTGTGTACATTAGCAAGCATAATTTTTGATACAATTAATACTTTGTCTTTTTTTTGTGTGCCAAGTAAAAAAGAAAATAGAGAAACTTTTGAGAAAAATATAATTAAACATTACTAAATTTATTTAAAAAATTAGAAATTAGGCTATAATAATTTTTATATAGGATATAATAAAAAAAATAAAAACTTGTAAAAAATTGTTTTTTGAAAAAAGTTATTTTAATTTTAAATCTTTAAAAACAAAAAATTTTAATGAAAAAAAGTCAAAAAAGTTTAATGATACATGCAAACTATTTGTTAAATGTATTTTTATTTTTTTCTAATGTTATTTATTTATACATAAACTAATTTTTTGTTCTCAATCATTTGAATCATTATAATAATCTTATAATGATATTCTTGAAGCTTCCATGGGTGCTTTCTATATAAAGATTACGCGTTTCGCGGGTTCTCTCCTTGTTCAGATTCATTCTTGGAATGCCAACGTTTCATAAACCTTGCAATCCACTTCATTAGGCCGAGGAGCAGCCTGATACTGAGCTGTTCCTCTGGACCGTTTCCTTTATGTTACGCTGTTTGTTGAAGCCGAAAAGGGGGGGGGAGGGCAATCTTACAGTAAATTAATTCTAGTTATTTTCTGTAATTTGTCTGTGTCTTATCTTTTAAGTATAAGAAACGACAAATGAATTCAAATAATGTCTACCAAAAATTTAAAGAATGTGAAAAATATTATAAGTATCTTTATGATATTTTTCATATTTTCTAGAATGCATACATGAACGAAGAGCATAATAAATTAGAACAAATTAACTTTCAACATGTTCCTGAACTAACATTAATGTTATGTCAAGTAGTTTTCAAAGTTTGAAGAATCAACTTACGTGCATTGATGCTAATGATCAGCAACGTTAGAAACTTAAGAGACACTAGAAAAATTGATGTCGACATTATCGGCGAATTATTCAATTTCGATATTATTAACCGAATACTAAAAAATGATTACAGCACACTTTAACAAAGACTCGTTCAGTTCCGGCAAATCCTTTTATTTTATGTGGCAGCTTTGTCGCAGATCAGAACATCAACTGACGATAATATCCATGATAGAGTGATCAGAGCCAGGGTCAACAACTGTCCCCACCATCGCTGTCAACAAGCTTCGCCAAGTTAATTAGCAGGAGCGGATTGGTCAGGAAAAATTCCTATTTCTGTAATCTGTAGTTAAAGCCACAGACGTTTTTGAGGAAATAGGAATAAAAGGAATTAAAGGAGCAAAACTTTTTCCTGCAACTATATTTTGAGTAAATTTTTGGTTACTATGAAATTCTATATTCTATATTCTGTTAATTCTGTAGTAGGGTCTGTTAATTATTAAATATATAAATATACGTTGAGCTAATATATTATTTGATCTAATATATAGCTCAATAATATTAATGTATAACTGATATCAAATTAATATACGATGCATATCAGTTACATATTAGTACTTACAAACATTACACTGATCCTTGCAATTTCCGATCTATTGAGAGATTTTTCCTGTAAATTCCAATATATTGTTGATTTAACTAGTGGCAATTTTCTTTTTTCGTTATTTGCTTTCTTATCAACGTTATATTTTTTAATATAAATTTATCATAAATAATTAGATTTATTTTGTATATATAATTTTATATAATTTAACAAATAGAATTCATATATATATATTAGGTGTTGGAATTAATTCGTAGCGTTTTACAAGTGATGGGAAGTACTTTCATTAATGTATTTTTTAATGCTCATGTGAAATAAATAACATTCTTTCATTAAAAACGCTACGAATTAATTCCAACACCTAATATATATATATATATGCTTGTAATATTTATAAACAATTTATTCCAGTTATGCAGTTCAGTTTATCGTAAATCTGACATAATGAAATAATATATTTTTTAGAAACAGAAAATTCTGGATTCTTGAAAGATATAACTGCTCTTCTCTTTGGAATGATCCTATTGTAGAAATTTCCTCCTTTCCGCAAAATATGTATTACATAAAAATTATCCAAAAGAGGATTACAGAATCAAAAAGATGTCTTGATGTCACCAATCTCGCCAATAAAGAAATTGAGCGTGAAGAATTGGTCTTATAATTGTGAAATTAATGTAAACAAATGGTGTAATGTTTTTATCTCAATAATCTTAAGATTACGTTACTAATAGCCGACTAACGAATCGATTATCTTAATATGCGCATTATCTACTCATATATAATTATAACATATAATAGCGTAATACAGATCGTATCTTATACGACTTGCACTGACTTGCAAAAGTATTCGAAATATCTTACAGCATATGCATTAATTTATAAATTGAATGAAACAATAATTGTGCTAGATTTGCCTTATTCCTGCATTAGTTCCTGTAATCTAAATCACTTATCTTAGCAAACACCAAGTTACATGCAACGTACATGTAATTTCCCATTCAACAACAAAGCTATAACATAATACACAATATTACAGTTAATTGTTGAATATAATAGGAAATTACAACCAACACCAATTTAAGTTACATTATATGTAACTTAAATTGGTGTTTGTTGGGATTCTACTTCCGTAAAAAAAGGAAATGCTCTATTATGTATTCTAAAAATTCGCGGAAGAAATTGTTTTCATTTTATATTTAATTGTTGCAGTTGTACGAACGCATTGACGTGCTTCCGCAAAATGATTCATGTAGATTCCTCGATGAACATGAAGGAAAATAGCTCGATGATGTTGCGTATTTAACTGATGCAATCTAGATCTGACAAAATGGGAACACCCTGATTTCTCTGAGTGTAATATGTTATATACTAAACACTTGCAGAGAGTATACATACATATATATGTGTGCGTATATATATCATAATGCATCTCTATATGACACATAAATTTCGCGAAAAGGTCGGAAGTTGCGGTCGTATTTCCAAGAAGATCTCAATGTTCGATTTTAATAAGTTTCGCTTGAGTAAATTTAGAAATACATTTTAGATCTAATCAAAATTCTAATTGTATTAGACTTAAATTAATTCGACATATCCTTGTTAATTAGTTCCACGAATAATAAACTATGCGCAAACAGGTGAAGGAAATCCTAGGAGATTAAAAATTTCCTACTAGATCTGATTTTTTAAATCGACTCCTAGATAATTACTTCCAGTAGTAATTATCTAGTGAGTGTGTGTTCAGATGTTTGTAAATTATTCTATAACGTGTATTGTATTGTGTTAAATTATTCTGTTTTGTAAAGTATTCTGCGATTCTGTTTGAGTTTCCATAGAAAGATCTTTATTTTTACAATTGTTCCTTTTAGTTATAAATTATTTTTAGTATAATAATGTATTTAATATATATATATATTTATATTATACATAATATATATTTATTACAGATTTATTTATTTTTGAAAATATTAATGATAAGCATTTTTATCACAATTGCAAGATTCAGATTTAAATTGTTCCAGATAAAAAAATATCAATTGCTTATCTAAATAAAATTAAACACGAAATTTTCCGCCAAGTAAGTTATGAATTTGTTTTCTACAGATAAAGCTGAACACTTTTACGGATGCATGGTGTTCAAGATCCATGTAGTGTACGCCGCAACCCTGCTGTAGATAGCAGGTGTTTCGGAAACGCCACAGGATTTTTGGCCGAAGGAAACGATGCCGATGAAGTAATATTTAGGAGGTCCATTCAGGCTGTTCACTTGCATCAAAGGTCCACCACTATCACCACCACAGGAATCGTGACCAGGAACACCACCCACGCACATCTGCCGATCCTCCGATATTTCTGCATATCTCCTGAAAGCCATCACACATCTGCCCATCTTGACAATAGGTAGCTTGACAGTCTGCAGGATCGTGCTAGGTTTCGGGTCATCTATTGATAATAAGACGATTTGTAAATTTTTAGTAGATTATTAAAATGCATAAATTCAAGATTTAAACAAAGATATGAAGGTAAAAAATAAATACGAGATCAATCGGTTTAACATGAATTTAAAAACTGACACGGAAAAAAAATTAATTGAGTGGTACAACAAATCTACAATTTACTGCGCGAATTCAATATCTGTAACTATGAAGATTTGATGGTTTAATAATCGCTAATGTTATTTAGCGATTAGTCAACTTTGCTACTTTAACATAGAAAATTGACTGTCTATGTATATTACGACTATAGATTTGTTGAAGTTTTCAGCTGTTTTTTTCTCGGTAGATGTTAAATATTTTTCAGAAAACAATTAATTTAATCCACTCAACAGGAGTTTTTCCAACTATCTTTACAATAAAAATTCTTATTTTTAAATGAATTTTATAATATATATGAAAAGGTATGAACAAATATGAATGTTTAATTTATTAGCTTAGATTAATTTAAATTACTTACTAATATCAAAAATTCCCCAACCGGCGACCTCCGCTGTTTCGCCAACGAAGTCCTTACTGAGAAGTTCATCGTTCATCATGCAAATCGGCTTTACATGTTCTGTAAAGACATGTTCTGTATAAATCGTAAAGAAAGAGAAACAGATTTACTTACTGAGAATCGAAGTTGATCGATTGAAATTGATTAATAAAGATTAATCAGTTTACAAACTCACCGTTATAAATCACCGGTTTATTCAATCGTATTATGGCTATGTCATTTTTGAATTCCGGCTTGTTATAACTCTCGTGGACAATTATCGATTCGGGCAGGAAATCTTGCACTGGCTCCGCACAATATCCTTGCTCACAATCGGGATCAGTGAGAATGTTGTGTTCACCCAAACGAACTCCACCAACCTTGAAACTTAGATATATCTCCATATTTATTAAATAATACGAAGTCACATTCCATACAGCATAGAATTTTTAGCAATATCGCTGCAAAATTTCTGTAATATAACTTACAGAAACATAATATACATTTAAATTCTTAAGATTAAAAATTATTCAAATAATCTGGAGCATCTTTCCGATATTTCTATTTTAAACAGACTAATAAACACAGAAATTGTCGTATAATTTGCAAATTAATATAGTTTAACTCATTAAGGACCAAAACAAATTTTTTTCTCAAAATTTAAAATCGTTTTAATGGCAATTTTGCGACCATTGGTCCAAAGCAATACAAAAAGTTGACCTATTTTTTTTTGGTCGAAAAATCGACCAGTGATCCTTAATTAAGAAATGCTTATTTCATTTCTTCTCAAAGACTAAAAATAATTACTTCAATCGAACGCTTGTGCTTGGTAAAATACATGGCAAAAGTCTCGTTTTTTTTTCCTTTTAATAATTTTTTTGTATTTTTTTGTATTTATTTATTTATTCTGTACGTACTTTTCAGGTAGATTCACTACGCAATGGGCAGCCGTGACTACGTATTGTCGATTAATTATTGTACCGCCGCATCTATAGCTTAAGTCATTAACATTCGGCATGCTGTATCCTATTCTCGCGATCCAAGGATACGCGCCGAGGCTCGCATTTTTGCCACCAATAATGCGATCGCTGTTGGAATTGCCACAATTATTTTGTTCCAGTAACGACCAGTTAGGATGTTTTTTCACATTGACTACAAACCGTCAAATTTACTGTAACGTTACGCGCTTTTAACAGGAACTATACTTAATAAAATTTCTTGATGAAAATCTTTTCGTTGCCATAGATTTGCTATAAATCATATAATTTAAAAATAATGATTTAATTTTTTACTTATTTAAAATATTTTTGGAAAATTATTATGATTTTTTCTTATACATATAATTTATAAATTCAGATTTAACATTAAAGGTAATATATTTGAATTTCTTGAACACAGATTGCGTTCGAAGAAATTTAGTTTAATTATTTACTTTAAGAATTTGAACTACTTTTATTCATATAATGTATGATTCAATTTATAATGTGTTGACTCATGCATTCAGTTATTCTAAATTATAGAAAACTTACTTGTGGAGAATGCTGTATTGCATGAAAGTACAAGCATACAAAGTAGTGAGTATCGCATCCTGCCTGAAAGCTGGAAAATAAGTGAACAATCAAGTGAGAATTAATTTTATGATTATATAATTTTAAGAAATTATATATGTATCTTTTTTGTTAATTTTCATACAATCTTTTACATAACTTTACTACATCGATGTAGTTTTTATATTCTTTATATCTTTTTGTCAACACAATATTTTAGAATCTCTCTTCTTACTGTAAATTGCATTATGCATAAGCTATGCTCGTCGAGTGTTCCATTCAAACTACGTTCGGTATTCGTTAACCTTCTATGTATTCGCTACCTTATCTCTACTGTACAAATTACATAACGGTTTAGCCGATAGATCTTTATAATCCATTCACTGACATATATCTGATATTAACTATTCTGATTATCCATGGCTTGAAGTATACTTCAAAGATATTTTTCCTGGATGTTTATTGATTTATTATAGCTCTTCTACAAAATGTAAAGTAAGAATTGTTACACTTCTTACAAAAAGTACATCATAAATTTGATTTTTTATAATCAAACTTATAGTACTAATAATTTTTAAATCAAAACAAAACTTTAAGTTAACTTCGAAGATAAGAGATAATGAAAATTCATCTATTGTTACAAATTGAAAGAACAAATATCTTGTAAGTGCATAGCAATTCAATGCTTCGATATATATTTTATAACAATAAAAGATTTATATAATAAAACTGCTACAGAGTAAAAGATTATTAGATAGCAACAGGCAAAATCCTTCGCAATTATTATTTCTATACTTACCAGAAATGCGTGAAATAAAAAAAAATGCTAGAATTTAAAAGAAATATATCAAAAAGGCATTTTTCGTAAGTCAAATAATTTTTTAAAAGCTAGGAAGATATCAATATCTCGGAAAACTAAATAAAATAAGATATCCAAGTCTAGGAAAGGCAACAAGTATCTCACTTACATTTCGTTTTGCAATTCGCTGCTATTTATTTTCTTAAAAATAATAATTACAAAAGGACGCCGTAGATATTTAGAATTAAGTATTACGCAAACTTCGCAATCATCAAAGGAGAATCTCCCTTCAATCTATGTACAGCTCGTAGGAACATTATCGTACAATATTTCTCTGTCGGCGGGAAGTGAACCTGAACCGAGGAACACTTCTAGACTGAGAAACAGTTTTAGATGAACCCTCGCCTCAGTCCCCTTGCGATATTGGGGAGCCGCGATCGCGTTTTGACGAGGCCTTCCCTTTACCCTTAGATTTGGTCTCTCGTTTCCGGCTGATCGATGAGGTTGACGTGGTCGAGGCAGAGTCGGCTGGACTAGAGTGACTGGAACCCTCCCGGTCCCACCTCGTTAATGTGTCTCGCAGATTTTGGCCGTCGTTCTCCTCGTACGTATCTACGTCAACATGCAGATTGTCCTGACCATTGGACTCCAGATTGGCACGTATCTCCCTGCGCTGTTCGTCAGTATGCTGGGGACATCGTACCGATCTGGTACATAGCTTCTTCGTGTGCTCAGACACGACACCGCAGATTTGCGTGAGCAGCGCCCGCTTGTCCACGAGTGACATATTTTCGTAATTCGATGGCGAGCTTTCGTTGCTGCTATGCACGTTGTGTTCGCTGCCGACGACAGTGGTGGTCTCGCCGTTCCTCTGCGAACCACTACCGCCAGCCGCGCCCTGTTGTTTTTGTTGCTTGCTGGAACGCTTGCTCACGCCGTTGCGATCCTTGCGTGGACGTTTACGCTTGTTGCCGCTATCGTTGGTCAAGCTCCAGTCAACGTCGTCATCGTCATCGCTCAATACTCCGCCGTAGTTGTTCAGGTCCTTGGAATTATTCGCGATACGAAGCGATGCAATACGCGAACTGTTCCTCCCCATGCCCATACATTTTGCTAGATGAGTAGCGAATCTACAAGCTGCCACACCACGTTCGCAATTTGGACAGTTGCATTCCTGAGATTTCTTCATCGGGTGCTGACCGAACACGTCTAGGCCGGGCGAATCTAATGCAGAAAATAAAAGTTACAAAGTTGTACAAAGAATGAAAAAAAATTACAAAAGTTATATACACATATAAACTTAGACATTTTCCATCTTCCCAAGCATTTGATTGAAATTCTCCCTGCCTACACAGCATGAAATATTTTAGAAATATTTCCAAAATATTTCATTGCAAGATTTGAAATATTTTAGAAATTTTTCAAGAAATATTTTTGAACTATAAATATATCCAGGAAATTAGCATTTTTGAAATATCCTTTTTCTTATAATATTTGTACAGTATTTCTAAAATATTTTACTGAAATGTTTAGAAAATGTCTTGCATAAATATATCACTCCTTGTAGGTGATCACTAAAAGTTTTTGTATGTACCGACAATGGCGTAGGATTTATCATCGGGAATGCCTTCTTCAACATCAGAATTGCCAGTCTTGGTTATACGATGTATGTCAAATACGAAACCCATCAGAACATCATCCAACAAGTCCTCGTAAATTTCCTTTGTGGCTGCTTCAACATTCTCTGGCTTGCTCATGAAATCCACAAACCGTCGATTCAAGTCCTGGATCCTTTCCTCAGTCACAGACATACTGAATTTGTGATTGAGCAATTTGTTTCTATCTAGACTGGATATAGAAAAATATAAGGACAATTAGCGATTAATTAATCAAGGTATCAATTCTTTCAGTTTCTGATGGCTCGTTAAGATAATTTAGAAATATTAAAACTCACAAAAATTAACATTAAATTAATGAGCTTGTAAAAATAATCATGCATTCAAAATTCAGTTTTTTAAATACGTATATACAAAAATTCAAAAATATGACAACAAAAAATCTTATCTTTTCCAAGCTTAATAAATAATTATAATAAATAAAATAGATAATAAATAGATAATAAATAAATAAATAAAATTAATTCTTCGCGGAAGATTTAATAAGGAAACTCAGAGCGTCGGTCGAGGGGAACATCGGTAAAAATATTTACCGATACTTGCGGGACACCCGGTATAGCACGGACGGGGTTCTAACCTAAAAAGGGAGAAACGGCAACAAATTGGCGACGTGGGGCAATCCAGGGCGAATACCGTCGGGATGAGATGGCGGAGCAACCGGATGTTTTTTGTTCTTCCGGTTCTCCGCGAAGAAGACGTGCGGAGCGCCGTCACCGCCGATATCCGACGCCGCTCCGTTGGCTCTTGGTTACGGACGACACCTGCGCGACGACATGCGCGTCCAGTCGTCACGTGTTCCTCGTCGCGTCGCCCGTCGACCGTCAACGGAATGACGGATGTGGAGCGTCGGAAGACGCGAGACGCGAGCGATGACGGCACGAAGGAACGCTCCCTTCGCGCAGCGATTTCTGCCCGTGGCTTTATATATAGAGATTGGAGAAAAACCCTTCGATCCCTTTCACGAAGAAAACAACGCTCAATTAGCGATTGCTGCGCATCGAGTCGCAGACGCACCCTCGGTGCGTGCAGACGCACCTTTTCGATTGCTTTCCCACTGCGAAAAGCTCCTTCTAGGAAAGTGCGAGTAGGGAACAGATAAATATCTAATTAATTCTATATAATTATATCCGATAATTATATCATTATTCAACAGCATTAATTGTACTTTTTGGATCCGTTATAAGAGCGTAAATCATGCGATGAAAAGGCAGAGCAGAGCGGAGAAACTTAGAGTCACGTGGCCGTGTTTTCTTACTCCGAAATGGAACGAATATCGTCCGGAGCTATGCCGAGAAAAAAGAAGGAGGAAGGCAATAATTGGTGATTCGTTTCAAAATGTATTAATAATTGAAAAATCTGTATTTCAACGTGTAGATTAATATAGATACTAATGTAATGTAGATATCTATATCTATATTGTATAGGTATTTTATGTTAATAATTATTTATTATTACATTTTAGATATTTATTTTTAGTATATTTTGGCACGCGCTTTAGGACTCGAGATCGTCGAGCGTGTCGATTGGCCGTCGAATTGGGAGTTCTAGGAACTTCAGGTGATCTCACATGCCACAGCCAATCCGCAGCTGTATCTGGCAACTTGTCATGAGATTTCATGACAAGTTAACCAACTTTCTTTTTTTGAAACGCATCTATATTCTAATGTATGTACATAAATATAATATAAAATATAAAATATAATATATAACATAATATAATATAATATATTCTAATGTACAATAAATACATAAATAGAAAAATATAAGGTTTGTCACGTTGCATGCTCCAACATGCTCCAACATGCTTCTTCTATAGTTACTACTTACTCTAATAAGCACATTGGAGTAAATAGGAGTATCCTATGATAGGACCATATTGGAGCGTGTTGGAGCATGCGACGCGACAAACCTATAGAGAAATACGAATGATTCAAAGGCTGCATTCAGCAGAACACAATAATTATGCAACCGTTTTATGATTGTCTACTGAGATAGGATTATTCTTCTAGATTTAAAAATATAATTCAATCATTGCAAAGAAAACTTCCAACAGTTGCAAAATAAACGTTCTGCTGAACGCAACCAAAGCTAAAGCAAGTAAATCGTATTTTCAAGCATTGTTGACTCTGTAAAGTTTTTAAATTTAGAAAAATATCCAGAGGTAAATCCTTTTTTCTTTAAAATATACATTTAATCTTTAAAGATCTTTATACAGGCTATAAAATACAACAAATTTTTAGGAATTCTGTGAGAATATCTAAGTTCGTCGGAAGCACATCCGTCATAATTGATGTAATGGCAAGAAATAGAAAATTCGCAAAATTTTACACATCGTGTTATTGCACGTAAAGGACGATTCCTAGATGCAAAGATTTTCATTGTCCTGTTTGTGTTTTCTCTCGGAGGAAAGCGGATTTGAGCACCACTGAAGCCGAAGTCGCGTATACGAGACATTACAAGACCCAAATGACCCAATAGCGAACGAGTAGGCTAGAGGCAACAAATTATTGTTGCTGTGGTGGGAATATTACACCACCACGCTTGTCCGTTCAGATAGTTCAGAGTTTCTTGCTCTGACAAATTGGTCTCCATCACTAATTGATCGTCGCCGAGGAGAATCGTTCCTCGTCTTCAGCGACGACGTGACGCAGACAAGATCGCTTGAAAAAGAGGACACGGAAAACAGCGGACGTATGGAGGATGATGACGCGCCCCTTCACGTAGGCCATTTTACATAGCATCGGGACTGATGAAAGGGCCTGTTCCTTCAGGGGCAAACGCACTCGCTCGCTCTCCCTTTTCGCATATTCGTCTGCACGGATCTTAATCGAAAGCAAAGGTTGGTTTTATGAGTAGATATTATCCCTTGGATAACTGATATGAGTGACTGATATTCAGAATGTTACTTGCAGATTTCTATTGCTTGCAGATGTTCTTAATGTGGAATGAAAATAGAAAGTAAGAATAGACTGATTTATCTAAAAGAAAAATCTCTCATACAATTGAATAAGAAAATTGGAAATAGAAATTATTACATGACGCAATGGCAAATGGAATGGAGAAGATAGGTGAGTAAAATTGACTCTCTATGCGTGATATAGGATATCACGTACTTTCGAAATCATTTGTGAATATTTATACATGGTAGATTATAAAACTTGTATCCCTATTCTACTCAAATAAATAAATTAAAATCAAATGATGAAGAGTCAACTTTGTAAAATGTAGCTTTTTATATATATACATATATATTCTTATATATTTATGCAAAGATTATATATCCAAATATTCTTTATTTTATATAGTATTTAAATTTCTAATAAATAATTAAGACTGAAAAATTGCGTATATATTAGAACAGTTTGATTAGTGAATGAATTAATATACATAAAAATAATATATGGAAGTTAAGATTACGCAAGAATTGATAAACTTAATTTTATTTGCTTTAATGTGTTATTTACATTCAGGAATTTCTTTCTTTTAATTCAACAAATTTTCTTGCAGAAATCCTGAAGATTGAGGAGTGTAGTCATGATCTAATTGTGGACGAAACTAATGGGATCGTGTTTGGTAATTTGATCATTCAAAAGTAAAATGTTTAATACTATAATTCTAAATATTTGAAACAATATGAATATTCTGATTTTGCAGATATGGACCTCTCACAAGACGAATCTTTAGTTGTGACTGACAGCGCAGCCACTGCCAATAAGAAAGGTAATTGTATTTTGTATATACATTAAGAATTGTCCAATCATATTAAGTCTTAAGACATTTTTAAATCAGAATGTTTTTAGAACTTAAATATGATTGTACAATCTTTGATAAGTTTGATAGATTGCTTTTAATTTTTGGCAACTGTATACTTTTTAAAACTAAATTTTAAGGCACATCTTGTATGTATATCTTTAAATATATTCATAATTTTGCAAATTATAAATATATTCCCGCAAAATCACATAATATAGTTTTGATGATATATTTTATTTTATTTTAGGTGTGGTTATTTCAATTGTAACCGATTATCAATGTGTGACATGTCAACGTATTTTCCAATCAAAGGACGTAAGTTATAAGTTTTTTAAGATTATATTTTATAAATCTATTATTTTCTTATGCTTTTCATTTCTTTTAATGATTTATGTCTTATAATTTTCTCTCTCTCTCTCTCTCTCTCTCTCTCTCTCTCTCTGAGACAGATGTTGCAGAAGCATGTAGACACATGCAGAGAGGAAGATGATTCAAATAACATGCTTGGTAATATAGTAACTTACGATTCAGAAGAAGAGGAAGAGGATGAAGATGATCCACTTTTAAATGCTGAAGGTTTGTGATTATATATATATATTGAACAAGATTATCTGTTCACTCTCACAATACAAAGAATCTTACAATCTATCTATCTTCGTAGATTCGGATTCTAAGGGCCAAAAGAATAACAATGAAAAACCTCTCATCAAACCCGTGCCCGAAACGCAGTGTCATTGCTGTGCGGAAGACTTAAAGACGGCCCATAGCGGCGGAGAATATAAGTGTTCACATTGTGATCTCAGCTTCAAGAAAAAAGCATCTTTGGAAAGACACGATGTAGTCATACATTGGACTTGCGATTCGTGCACATGCAATGAATGCGGTTCTTCTTTCCGTGATAAGAAAGCTTTAAATAAGCATCGCTATACGACACACGGAGATCGCAAAATTTTTAAGTATGTTCATATCAGCATGCATTTAAGTTATTTTTCATTAAATGTAAAATTATTGTTATAAAATCCGAACTCAATACTTCATAATAATTTTTCTCATTTTCTATTACAGTTTTTATTAATCAGTCTAAGATTTATATTTTGACACAAAATTTTATTTTTAGATGTGATCCTTGCGACACATATTTCTCTCGGAGCTATCATTTAAATCGACATATAATGCAGTCTGGTTGTCATGGTAACATACTTAATAAATTTAGTTGTCAAGTAAGTACACAATTATCCACTGATAATTCTTTAAAATTAGAGATTAGAGATTATAGAAAATTAGACATTGTAATGATCAAATAAACGATCTTGTAGGTTTGCAAGAAAGACTTTACGCGTAAGGATAATTTGCGGGAACACTTGCGTACTCACGCGGGCACGCCTCAGAGACAAAAGAAGAAATGCAACTATTGCCCGAAGGAATTCTTTACGTACCAACAATTGTTGGTACACGAACGCATGCATACGGGAGAGCGACCAGTCCAATGCGATTTATGTCCGAAGACATTCCTGTCGCCGCTCGCGCTGAAAAAGCATCGTCGGGTACACACCGGAGAGAAGCCGTTTGAATGTAAATACGTAAGTATTTTTTATCGAGTTTATGCAGTACGAGTATTTACATAATTCCTTAATATTACGTATTTCTCTTGATGATGATTAAGTATAGAAATAATAACACTAACTTTTATTGTGTCATTTTATATTACAAGCTAGCTGAACGGACATGTGCTTTCGTAAGTTTTTAATTGTCTATGAATCGGTACTGAACTAAAGAGGTTTCAAGATACATAAAGTACATGTAGTTTTTACTTTACAAGAACAATTAATTTCTATTAATATGTTTTTACGCGAATACTAATATAAGTGTTTGCATTGCCAGTGTCAGAGAAAATTTGCTGCTCGCGAAACGCTGAATCGTCACCTAAGGACGCACACGGGTGAAAAACCACATGTGTGCCAATATTGTGGCAAATCATTCATTCAAGCAGCGCAATTAAGAGCACATGTGTTCCATCACACTGGAGAAAATGGTTTCTATTGTGATGTATGCGACAAGGCATTTAATCGGAAGGCGCGTTTGAACATCCACAAAAAGTTCGTACACGAGGGAGCGATTCCATTTACGTGTGAAGTCTGCGATAAAGGTTTCATGCGAAAGGAGGACTTGATGAAACACAAAGTGCTACATACTGGCATCAAACGTAAGTCATATTTATGTTATAAAAAAAAGGAATTTTTACAAAAAAATGTATTTAGTATTTTTGAAATACGTCGCTCGTTTTATTATATTATATATAAATTTCTTTTTGCATTATGTTTCAGCGTTCAAATGCGACAAGTGTTCGAAGGCCTTCTCGGTGAAGTCATCGTTACAAGCGCACCTCAACACTCACAGACGCGAACCGCCCCAGTCATGCGTCGAATGCAATAGAGTGTTTATCCGACAAGATTGTCTGATGCGACACATTCGGGCGAAGCATCGGGAACTATTGGAGGACGTAATGAACGAGGTTGAGAAGAAACATTTACAAACACAGTTGTATAACATCGCATCGACCGCTGCTGCCAAAATGAAAACCGGCAAATCTAGAAGACTCTCCACCGACGAATTGTTGAAAGCTATTGTAGATCTTTTGAGATTACTTATCGATGAGGAAACATTACAGGTATAATCTTACATAGTTTTATATTTACAAAACTTTATTATTACGCACAAATTACCGCGTTGTTAAGTGCTCTCACTTGCCAGTTTAATTTTCTTTATTGCTATTATCTCGAGAGCCCAAATTTATGTTATAGGTATAAGTCTTT